AAAGTGTTTTTATTTTTATATAATAAAAATAGTAGTTTTGTTTTTATATATAATAACATTTAAAATATTATTAAAGTATGCCCTAAGTTAGTTAGCATCTGCTAGTAATAGTAAAAATAGTGTTAAAGTCTCTAAAATATAGTATGTAACTAGACTAATTAAGTTCTAGATTTATACAGTACTAATTAATCTTTTTAGTGTCTAGCCTTTAAAGCTAATATCTATTTAGCTAAGTGTTTAATTAATTTCTATACATAAGTTTTCTTATATGTACGCCTTAAGTTAAGACTTACTAATAGTAGAGATTTTTACTACACTTATGTCCTATAGTTTACTTTAGTATACTATATAGTATTAGTTATTAAGAATAAACTACTTAGTATATTCTCTAGGTTTAATGCTATAGATGTCCTCTCCTGTTGCATAGTGTAGATAAGTAGTAGAGGTAAAGTAGTTAATAGCTTTCTTAGCATTCTTACTCTTTTATTTTATTTTTTTTACATTATGTAAATTATTCTTTTTCTTAGGGTAACCTTTAAAGTCTTAAATATATAAGGTAATAGCTTTATATAATAAAGTCTTATTATAGAAATTTTTATATAAAGCAACATACTAGTTCTTTACTTATGTATAGTTATTATAAAAGTAGTTTAATAACTAATATTCTTTTTTATAGTAGATAAAGCACTTTTTTATCTATATATAGTTATCTCTAGATTATAGCCTAAACCTAGATAAAAATCTTCTATGTTGTTCTTTTCTATGCATAGAGAAGTTTTTTTTTTATTATGTAGACTCTTATTATGCAGAGTTATATTAGTAGTTTATGTAGTATACATTAAGTAGTTTCTAGAGGTATTAGTTTACTTTTTAGTTTATAGTAACTTAAAGTAATGCTTATAAGTTACTAAATAAGGCTTTACATAAAAGCTTAATAGTAAATATAGTATGTTTTAGTTTTAGTTATCCTTAACAGGCTTATATAACAGTAGTGTGCAGTAAAACATTTTTTTAGAATTTTATTTTTAGTGCTTTTTATATAAGTGTAAGCTTGTTAATTATTATTTTAAGAGCTTTATATAAACTTTTATTAAAGTTTTTTTATTAGCATTATGTAAAAGTTATTATTATCTAGTCTGTCTAGTACTAGCTATAGTTTACATTAGTGTTAAAGTAACTGCTTAAAGTGTTATACAAATGCTTTTAGTTATATCTAGGGCTTATGTTATGTATATAGTACATATTTACCTAACTTTTTAGAATATCTAGAAAGATGTCTATGTACTAAGTTTTCTAGATATTTAGCTATTAATATAGATTAATAAAAATTCTTATTTTATTTATAAAAATGTTATATAGTTAACTTATATAGTTATTATTTTTTTTATGCTTTTTAGAATTATATAATTTTATTTACTAGAAGTTTTTCTTTAGCAGTTTCCCTTTAGAGTAGAAGTTTATATAGGCTGTAATGTAGTATAGATTGTGCAGGTGGTATTAGTGGTGCATACACTACTGCAGGCGGTGGTGTGTACAATTAAGGGTGTGGAGCAGGCGTTAGGTAGGGTGGCATGTATTGTTTATACAGTAATTAGTGTAGTGCTAGCTAAGGTGTAAGAGCAGGTAATACTAGTACATTTAGTGTTAATAGTAGCATTGTGTTTAGTCTGCTTCTGTGTAGAGCCTTATATAGTAATAAAGGTTATGTATAAAGCCTTTTTAGTGTAATTACTTTTTTTATGCTATATTATACAGCTTCTAGGCTTAGGTACCTTTAGTGCCTAGCTATAGTGTAATTTCTTTATTCTCTAGCACTTATATAAGCTCCCTTTTAAACGCGCAGCTAAGTGCTAAGAAGTTTTATAGTGTTTATTTTTTAAAATTCTTTATGTACATACTTAGAAAAGTAGCGCCTTTTTAAGTTATTATGTGTAAATTAGTAATTATATAACTTATGTATAATTAAGTCTACAGGCTTGTTAGAGCCTTTAATATGTTAATTTTATTATTCTAGTACTCTAGGCTAGTCTTATTCTATAGTGTTGCCTCTAATATCCTTATATCCTTTATAAGTTATTTATATAATAGAAATTATTTCTTATTTTTTTTATTATTATGTAAAGTTATTAGTTGCTAATAAAATTTTATTATAATAGTATAGTTAATTACTTTTCTAGTAGATTGCACAGGTACTGCTATTGTCTAGCTGCTAGGTTGTGTAGCTTTAATAGCTTTAGTGTGCGCCTTACACTATCTCCTTCTTACTTTGTATAGTAGCAGAGCTTGCTGTATAATATAAAGAATTAATGTGCTATTATCTAGCTACTAAGTTATGCAGCTTTAGTAGCTTTAGTGTGCGTCTTACACTATTTTCTCTTTACTTTATATAGTAGCAGAGCTTGCTGTATAATACAAAGGATTAATCTGCTATTTTAAGAAATAAGTAACTAAATAAAGTACTTTATAAGGTGTAAGTACTTTACTATTACTCTTTTTAAAAGATAAGTAATAAAATAAAGTACTTTATAAAGTGTAAGTACTTTATTATTACTTTTACTAATTTATAGTTAATTAAATTAACTACTAATTAGTGTTAAATAGGCTCTAATAGCTAGCTGCTTATAGTATAAGCACTTAAGTAGCAAAAGTAAGAGTGGTGTACAGTGTGCACAGTGTATAAGGTAAGTAAGGTAAAAGTAACATGTTTTTAGTTCTATTGCTCTTGTCTTTCCTCTGTATAGAGGAAAAGGGGGATATCTAGATGTTCGCGCACAGAGGTTCGCGCACGAGCATCATGTGACATAGATACGTGATCCTGCTCGTGCGCGATCGTTTGTATCCAGACTATGACGCTGCTGCTGCGTACAGACATTGTTATATATTATCTTTTATAGTGTTTAGTAGAAGAAAGCTTTATAAGTAGCAGTTATTAACTAAGTAATACTTTATAATATTTTCTTTTATATAGCATTATTAGCAGAACTTTAAAGCATTATTACTTAAAATAAAGCTAATTTTCTTACTGCCCTCCTAGCGTCTAACACTACATATTTGTCCTACGTGCAGTAGGGATATACGCGGCGGAAGTAGGAGATTTAAATAATGCTAAGAATAGCCTAAAGTAAAATTATGTTAAGTGTTAATATATAAACTTTTTTAAACTACCTCTTTTTCTTAGGTATAGTGTTGCACTTTATTAGTAGGTGTACTTTAGCTTATTAGTTTAGTGTTTTAGCATTTTTTATTAAACTAAACACTAACTAATAATACTACATAGATGTTAACTACTAACACTATAACATCCTAATTAGCTTCTACAACTTGTATAGTAACTATACTAGAGTAAATTAAGCGCTAGAGATTATTAAAGTTATTAATAACTTTAAAATTATATTAAAATTTTATTATTTAGTAGCTAATAATATGTTAAATAATAATAATAAGACTATCTCTGCCTTTACTTAACATCTTAATATGCCCTTTACCTCTAAGCACTGTATACACTGCGCTGGCTATACAATCTAGCTAGTAGTAAAAGCAGTTATCTATAGTAAAGAGATAAGTGCTTTTAAAGTAGAGCTTACTTAAGCAGCTTTTTAGAAATAATTTAACCTTTATTACTACTATAAAGTTATTAGAAAACTTTATAATTTTATAAACATAGTGCTAGCATTATATAAATAATAAAAAGCCTTTATAACTTTTTAGGCTGCTTTTAACAACAATAACTTTTTCTAGAGCTTTAGGACGCTTAATCTTATACAAGACAGTAGTGTACACTAGTACAGCGTTTATTTTATGCTCCTCTGCTGTTTTAAGCTTAAGGACACTATTACTAAGTTTATACATAAGTAAAGAAGCACTAATAATAACTTTATAAACTCTACTATCTCTAGTAACTTTACTCTTACTAAGGTTATTACTAAAGATAAAAAAAAAGGTTAATTACTTTTATAAGTTTTTTAAAGTTTTTTACTTTATAATAAAATGCTTTAAAGGCAACAGCTTCTATAGCTCTCTTTAAATGTCTATTATTAACTTATAACACCTTTATACTAAGCTTTTATGTATAGGTAATAAACTTAAGGGTAAAAGTAATAATTACTACTTTAAATCTAGTGTAGCATTTAGCATAGAAAAGTTACTTATATACTAGAAAAAGTTTATTATTAAGCTACTTATATCTTATTACTGTGTAGTAATAATCTTAAACTTTTAACTTTATCTTATTTAGTTTAAGGACTACTAAAGAAAGCACTTTATATAGCATAAAAAAGCTAAGGCTTTAATAAAGGCTATTTTTTAAAAGTATGTTAATGTAGAGGCTAAGGCTAAAGCTAATAATAATAATGTTACCTAAAAGCCTACACAACGCAAGTTACCTAGTAGCAACTATTATAATAAGAGCTTTAAAAGGACTTTTTTTATTAACATAAGCCTTCTTACTAGCAGCTGCTTATATAAAAAGCAGTAGAAAACAACAGAGTTGCAGTAGTACTATAACAGCTACTATAAAGATGTTACTATAGCTAATAATAACAGCTCTTTATTTACTAACTTTTTTACTTAGTAGAAATAAGTTAGATAACTTTTTTACTTTACACTATATAAAATTACTTTTAACTTCTTATTTATTTCTTTTATAAGCTATAATTATAAGAGGTTCTTTTTTAGGGGTAAAAGAACTGTTACTTATAACAGAAATAAGCTTTTTAGCTTAATAATTAAGGCTTTTTAACTGCAGAAAAACTAGCTTTAGCAGAGTTATATTTATAGTAAAATAGGGGACTTAGTAGACTGTATACGCTGTAACGTCTTGTAAGCTGTTAAAATGTAGGAGGATTGTAAGCTGTAACAGTTACGCCTTATAAGTAGATTTAAATTCTCTCTTTACATTAAAACGTACTAACAAACTGAGAAGTTACAGCCTAAAAAACGGCGAGTTGAAACGTATTACGTACGGTTAGGAACGCTGGTGACATAACTTTATTCTCACATAACTAGAGAATCCAAATGCAAGAGTGATAGAGCATCATAAAAGGGATGAAGAGGGAACAATTAATGAAAAACGTTAGATGTGATTCAGTATGAAACCAACTTTGCAAAGATGCGTTTTTCATCGTTCAAATAACTTAATAGACGCTCCAGACAGAGTGATTGATCCTATTTTGTCTACCTCATACTCTTAATCACTGCTTACTCTCATCAGTTCCCTCGGGCTCGGGCCGTAGGCCCCAGCACTTAGAAGAACTCAAACCCTCCACAAATGGGAGGAAATTACAGGCATCGTCTGAGAGTACTTCTAGCCAGTGGTAACTCTCCCTGTTGGGTCTGGAGCAGTGAGGAGGCCATCTGACCCTCAGATTGATCACCGAGAGACATACGGGAAGGACCAGGCAGTGGCAATGACTCTCAAACGTTCACGGCCATGCGTAGATCTTGAGTTTCGGGCGTCCGACTACACGGTGGAGCAATAGGCGTAAGTCGAACCTGTGTGAGCTGAATGACTGAGTCGTTGTGAACGAGAGGCCTGCTTGTCTCCTACGCCTGCCTTAGAGTAATATTGGAACAGAGTCGATGTCAATACAGCTCTCTCATGCGGCAAAAACTGTATGCTAGCGCCCCTTTCTCTAGAATCTAGTCTTCAAGTCTTAGGATTAGCGCTCATACGATCCCTCTCTTATTTTTTAATCCTTTTACTAATTTAACAATAGCAGGTAGCTTCTAACCTTTCCGCAATGCAAACTGCGCTGGTGGAGTCTCAGCCAAGTAGAAAGAGGTCACCTGCTATCTGACTAATAGAGACTATGTTCTCGATTAAACCTGAGTGAGGTAGTTGAAGCTAGCGTTGAGGATGTGATTAGATGCGCATTGGTAGCTTGTATGTTTCGCTCTAGTATATTGGAAGTACTACATTTAGGGGATCAAAGAAAGAACAACTTACAAAATGAATAGGCGAATTAGCTAAGCGTTGGTTGTCAGTGTTGCAACAACGGGGTCATGGAACGAATGAAGGGGAAGAATGAGGTTGGCGAGGAAGGGAAAGTTGACGCGAGTATTCATACTGAAAGGTGCACAGCTGTTACAGAGAGCTATCAATACTTATATGAATAGGACATGGACAAATGCGTTTCTAGACTAGTCGTTTTGCCACTGTTCACTATTATTGTGCTTAATGTCACAAATCTAGATACCAGCATACGTTTTTGTTGCGCCGAAATTAGTGTCGTAGTACCCGGCACGCTACATTCACATAAATTTGGGTAGAATTTGATGAAGCGGGAGTTGTTTCCCGAGTCACTGCAGCTAGCAATCTAAGTTGTGCAATTGCATAGTGACTGTAACCCTTCCGTGCATAGAAAGAATGCATGAAGCTGCTCAGAAGGAGGGCAAGGCGCGGGGCAAATGAACTGCGGGTATGTTGACTTGAAGGGAAGATGAATCATGCCGACGTTAAGTATCTCTTCAGATAAACAGGAATCATGATTGCTGAGCTAGGTAAACCTTTTAGTAGAAGGTTGAAAGCTCAAATATCTCTACTCTACGGATTAGTCCTACAAGTCTGAGCAAGGACTGAACTGAACCGAGTGTAGCTGGTCAGCAGCTCTCCCCGCATAACTTAGAAAAATGGGCGCTGTGCTCAATGGCTTCTTTGTCGTTGGTCTTCCGAAGGTTCCAAATTTCTCTCAGTTCATTCGCCGTCCCTGCAATCTCTGGACGTAAGCTGCTCTCGGAAGAGGCTCCGTAGACGTAACGTCGAAAGGCAGTGGTGCCCTGTTCGTGCGGATGATGCCAGATAGCTTCTCTGATCTAAATACTTCGCTCGAGTCGTTAATTCGTGACTGCCACTTGGTTGGGACAACACAGAGGGTCATGCTGTGGCAACTGGTGTGCAGATAATTTTGGGATGTATCAGCTCGATTGTAATAACACTAGATGTTTCCACAACTGGTATTTCAACCATCAAAATTCCAGAGCTCTTGTAGCTCGTATAACTATTCCCTTGCTTGCTCCCAAAGTTTCGAGCGTGGTCCAAGGGTTTGCTGCGGGGATGCGAAAGGAGGAAGGAGAATTCGCCCGACACGGGCCGGCCCAGAGGTGTTGGCCCATGGGAACGCCTTCCCCCCGCCCAGTTCTCCATCACGGCACTCCAAAACAACAAGGACTGTGCTGCGCTTGTGCTGCAGAGAAATCTGTTCTAAACGCTATGATGCAAGCGAAACTCCAACGCCGCCATGCCGCACACGTCGACATTCACAAATATCCGCCACGCTCTCCATGTCTTGCTACTCAGCCTCGCAACGTTCCGCAGATGGCATTCGATGAAGCGGCGTCTTTTGGTCCCGGAAGATAACGCAGTATGGCTGCTATGTCCTACGATTGCTGCTGTGCCTCTCCGAGATATTTGCCACAGCCTGTGTCCTTGTCAATCTCCGTTGCAGACCACGACTCTCGGCCAAGCGAAGAAAACATTGGAAGAGCACTCGCTGGTGTAGCAATGCGTCATTGAAGTTTGCTACATCGCCTATCGTACTGCGAAACCTCGGCGGCTCAATTCATGCGCATGGAAACACATAACTCTCCCAAAGTAATTGGGTACGAAGCCACTCATTTCGTACCCATATATCCCCTTTATGCAGGAAACCGCGACACACCGTCTGGAAATAATCAGCGAATAATGCGGCTCCGAAGAATCCTGAAGGCGCTGGGAGGCGTCATCCTCTCCCTCCGCATGCTTGGGTTTCCCCTGAATCTCGCATAGTTGCCCAATCAGGCAGGTTACTAGAACTACTTTCTCACGTGATTGCACAGCCTTCCCGCATTCTCAGCGTAGCTTACACACAAGGCCAATCAAGAATCTGTCAAGAGCCCTTTCAATATCTTAGTTGGATTAGTGTTCCACCGTTTCTCTTACTGTTTCTTCTTATATCTTGTGTGACAGAAGTCCTGTGAATGTGATCCTTATTGTTTTCAAGTTCAACCTGGTCTTTTTTTTCAAACTACCCCCCGCAAACAACCAATAAGTACATCTCGAGGAGGGACTAGGGTACCAGGTCACCGGGTCTCGCAACGGGTTGCATTTCCTTTGAGCCTTGGGAATTCCACAGGGTCTAGAGTCCGTGCACAGCAAGGCTGACGACGATCCATTTATCTATTAATTCCCCGGCTGTTTTACGGATGGGACTCCAGCACACTCTTTTAAATTCGCTTTCACTAGACCAGCAGGGTTTCTGTTCAGGACGTTACTAACTCCAGAACTCTTTGACTGCGTCATCCACTCCTTTGACAACTCTTTAGATTTATTTCTTCCTTTACTCGCTGCCCACTTGCGACTATGAAGCTCCTTTCTATCCTCTCCATTGGGGTAGCAACCGTAGCGGCCGTTCCTAATGCTCCAGGTAAGTAGCTCACAAATACATTGATGCCAGTATGATTAATGTATCCAAGTTCTTCCTCGCGCCTCCAATTCGTCAAATGCGACTCCAAACTTTGGCTATGCGAAACTTTACAGACTTCAAGAAGCCTTCTACGAGAAATTTATGTATCCCAACAATGCGAAGGAAGCCGCGAGCATTAACTCGACCGCCTTTTCTGAAGATGTATGTCCTTAGCTTACGTTCACGCGCTCCTTCCCTACATGCTTGCTACTCCACAATTATTCAATCATGTCTAATCATTCCAGGTCCTTGGCCGCGTCTCTGATACTCGCGATTTTGTCGGCCGCGAACTTAACACTGAATACATCTTCGGCCTATTCATCCCCACAGACTCAATCTCCATCATCGGCCAACCCTACAGCTACGAAATCATGCAATTCACTGCGAACCAGAACATTGCATCCGCATCAACCCGCGTCAACTTCACATTCCCGTCTTTCGGAAACATCTCACTACCCGTGACTATCGATACCTGGATCACCTGGAACGAAGCTGAGGAAATCACTCAATATGACGTAACATTCCGGTGGTTCGCCTACCTCCTGCAAACCCTCCTCCTAGGTCTCGCTCCCGGAAATTCAACTCTAGCGATGGAGAGAGCGACAATGGCGCTCGCGTCCTCCGTCTGCAACGCGCATACTAGCTACTGTAATGGCACCAACGCGCAGTACGAGTCACGAGACGACTGCATGCAATTTCTTACTCAAGAAATCCGATTCGGCCAGGCTTTCGAACTTGGCATGAATACCCTCGGCTGCAGGAGTATCCACGAGATCATGCTCAAGTACCGTCCTGATGTACATTGTCCGCATATCGGCAAGAGTGGAGGCGGCATGTGTGATGATACGATGGGGTATGTGGAGAAGGTTACCGAAAACTTTTTTAAGAACTCACCGTGGGTTCCAACGATGCAGTAGGGTTGGATTGGATGGGGCGGTAGATGGCATTCTAGCGTTGGCGTTTTCTCTAGTCCTAAGAATCGATTTTTGGAGGGCGAAACGGGCTGTATTATAAGATTTAACGGACCCTGGGTAGCATTGGTGTTAATGGGAATTCGGATTGTATGGGTAGAACATCTCTCGACGGCTTGCAGAATAACCACGCCGGCCGAATGAATGAAATTGAACCGACATGGATAAAATATCTGCATAAATCTGACTTCATATTTAAACCGAACTAGTCACACTATTACGTTACTGTAGACTGCTTTGATTTTCGAACAAGCACTTTTCCTCCACACTTCCCCCAGAGCTGAGCACACCTTTCACTGAGACGAGATGTGGCTGTAAGACACAATACAACATTAGATATGTAAGCACAATTGCTGAGATCATGTTTGGTAGACAAACGGACTTCATAAGATCTACATGAATATAGTCGTTTCGAGTAATGAACATACATTAAATATGAAAGTTTCCTTGATCCGAAACGTCTCCACAAAATGGCATTGGCCAGAACCATTCCATTCTTAGATTAACCCCCCCCCCCCTCTGTTCTAGGGAATGTCACAGACGTCGTTTACTTACTCACGGCTCCTCCTTCTAGTTCCGCAGTATGCTCTCCACCGACTGGATTACTCGTTCCACCCAACTCCGCTGCCATTGGCTGCGGCACCTCACCTGAGTCTTGCATCATAGCTACCTTCTGCGGGGGTGGTGACTGCGCCATAGGGTACCCTTGTGGTGGTGGGCTTCCAGGTGCTGAATACGGCGCTGTATACTGTGGAGCTGGGCTAAGCGGCTGTGGGCTGTAGGCTTGCTGGTTATACGGGTCATTGGCGTAGTATGCTGAGTTGGGGTGAGTGCCACCTGGGGATGGTTGCGAGGGATAGCCGGGTTTGACGTCGTTGTTATATTGGGCGACCGGGGGTTGAGGAGCGCCGGGGACGACGGCGGGAGCAGCATGCTGCTGCGGAGGTTGGATTGGCTTCTTCTTGCGACTGAAGAGTAGGAAAATGATACCCCCGATTAGGGCGAGGCCAAGGATAGGACCAATAACTGCACCAGCAATCCACGCTTTTGAAGAGGATTTCTTGGCTTTGGGAGGTTCGGTCGGAGTGGTTGGTGGGCCAGTTACTACGCTGCCAGGAGGTTTCGACTCGGGGATGGTGGAAGTGGGAGATGAGGCTAGTGGGCTGGTTAGTCCTGTTCATGAAAGCGGTCTAGAGAAGAGTAACTAGGTTCGAGGATATACTTACTCTGTGTGAATGAATCGGGAATAACCCGGTAGTAGGACCAATTCACAGAGGACTCTCCGCAAACAATGTCAGTCTTCGGATTCGAGTCGCCAGTGTTCTCGAAGATGAAGGCAGTGTTACAAATCGAAAATTTGACATTGTCAAAATTTTCCGTGCTGTGATGGTGTTTAGCCACAGAGACTTGCAGTGGGGGAATTACAAACGTACCACGCAATGGTTGAGGTTGTGCTGTAGTCGGAGTAAGGATAAATCAGGGATCCGTCTACACATGCAGTCGGTGCATAGCAAGAAGCTAGGGTAGTCGGACAGCATTGAGCATATTTGCCAGCCTGATACCAGGTAAGTCCTGTGTTGCAAACTTCACTAATCCCTGAGATGTTGTCAGCGATGTTACTAATCAACAATGAAGCGGAAGGCGAACAGGTTCCATTGTTTTCTACCCACCCAATGTACCTATCATTGTTCTGCCGAGGTAGGATAGCGGGAGAGGTGATTGTTGGATCTGCTGGTACTAATGCATTCACCAGCGTCGCCCAAGCCAAGGCTGAAAGAAGAGGAAAAGGAAGTTGTGCCGTCATGGTGGTCGTAGTCTACGTACAAGGCTGAAGAAGCTATGTTCCAAAAGCATCGCGTTCGGTGCTAGGCGTCCCAGTTATATAGGAGCACTCTCTGCTGGTACGACCAGCAATCCGCCGTCTGCCGGGTCAAAGCCACAAATTGAGCACAGCAAGTCCCTTGGCTGAATGATCCACTCCCTGGATATGTCTCCCTTCAGAGAGGATGGATCCACCAAAACGACAGCTCTGAGGCTAACGTAGGAAAAGGTGGGATGGCAGTTCGTATTGTACCGGTCAGCGGGCTTGAAGTCAGAGACTTCCAAGTCTAGAACGGTGAACCCTCCTAGCCTCGCCCCAAAGGGTCCAGCTCGTTCAAATGTTTCGTCCGAGGGCTCCGAACAGCCTTCGTTCTCATAATGGCTGTACCACAGTCGGTGCTGGGCCGGAGTGGGCTGCAACAGCAGCAGTCAATATCTTGTGGCGCCGAAGGGCGTCTGGAGGAATCTCTTGGCACGTAGAATCCGTGGACTGTATCCTCGAGCTGAGATAACGTCCGTTTCTGAATGCAACTTGAAGAAATAGGGAAGTCGAGCCCAATCGAGGTTGCAGTCCAAAAGCCTCGGGTTGGTGTGGGTCGCATGATGATTGGTCAATTTGCTCTTGTCTTTCAGCTGCCGCCTTGGGCGACCCGGGCGCCAGCTGCGGAAGGAAAAGCATGCCCAGCCGCCTGCGAGAATCCACGAAGCGAATTTTGGCAAAAGTAGGCGAAAGGGTGGCGACAATGACAGAAAGCTTTGACTTGGATTGATATATTGGTGGACTTGTAGGTACTAAATATACTTACTCGTGATCCGCTACATATGAGAATAAGAATGCCATTTAAGAATTCGCACAGACCTGAGAGACAAGGACTACCCGTGAGTGTTGAACGACCGGAGAAACTGCGGCCGGTGGTGGCGGTGGTGATGATACGAAGTCCAATGCAAACAGCAGCTCGTGACCAGATACAGCCAAATTAGGTTAGCATATGGCGGAGATTACTTACTCCATCCCCGTGCTCTTTGAGGTAAAGGCCGGCATCGACTTTGATAAAGCTGATATTGGTCCAGCACTGGGACGTCTCTTCATCAACGAGCCAGCATCGCTGGGGAGACGACATCTCTCCGGAGCGTCCATTATCCCATTTCTCCGATACACAAGAATTGTCTTTTTCGAGCTAACGCAGCCGTCAACGCACGGCCAGCTGCTCGAGCGGCATCATCCATGCAACAACCATTCCCTCCTGTGTCTCAGTATTTCCCCCGAGACACGATGATAATTATGCCACGTCTATGAGCCGATCGTTCCACTGCCAAACCCAAGATCTCACCGATCTGCCATCTCTCCTAGTCCAATTCTCATTCATGATTATGCTCCCCTTGGCTCGCCGGAGGTCGTCGCCAAACAGAACCGCTGAACGCCGATGGCTGGACGAATTGCCCGAAGACGTCCTGATCTTAATTTTCTCCCAGTGCCGAATTGATGAGCTCTTTACGCTGCGACTAACGAGTTCAAGAACGCGAAGCCTCATCTCCGAGTACATTGCTACAATCGCACCCTCGGTCGGCCGCTCGACGTTTCCCCTTAACGACCTTCTGTTAACGCCGCTCGAAAACCCGACGCTCTACACGATCAACTGGCTCAAGGGATTGATCCCACTGCAGCTAGCGTCCATACTGGTTGATCGGCATCGGTTCTCGCATGAGTGGACGGAGCAAAGATATGGCATACCTGCTGAGGATCCCTACGGCGACGTGCTTCGGGCGCGAGTCGCCAATGGCTGGCGCGTTTTACGAAGACTATCGAAAATCTCCCAAGACGTCTACAATTTGCATCCTCGAAGCGTGGTAAAGTCGACGACGGCGAATCTTGCGTGGAAAGTTGTCCACCCGTCTCGGTACAAGTTTGAAGTCTTCCGAGAAAGAGAAGATATGATCCTCAAACGCCGACTCGATTATATTAAAAACCTACCCGATGAACTCGCGAAAGACTACAAGCTCATGTTCATGCTGCTCTCGTCCGCCTTCCGAACGTCCGTTTCCAATTATGGCGATGACTATAAGCCCTGGATATTTGATTGGGGCTGCGGAATTGATGGGCAGCGACTTCTTCGGAGAGGAAACTCTTGGTTGACATGGTTCGTTCTCAACGAAGGCCCTGATCTGTTTTGGGAACAATGGTGGTCTTTAGATCCAAAGACTCCCTCTACGAAAAACCATATTCGCGACCGCTCAATCGAAGCCTGGTTTGGCACTACTAAGATTACCCCTGAAGACTTTGTCCGGCAGTTTTTGCCGAAGGAGTGGAACGACGTCAATGAGAAATGGCACAGCATCCAGCGAGACTATGCATTCAAGGTGCAGAAGGCCATCGAGGAGAAAGCTGCATCAGCTTCAATGGATTTTACAGCTGTTAATCCGATCCTGTATTTCACACAGTATGCTGAGTGTAGGCAGCTTAGGGGTGAATCTGGAATACCTTCGGTTAAAGAGACGCTGTCACAGGTACCGTTTCATGTAGATTTTCGATGCCCAGAGGAACTGTTCCAGAAGTTTTGTTTACTGAGATCGGAGAGGGTTGTTGCGATGGCAAATCGTCCACGTGGTGAGGGGTAGAATGTATTGAGCTTGGATTGGGAGGATGTATGATTATTAAGCCATGCTGTATGCGCAGATAGGATACGGATATGTACAGTACTTTCCGCTCTGGACTTCCTGGCCTCTAATCGACTATCGAATAAGCCTCAGTCAGACGACGCTTCCGGAGCTTCCTTCGTCATCACGGCATCAAAGAGCCAATTATTCCAATCATCGCCATTCATGATACATGTCAAATGCGCCCACAGTACGCTTCCTCACACTAGACTTCCTCTTTACGGACAGTCGGCACATCCAATGAAAATCAGCATTTATTAGTAAGCGCGAATCAGCTAACTAACTATCACATCTCACCTTTGCAGTAAAAATAGGGTGCGGAGACTCCCGTTGCGGAGATTCCCGGATATCAGCAGCCTACCAATCTACCTCGCACCACATAATTATGAAGTGTCGAGTATCGAGTATTGAAGTCGGTGATAGACGTCAAGCGTGTGAATTGTTGTGCCGCTTTCAGAACCAAGCCGACGATTTTCATGGCCGTTGAGAAGTCGATGCTACTCAGCGGCGTTCATGCATGTCAAATGAAACCTAACGAAAGGGAAAAGAAGGGCCAGCTTCCTGAAAATTTCTCCCACGATGAAAAAGCGAGCCTGCAGCCACATGCGCGTCTGCCGAACGTGCTATTCCTAATGGCGAAGGACCGCTGATAGAGCCATGCGATCTACAAGTGTTGCAACGATTTGGGATACTTGCAGTTATAGTCTGGCAGTCCTTCAAAAAAATTCCACAAGGATTTCGACAAGGCATCAGGATAAGATGCAGAGGAGAGCGGCGTGCGAGGCCGGAGAGGGCAAATGGGCGACGCTGCGCAGAGGGTCACGAAGAGCATCAGCAAGCATGGGCGCGGCTCTCGTGTGATTGGCTGGCTGAGGTGGCCTAAACGAGGCGATGTTCGCTCGCAGCATGGATGGCGATGATCTAGACGCCCCGGCTGAGGCACTGTGAGCTGTCTATCTGGTGTTGTGTGCGTGCTCGGGAGATTGGAGGGGTGGATCGCAGAGGGGTGAAGGCGCAGTCGTCTGCAACCCACCTGCAAAGCCCTTGGAGGGGAAGGTAGTGTGTGAAATACTGCGCTACTACTTTTGGAGGAGGGGTGCCTTTCACTCCTCGCTGTGCTGGTATCCCGCTCGCTCACAGCCTTTCAGCCCTGTCGAGCCCGTGTTTCGAGCGGACATGGATGGCGAGAGTTCTGCATGTTCCAGGGATGTTCTAGGGCGATTAATCCTGCTCGATTCGCTGGCGAGCTCGTATAAGAGCGTCGCAGTGTTTCGTTCTGAGCCTCGAAAGGGGGCGACATGCTACGTAGAAGATATAAATTTCTTGAAACTGGTCAGACAGCGTAGCATGCATTGCCAGTGGCTAGCCCCAAGCAAGCTTGGAAAATAGGCAATTGTTAGAGTCGTGCACGTGACGGGGGTATCTATTTTTATCGCGGCCAAGGCTTTGGAATGCGGCAAAGAGGCGATGGATTTGCGCCCGGCTGGGGTCAGAACTCCAGCCAAGGTCTCACACCGCGAGCCGACTACGGTTCCCTCACCATCACGCCTCGTCCTTCAGCTGGTTGCATCTCCAACAACTCTCTCTCGCGCCCCAAGTGATGCCTCTCCCCTCTTTATTGAGCTGCTAGGTTGGACATACAGCAGGCATGATTGATGGGGCCCCGCCGCACGACCTCCTGAGTTTCTCGAAACCCGTCATCGCGACTCCCGAACCGGCGGCACCAGCAACCATAAAATGGTCGGCAGGAGATCGCCGCAAGACGGAGGCACATTGCTGGCGATAAGGACAGACATCAGAGGGAAGGGCATCGCCAGTGACGATGTCGTGGACAGACAAACCCGCCCCAGCGTCTCGCGAACCGGCTCTCTTAACTCTCTCGCGTCCGCCGACGAAGCACACAACACCCACCTCTCTGCCTCGTCGGCCGGGAACACAGACACGCTGTCCTCGTCTGAAGTCTCGGCCCACTCCACCGCCCGCACCTCCGCTATGACCGACGACGATCGGCCGAGCGCTTCGAGCCCCTCTCGACATCCCGAATACCCCCCTCCCGCCATCAACATTCTCGAACTAGTATCAAACACCGCATCCTCGTCTGCTCTGCCCGATAGTTTCGGCTTCAACGTCTCCCGGAGAGGAAACTTCGTTGCTGTGTACACGGCGTCAAATATTTGGCTCATCAAAACAGAGGGTCTGCCACGACTGTGGGCGCGGACTCTGGAGGTGAGGCGGAAGCCGGTCGCTATTGACATCCAGGAGAATGGCTTCTTGCTGGCAGTCCTCTCCCGGCCCTCACAGGTTGACTTGTACGAGATTCACGGCGAGCAGGACAGGCAAATCAGGAAGAGAAGAACGATAATGCTCGTGCATGAAGCTAGCTCGGTTGTCATCTCCCCAGACGGCCTTATCCTCATCACGGGGAGCCGGTTTGGCATTGAAGTCGTCGCCGTCGGCCCAGAAGCGCCCGAATCTTGCAGACGAACATTGTCTGGCCCCGTAGGGGACACGCTGGAATTTTCCGATGACGGGCGGACGCTCCTAATTACTGGCTATGCGCGCAAAAATGGGACCTCGTCAATGTACGTCCTCCCAGGGCTTTATGATGGGCCGCTCAGCGAGGAGGGCGAGCCCATCCCCGCATCCCCAGAGGCTGCCTGGACGGGCCTAGTGCTCTTCCCCGAAACAGCGAGGATTGCACGACAAGCTACCCTTTTGCCAGACGCTGATACAGGCCAAGTCAATGAGTTGTTTGCCTTCAACGCTGATGATGACACGTGGGGTGTATACGATATTGCCAGCCAACGATTCACGCAGACTAAGATGTTTCTTCCCGATCAACAGCGGTGGACTCGATCAGAGTTCATTGACGATGCCATGCCAGCCATTTCTCCAAATTCAGATTTTGCTGCTGTCGCGCTTCGGATACGAGGGACGACTAGCCTCTGGATATATCAGGTACCTGAGTGGGATTACAAACCCAAGCAGAAATCTAGCGACCAGTCACCCATCCAGCCCTGCTTCTGCATCCCAATTCTTCAAGACAGCACAGAGTCTCACCAGGAGATCTGCGTTCTACGCTGGGTCAGGAAGAACAAGCATGTTCAACAACTTCTCGCTGTTGGGAATATAAGCACCCCTCCCACTGAATCTGATGGACCATCTGTTCCGCAAGGGTCGAAGGGTGTTATTGTTGTGCTTGATTTCGATTCGAGTAAACCTGCTAGTAGCCAATGCCCTGTCCCGACCAAGACTGAGTATGATTTAGACAGCCTTTTGCCTGGAGAACGGTTACCAGAAGGAGCAATCGACTTCGAGCGAGAAGTAGAACTGGTGAGAACACGGACAATAGCACAGAGACGGGCTCAAGAACGGGGAGTCGACGGGCGGAGACATTCCAGAGCTGGACCCGGCCGTTCTCACACTACTGCGAACCGAGAGCGTCCTACGTCAATTCGTCCACTCATTCCATCCATTACGAGAGATGACGAAGAGGAGTTGACAGGGGAAGAGGTTCAAGCAGCCTTCGAAGTCCCATATGATCATACCCAACCAAGATCTCAAATATCCCTTGCACGAGCGGCCACTGTTGCTGCCGTGTCTCCCGCAAATCGTCGCCATCTTAGGGCTCTACCTTTCAGGCCTCTGGAGTACCGACGTGCAGACGGACTTCGGGAATTTCCTCATGAAAGTGACGCGGATAACTGGGTGCCTCCGCCACCAGCATATACAGCAACGGCCGAAGCAGCTCAAAGCGTTAGTTTAAGCCATCCTGATGCTCCTCCGGTCCCAAGACACAACAGTCCGGTCCCAAGTGAAGTTCCTCCAGTTCCACCTCTCCCAGCAACTAGACGGCCTTCACAACAACTCACCACGAACCCATATCCATCCAGAGGAAGTTTCCAGTCTCAGTCATCCTCCGATCTGACCCTTGCCGCTCCCCAACCCCGTCCTTCACTGCTCCATCCATCAACATATCCCAGCCCTCAGTCACCAGTTCTTGGCCGAAGGCGAAGCTCTTCTGCGCAACCACAGGTTCTGAACCAACCACTACCTCCCGTATCCCAGAGCCAGACCGCATACCAAGCGATGTCGTCTGCTTTTCCAGGCCGACGTCTAACCCTACGAAATCGAGTCGAAAGCACGGTCGAGTTACGTCCTCCCCCAATAGTCGATCCTGCAACAGGCCGCAGAGGGTCAGCGCCGGACACTGGAGCGCATCGTCGACATATACCTATCGTGACCTCGCCAAATCGAGTCAGTATGCCGAATGGTCTAACTGGGAGATCTACTTTCAGGCGAGCTATGCTTCCGAGGCTATCGACATTGGGAGATACTGTTACCCAACGAGGACCTCTATCTGCACCGCCAAGAACCACTTCAGGGCAGACAAGACGTCCACAAAGGCCCGAACCAAGGACTGGGGTGAAAGATAAGCAGAAGTCTCCTGGGAAGAAGAGGATTGGGTGTGTGGTGATGTGAGGAACCCGTTGAAGGCAACATTAGCAATACCTCCTACCGCTACATTGGATTTGATAAATATTTGCTCTCTTTTCCTGCTATATTGTGAAGTTCTGGAGTTTGGGGGATCTTGGCGTACATAATATACCCTTATGGGCGTTTCAGGGCGTCCTTTTTACCTTCCTCCTTTCCCCTGTGAGGTTTGGTTAGGGATTTGGTAAGGATTGGAATTGAAATGGAAGGAATGGATGATGAATAGCGTTATGATGGGTCGATTTTGTAGAAAGAAATCTACCTCCTTTTACATTATCCTGTCTTCAGTTTTTGTACCCTTCTTTTACAACTGCTGGACCTGTCGAGGCTTGCAACAGCCCTTTCGTTTTGACCAACACCTGATTCGATCTTGGAATAGAGAGCTGGGGATCTCTAATTCAAAGTCCCTATTGAAAGTTCCAAGCGCGGAGTCCTATAAAGAAAGCTTGCAAGAACAGCTCTTGGTGAGTTTTCACGTTACATCGGAACGGGCAATACCTCAAGATTCCGACGAGCAATCGGCTTCTAGGGTCATCTTTCAGGGACATGAAGGAGGCAGACTGATAAAGAAACCCAGATTCTGTACCGATCATGTCCAACGGGAACACGTTGGTTCATTTATGTTCTCTCCCTACCACCTTATGCGGAGCGCGAAAGCTCTCTTTTACTCCACTTGCACCAGTTCATATTGACAACAGATGCACGTAATCCTGCTTAAGAAGGTTCTAGGCCTAAAAGAGTCTCGAGCGCCTGTGGCGCTAGCAAACCTAATCAATATCATCCAACTGGCCTTATAACAACGAAAGAGCGGGAGCAGTCTTGTTCGGCAACTTCCCACTTATTTCGCAAGATCATTAGCTATTCCTTCATGCACACGATTATCAGTCAAGCCAACGCTCATAGTAGTTCGAAATCTACCAGACAATTCTTAACTAGTTTGGCTACTGCACTCAATGCGCGTATTCCGTGTGAATCTTCCCTATGCTGTTTAACACTTTGTTCGCAACGAATCGGGAGAAACATGATAGTTAACCCCGGCGACCCACGAGAGTGGAAGAGTACTACTGAGAACCTGTATCCTGCACCTACGAGCGTAGATGTATTTGCAACCAGCTCCCATCTCTCCATTCATATCCAGCATGGCTGTTCCCTTCCATATATATTCCCGAGGTTGGTAGGTGGCAGAGCGAAATTCCGTTCGATCACTCGTTGCCCGTTGCTACACCGATCGCCCATTGTTATATCTCTGCCCTTGCCTTGTCGGGCTTAAACTTCCATGAAAACAACGCCCCGTCCCTTACGCCCGTGCCTAGAACAGTGCCATCCAGGGCTCTCATCGTCCCAACTACGGCAGGTAGAATACCGGGGGGCAACCTTCTGTCTTCGCCTGCTCATTTTAAACCTCGAAACACGCTTTGCCCTTATTCGGACTTCAAGTACCGTTTCCAAGGCTGAACGGCACACTGAAGTCACCACATCTCTTGCATTGATACAACTCAACCACCTAAAAGCATATTGCCATCCTCTCGACCTTGAGAAGTACTTACTGAGCCCCAGCTCCCACGGTACTCGACACTGCAACCCATCTTGCACCCGCTTAGCCCCGCAACGCACTTATTGAGCTCCACTCTCCTTAAATTTCAAACAGAAACAAACGCCAGCCCATATGCCGCTCTCCAAATTGATCGTCGTTGTTGGCATTACTGATCTTCAAGGGGACTCAGTGGCTCAAAGCTTTCTTCAGTTTCCAGGATGGAACGTTAGAGGAATATCTCGCAACATTTATTCGGATACATCACTACAATGGACGTCTATTGGCGTCGAAATGGTCACGGCAAGCCTTAGCAACACCGATAACTTGTGTATTGCCTTTGCAGACGCAGACGCCATCTTTGGTGGCACCGAGTTTTGGGGCCAAATGAAAAATCTAATTGCTCGTATTTTCCCCGCAATGTCTGGAAATCCGCTTACTGAAGCCTACAATACCATCGAGAGGCGTTATGGAAATAATCTAGCCGACGCCGCTACGAGCGTTGCCGGTCTTGAGAGATTTCTCCTTTCTACTCTTTCCGGCTCTACATTTCGAAGTCAGGGCGGCGTTATGGGTGCCTACGGCTTCGGTGCAAAATGGCTTTCCGTACAACATCTTCGAAGCAACTTCCTTGCGCTTTCATCGGTCACGTCCCTTGTGCAGGCGGCATCCTTCATAAAAAACTACAGGACGTTAATTCAGTCGGTCAGTCATTCTCGCAATAGCCTTCTCTTACCCCAGTAACACACTAACGACAGCGATAGAGAGGTGATGGTATTTTTATATTCGGAACAATGAGACCACCAGAAGTCAACTCTCCGTGGATTCATCCGCCAATTGACATAGGTTTGGTATTCGCTACTCTGTTCCATTTCCATTGCTCACCATTCATAGGTACCTTTATCAAGGCGTTTGCACTTGCACCTCCACGACAGAACCTCGCTGGCGGAGCCGAAAATCTCAATTGGAATCAGATTTGCGGCATCTTCACCAAATTCTTCAGCATCCCAATCGAATACAAGCAGTACCTCGTTGCGAGATTAGATGTCATTACCCCCAGGCGAGCCCTCACGCTCGCAAATATATTTAGCTACTTCGAATACCACGAATGCTACGTCGATGACAGCACAATTATGTATCCATCCGACCTTGAACACCAACTTGGGATCCCTGACCCAACGACCAGATTCGAGACCTTTCCCCGAAACAATTTCCCCTCATTTCTCGAAAAAGCGGCCTGTAAAATAGCCAGTCAGGTGTCTGCACCTCCTTCCTTTTTATCGTCAGGCATTTTAGAGTCTCAAGTTAAGAGTGAACCTGCAACGGTGCAGAGCCGACCACGTAGACGGAACCAGCCGCCACCCCTAACAATCTACGAGGACCCCTCAATTCCAGTGCAGGGGCCGAGCCCGCTTGCGCTGTTCCAGAATTGGGGCGATGATAAGGAGAATCGCCCTCCGTAGTAGATTCAGAGGGGTGGTGGCTTGGGGATCATTCATAAACAAGCAGTAGTACTGTAGATTAGCATGGCTAGCCTTATAATTATTCCCCGTTTCAGTTTAAGCCCTATGATCCGTATCCTTTCATATAGAATTCTTGATCAATGCCTCTCTTCCCGTCTTGTGCTCACGGGAGCACCCATGGGCGGTGTATAGCCACAAACTAATTCTAACTAGGTTAGAACACCAAGATAGTCCGATTCATCAATTCGATAGCCAGGTACCCTCACAAAAAAGCCCAAAGGCTTTTGTCCGCCCAAGTGCTCACCTAAATACTCATTACGAGCGCTGCCGGCCGTACAATATCAGGACGAAAACACAATAACAGCCTCCCCAAGCGCAATATCTAACTACCGACAGTATTCGAACCAGCGAAGAGGCTTCAGACAAAAACAAGACAACCACATATAATAACGAAGAATCCAAGTAAAATAAAGATCTCATCCAGCGCGGTAATCTTGGTGATGGAACTGGCGCTGAAGGTGTCCCCACCTGACCTCCGCGGTGATCATACTTCTGCTCAACACACCCTGAAACTCGGTGCTCTAGCACTTCAGAAGAAGGCAACCTTTGCCTTGAATTACCATTCTCCGGCAAAATAGAAAAACTAACTACAATCAAATGATGGTCATTTGTTTCTAGATGTTTGCAGGGTAATTAAAGGTTGAAAACTGCGGACTCACACTCGCTAAGAGACAAGAAGCAAAATCCTAGTACAAAATGCGCCTTTCCATGCACGACATATTTTCTAGTGTGAACAAAATCGGCAGGCATGAGACTTTCTTTCTATAACTAGAACTCCAGTTAAGGCTGATGATGCCTACATTCGAATACAACCACTGGAATGCACAAAGATATAGATTTACTGCTACAGGCTCCAAATATTAACGGAAGAACATGACTTTGAGGGAAATATTGAAGCTCTAGTGGACTATGTACTTCTCTAAGTGACCGATATCCCTACCAATATATTATTCAAGCACCCTCATACATGTGGGGAAGAAATTAGCATCCACTACGGAATTTTCCAAATTCAAAGACCACATGAAAACGTCTCATAACTATAACATCATCCAATACTCTTGGATTCTACGTAGGAGGGTATTTGTAGATGAAGTTACGGCCAGAACTCTACATTTGAATAATGAACACAGTTAGCAGGAATATTATTTTACTAGTTGTCTATTTTCCATCAACAGCAAACGACCTGTCTCTGCATACAGACAACGTTTGGCCATACGATAAGAGAGAGAAATGCGTATAGGAGAAAGTTGAGTGGCTTAGTTCTGCTCTAAGTATCTAAACACCTGTTTGTAGCTCACGTTTCAGAACACTACAGTATCCCTAAGGCCTAGATACCTCGTTGAGATTCAATAACATGGAGCCTTCAACCAGTCTTCAATACAAGCGACAGGGCAGAGCTTAGCCATCTCCCAGGTACTTATGCTAAACTTAAATAAAGGCTACGCTGAGAAATACGTGCGTTACCCAAGTCTCCAATTGCTGGCCGCTCAGATCACTAAAGTTGGATCAATCTTGAATTCAAATTTCTGCCAAGAATTCCATTTATATTATTCGGCTTAACCACATTAATATAGAAGATCGCAACCCGGGAATAGACCTTCCTCTAAAATACGTTAATGGCCAACCCATCTGCTAGGCTTCTTTGGATGCAATGAGCAATTGAGTAAGGACAGCACCTTCCGCTAACAACACCAATCAGAGATGCCAGAATTGCTCCAGATCTCGTGGACCCGAACCAATATAGTTGAGAGAGTCAATCTAAAGTAAGACTTTAGAACCTCTATCAGGTCCAGTAAAAAGCAATGAGAACCCCCCCGCCCGATGGCGGCCTCGGCTTCCTGGATTGTCGTACCCCAACTGCGCTGGATAAAATTAGCTATATTCCATAGTGTGTTACCACACAACATGGAACATAATCCGGGCAAGTCTGTCGTTTACATCTCTTCCTGGAATTTGGGAGGACCTCAATAGGATGCACATTTCTGTCCTGAATTACTCTTCAATCATGTTCTACAATAGGTATAGCTATCTTCAAGAATGACCCATGATTCTAAGCAGGCTGCTCTCTACAAAATCCTGGAGGACTTTTTGATTCTATTATATCACCTTATCGTCAGTCAAAGGGATCCCTCCAAACGCTGGGAATCAGGAGACAACTGTCGCCTCCTCTTGGCTATGTCTGTACACTACTTGGGTATCTCAAAAGACTCTAGGGCCAGCCTAGTTATACCGCATCTATTTTCATAGTTGGGCTTGAATGATTTGTGGTTGAGCCTGTACGACAATTAAGAGTGTTCTCTTTGTGGGCTGAAAGAATGGTGGCGTTTGAAGCTAGATGTTGGTTGGTCAGGATCTATTAGCCCCGCACTGGGCTGCAAGGTTGCTCAGCCCCCCGCTCTGGTCCTCCTCTAGTCCTCCAGGACCAACACACCCTCAGGCGCCTTTCGGGCATTGCCTCAACATTTTAAACTCAGCCTTGGGCTAGGCAGGCATACATATAAAATCTCTCAAACACCATGGGCCTCACCATCTCTCATCCACTTCTCGATGCTGAATTGGGATCTCGCAAGCGACTCCCCGCAGCCGACAAAGGACAAGAAGACAGGCAGACGGAGGATAAGCCGAATCTTTAGAACAAAAAAGAAACTTGCCTTATCCGTTGCTGAGAAGCAAGAAGAAGTGTGCAAAATGCCGGACGTATATTTTGCGTTCGGCCCAGCACACAGCTATTATTTCTATTGTGGAGGTAGAGACCGGCTGTGAGTTGCTCTTCTCGAGTTTTCTGACATACTTCTTTCTTTCGAAAATGGACGGTGCTGAGAACGGTGCAGGCTGAATGTCCCGGAGCAGTTCAATCGATATGTTCTCACGAGACCGGAGAATGGAGTCAAGAAGTTGCAAAGGCCACAATGCATTGCTTTGGGACCGACCGAACAGGAGTACTATGCTATGTACACGACGTGCGAAGGAACTGACCGGTATACCTACGGTGAGCACCAAACAAGTCCGCTTAATCTAGGTTAAACAAAGGCCAAAAAAACACCCGTAGATAATCTATAAGGGCGTCCTAGCAGGTTGCAAATAGTGTCACAGAATGGGCAGGCGACTAACAGCCACAGACTTCCAGAATTCTCATCCGGAATTAATGTCCTGGTTCAAACCACTCTCCAAGGTCGTTGGCACCCACATGGCCGTAGGACCATGTCGGTCATTCTATGCATGCATCCCAACTTCCTCTGCAGGTGGAACTTTCTACTCTCCACAAATTCCGACTACCCTCAAAAACCTGCTAGATGCTAGCAGCTCTAACCCAAATAGGAAGTTCACTACCCAAGTGAGCCTTGGCTATGGGGGTTCATGGTTCGTATTGTGGCCTAACGGAGACGTATCATGGGATCTTGCCGGTCAATTCGAGGGGCTGGAAGATGTGCTCAAGAAGTTACCTGAAAAGTGCATTTCGTACCTAGCACTTAATCCCTGGGCTCCGGGACAGTATTTCCTGGTTGCTGAGGATGGAACCGTCAAGTTTTGTCTACCAGCTGAATGGGCTGTGACGATCGAGGAGGATATTGCAACGTGGCAGAATCGGTTCAAAACAGTCACTTCTAGTACAATCAGAGGTGGAAAAGCAGATTCTTCAACAGCACTGCCAGGTGGAAAGATAGGTCTCCCGATTAAGGAGGAGAAGGATGGGAAGAGCGAGAAAAAGGGAGGACATGATCTTCCGCCGCCCTATGAAGGGAGGCACAAGTGAAGGTGGTGGATATACGTTTTTTTGGATCATGAGATACGACCCTCTTTCTTATTTTCATTGTGAATGATTATTGTAAATTTTGCTTGTCGTGTGAGAGCTATGTCTTTGCTACGAAGAACCGTTAATCCATAATTTCATGAGCTCGTTAAAATCTTCAACATATTCAGATTTTTGTGTCTTCCTTTCCACTCTAGCAGCTTTGAACTAACAATCTGATTGTGAATACATGCATTAATTGCTATACGTAGGTTTACTGCATGAAGGGCAGTTGCCATACAACATATGTTGTTCATGTCCGAACTGACTTGCTCGAAGGTAACCATCTGATGCCCTCCCTTGCCATTGTGTCAAGTCCTGGAATCTACCAAATAGACGATTCGATGCCGGTGCCCTCCAATCTGTAGCCGGCGAGGTCAATATCATCCGGGGCAATTTCTTCATATTCCCCTCCAGTGGAATCAACCACCTCGTAGGCGCCATTACGATACACGGCATACTTGACCCCCCAGCCGAGCTCCGTACACTGTTGCACGAACTTCCAATGATGTGGACACTTCATAAACTTGAACTCAGCGGGTCTAAAGGAGTGGAAGAGCCGCACGATAGATACCGAAAGCGTCCCTGATAACTTCTCTTGAAGCTTCAATATTGCTTCAATCATCTTGTTTTCAGGATGCTGCTCGCGGAGAAGTGGTAACACACCCGTCTTCTGTATTTCAGAGGCAAGATAACCGTAGGGAAAGACACCACAAAATTGATACCAATGCGGCAAGACCAGATTCAGTGTCTTAAGCCTCTCAAATTTCATTAACGCATAACACACGTCGAAGCAGCTGAGTTCGTAGTCCAAATCCCGCGGATGCCGGAAAGGAACGGCGGCCGTGAAGTTGCGAAATGAAGTGCTAGTGTAGATGCATTTGAACCTGTTTTCGTAATCCTCGTACCAGAATGGCAGAGGGAGGGTCAGAGAGGTAATATGCTGATAATTTCGACGTCCGATTTGATACAGGAAAGTGTTTGCTACCATCCAGCCATTCACTGCGGAGAATCGGAATGAATTCTTGCCATAGTAGATCTCGCCTGCTTCGGTGTTGATGAGGCGGCAAGTGCGGAGAAGGTTGATGTTGCAGTTCCATTTGCTATGGGCTTTATGGAGTTTACGGAAATTGCGGCCCCGAGCCATCCGGTTTCCGAGACCAGGGAAGCCAGTTTCAGGCCACATCTCAATGGGTTTGGAGAGCTTGAGGACGATCTCGTAGATTGAAAGACGGATTTCTACCGGAAGGTCAAGGAAGCGGAATGGCTTGCGAGGCTAGCCTGTATAAGTTGCTTGAAGGGCAGTGAAGAGCGGGTAGGGGTAAATGAACGTATGACTGACAAACCGGTAGGCATACTTCATCTCCTTGTAGAGTTCCGGGAAGCGTTTATATTTCCTTAGCTCCCGAGGTTTATGTGCCCGAAAAGCTGGGAGGCCGGCTTTGCTACGGTTGGGTCAGCGAACATCTTCTACCAGTTGGTCTTATGGGACAGGGTAGCCAGATGCGGTTTGGTTGACTTACGGGTGTTCTGGCCATGCAGGTTCAGGGAATTGCCAGATGTCGGCGTTTGGTTGTCCAACTGACTCATCTGTGTCGAGTTGCATAGCACTATGGTTGGTAGTTAATAAGGAATTTTCTTCTAACAAGGCCTTAATGGACCGTGATGTCTTCAATTTTTTTGGTAAAATGTATAACAAGTTGTTCGTCGCAGGGCGAGGCGGCCATATTCGCGCCTGGTCGCATGGGACTTTTATAGCCTCACACTCTCTTAACTTGGCAGGAGCGCAGCGTGGTCGACATGACATCCTCCTCATTCTTCTTCTCTTGGCAGGAACCATGCTTCCGCCTTCTAGTCAACGAAGGGCTAACCTAGTGGTTGGGGAGGATAAACTTCAGGAATGAATTGCCGGTCACGTGGTTATCGGAAACTGCGCATCAAAGGTGACGGCCACCAGTGCAGTAGCACAAGAGCCTCAGCTCCATATTATGATGTGCGAGAACTTTCTGCCTAACAGTAAGTTGGCGACAGCCCTTATTTGCCTGGTAGGCAGCAATGCGCCCTTTTCGGTACTCGGTTCTCAACACTGAAATAGATCTCCATGCAGATACCATACTTTGAATAAGTGATATGAGTAACCCTATCCAATTACGTGTAGGGCAGAGGGCATATAGTTAGAGTGGGGTGAGTGTACGTATCTGAGGTTTTCGACGCTAAAACAAGGCAGCGTTTGCCATTAGAAAAAAGTTGTTCACAACGTCCGAGGATCTTCTAACATGCGGCCATTTCGTGTGCGGAAAGGAATTTGTTGCGTACACCCCCGATACCTTCCGTGCCGGTCTTTCCATAACCACCATCCGGCATACCATTCGTAAGCGGCCTCAACAACTGAAAGTGGAGGAGGTGAATAGTCTAAAGGAAGACACACGCTGCCATGCTACTGTTGTATGCAAAGAACCCGAACTCATTTTCGCCATAAATCACCTTGAATCCTTCAAGACTGATTTGCTTACATGTGCAAAGAAGGCTTAGGTTAAGATTTTGTCGATGAGTTTTCCGAGTGTAGAACATTCGACCGCGTAGTCGGACCCGGAGGTGATGTTTCTGTCCACCACCACTCCCAACCTAAAGCTCTATGGGCAGCGCAAGAATAAATGGTGTGTGTGTGTAGATTTTGATTCCAATCTCGGGGACAAATTTGGGGAAGGGAAACCATGTTTCAGTCTAAATTGTCAACGTTGATAGTTTCATGATGTATCCTAAATACTTCCTAGAACCTACGAAGTTCTTCGCCCACTTTATTCCCACAATCATAACTCCAAGTCGTTTATATGGGCTTAGCTCATCTTTACTGTGGAGGAGATATGGAATTGACTTTCTGTTAGAACAGCTGAAAAGCAGTTTCTCTTCGTTAGCCTTAAGTTTAGCATCCATTTCGGCAACAATACTATCAACCTAGTCTTCATAGTGTCGATGCTTGAGGTTGAGGTTGAGTTCGTCCGCAATCCATATAGACGAGTTAGAGAGTCTTGAAGTGAGGCCGGTCGCGGTGCTATGAGTACTTGCGATACAGTGGCTATTGAGAGTTACTATTTGAGACGCGGGAACGCACTATTGTTCAGGCGCTTTCTCTTTGATCATGTTGGGTGAAGCTCATATGTTGCTAAGGGAGTGAACCTTAGAACGTCAAGAAATAGGTGTACACATGACGGTAAACAAGAAGCGACTGAGGGCACTCATGACGGAGTGTAGCGAGTGTCTAGTTATAGCCACCGGGAACCTAAGCGGTAGGTTCAATTACTTCCAGATTCGCATCGACGAACATCTTCGCCCTGTGCATAAGTTTATTCTGCTTGGCTTTTGATATCCATTCGTCCAACTTCATGTAGTCTGTGGCGAGAGAATAATGTGACGAAATATGCGTGTAATGTGAGGCTGAAAGGAGGTACCTGAGTATGCTGAGAAGGAATAGTAAATGTGCCGGATACTATTCGATGTGCGTAGGGTTTACATCCTTGTTCTTCGCCTTCGGATTCATCCGGGAGTGCCCTTCGCCAAATATCCCTGAGAAAAAATGCCATCCTCCGAGCACCGTAGCTGTAAGAACAGCCGTAATAACCCAATACATCCATAACCACTTCGAGGCCATTTCTCCGCCTACGCGGAAATCGAAGAAGGACGTGCTGAAAAAGGCAGCAACGAAAGTGGCTGGGAGAAATGAGAGTGTGATAATGGTGATAGCACGCATATCTCTACTATGTCGGTAAGTCGCGGTAGCGATGTCTTTCATGTATTCATTGTCTTTGCGGGAGAGATTGGTGAGCTCAAGAGATTGCGCGGCGGTCCGGTGGTTGAGATAGTTGTCTTTTTCGGCCATGAGGGAGAAACACTGCAAATTGTCAGGCGCAAAGTTAAACATCTCGCGACAAACTCTGAAAATACGTGCCGTCTGCATTGTAGTTTCTGCTCGATCAGACAGATATTGCGCCCGCTCCTTATAACCTAAGATGACAGTCCGCAAATACCTTGATTTAGCCTCATATTGCATCAACACGTCCATTTTCCCCGCTACACCATCTAGGAAAGCAATCAAATCGATGAAAATATTACACTTATACTTTTGATATGCCAGATCATTCTTCACGCTTGCCAGCTCACTCCTTAACAAATCAAAGTCTGCCGTTTTCCAGGGCTCGATCATTCCTTCTTCCCTTCGTTCATCGGGATGCAACATATACACCTTGTAGACGCCTGCGGAGATCTCCATACGCTCGATGTTATCTTTGTGATCAATAAGCGAATTCTTTATATGTGGAATGCGGCGCTCAATCTGGAGCGATGCGAGGATGCAGGGATGCCAAATAGAATGTTGCAGTTCTTTGACTCGTTGGAGGATCACGTCCTTGGAGGAGGTCTTGAGCACACGCATGATGGCACAGGTCGTCGTATTGGAGCGGTTGGTAGATATCATGGATGCAGTGTCGACAACGCGCTCATTGTGACCCTCGACGCGGACGATGAAGCCTGATTGCTCAGAATAGGAGGTATGAGGTGATGAGCGTAGGCGTACCGGCTAAGCAATCCTTGTCAGGGACTTCGAAGTATCGAGTTGGACCAATGGACAATAAACGGAAGGGGTCTTTTGGTAAGTTGGCGAGGTGAACGGCACTTCTCAAGGCCTCATTTGAAAAAGGTGTGTGGTATTCAGAATGATTGTGAACGGGTAAAAGCCTAATGGATGAGCTGCAAATCAAGGAACTCGTGCATCGTGCATCACGTACAGCAGACGAAGCGTCCTTTTCTGATTTTGATGTCCTTCCGGGGGCCCTTTTAATACATTTTGACCCTCCCACTGTTGATTCTTGAGTTAGCAGAAAGAAATTCCATACTCCCGGGCTCACCTGCATTCGGATCTAACCATGTGTCCCTCTGAGCCTCGGGAACTTGGACGTATCGGAGAGATGCCGAGCCTGACTTGTAGTATGTTAGAACTGATGTAATAAAGTTCTCCTATGACAGGATCTTACAGCATCAGTGACAACCTCGACAAATAATGCGTAGTTAGGGTCATTAAGGCCCTCGCGGTCATTTGGCGATTGACCATCCTCTTCAACAACATACCACATATCTTGATTTAAGATCATGATGCACAGCGTGAACGAAAGAACGGAAGGGTTGGGGAGTAAGGTGGTGGAGAAACCAGGTTCTAATCATGCTATTGGAAGACTTGAATCTGAAATGGGGGAGAATTAGGGCGGGGTTCGCCTTCAGCGCTTGGCATTTTGCTTTTAAAGGTTCCAAAGTCTAAAACATGTCCACATGTGCTTGATCAAGCCGTGACTAGGTCTCTATTCGAATCAGCATAGCCACGTCGAGGAAGGCGTGTCTCCTGAGGTCATCGCAGGGGCGTCGCAGCTTGGAGGGTTGATCTCATACATCTGAAGAGCCGCACTCGCGCACATATAGTAGCAGAAAATTCCATCAAAGCTGAAGTTTTGCACGTTGTATTTGCTGGCAAGCAAGCATCGTGACATCGCGTTATTTCACTCTTCAGGCCTGCCCAGCAACACCAGTAGAAGGCGAGGTCATGTGATGATGTTGGCTGATATCGGAGCCATAACACAGAAACGCATGCGTGAGGTGCAGATGACGTGAGTATTCAAAGGCACAGGCAACTTGTTTCTGTCCCCGGGCATAATAAGAAATATGGTTTTATCAATACCTTGACAGGGGATAGTCTTCAATTTCATGGTGCTACCCCACCAATGAAGCCCATCCTCAGCGCCATGCAAGCGTCAGCGTCCACTTTTCCTTTCATGTATATGTCTGAGCGTCGCCCGGAATGAATTGGAGGACTATCTCGTACGGATTTTATAATGATGTCTGTGGGCCAACTTATTGGATGGGGATTGCTTGCCGCCGTACGAAACTCTCCTCACTCGCCTATCATGTGGAGATGGGAATGCTAACTGCGCTTCATGACTAGGTCATTCTCAACCGCATCTGCCGCATAATCTAACTCCTCTACATCTCTCCCCTCCGCGCATTTCCATGGCCGAAGCTATGGGCATGCTCTCGGCTTCCTGCACAGGTTTCCTCGCTTAGCGGTCGTAGTCACTTGCGGATGCTAGAACTTCACAAACAATACGGCCCGGTTGTGCGCATCGGGCCTAATCGACTTACTTTCTTCCCTGGTCAATCGCTCAAGGATATCTACAATAGGACGGGACCGAGAAGCTTCAAGAAGAATAGACCATACTACATGCCGCCTCCAAATAATGTCGACCATTTAGTGTGCGCTGTCGACGACGAGAACCATGCTAGGCAGAGGTGATTGCTGGCTTGGGGATTCAGTGGAGAAGGATTGAAGACACAGGAAGCCTTGGTAACGCAATATGTCGATGCCTTCATCCAAGGTCTGAGTGCTGCGTCTCAGAAGGGCCTGGTGGAAATCAGTGCTTGGTTCAACTACACCACATTCGATATTACGGGCGATCTGATGTTTGGAGATAGCTTCGGTTGTCTGAGGAACAATAAGCTACATCCGTGGATCCAATTGATGTTCAGCGCGATCAAGGCGCTGGTATTTCTCGGGGTCGTGAAGCAGTTCCCCACACTTGATTGGCTACTCATGAAACTGGTTCCAAAGAGCATCCTACAGAAAGGGGTAGACCACTTTAATTTGAGTGCGGAGAAGGTCGATATGCGGATTGCCATGGGAAACGAGAAAAACGACTTGATGTCGGGCATGCTCAAGAATGGCTTGTCGGAGAAACATGGACAGCATCGGGGGATCATGAGCAGGGCTGAAATCCATTCTAATTCATACATGTATGACCCGAAAGAAGTCTTTATATTGGCAATGCTAATGGATAATAGCCTTATTATCGCCGGTAGCGAAACGTCCGCAACTGCACTCTCTGAAATTACATATTACTTGTGCAAGTATCCAGCTATCCGACAAAGATTGGTTGCGGAGGTTCGATCTCAGTTCAGCCGCGACATAGACATAATTTCCAGTCAACCAGAAGTAGTGATCTTCCATTCCTACACGCCGTTATCCAAGAAGGCCTGCGGATATACCCCCCATTCGTAGGGACCTTGTCTCGCCTCCCACCGCCCGGTGGTGAAGCAGTGGATGGCTACTTCGTTCCTGAAGGTGTAAGTGCCCTTGTGCAAATCCTAGGTAAGTTTGCTGACCACAGTCACAGACCTCGGTGGGAACTGAGCATTACGCAACCTACCACTCGCCAGACAATTTCTATCTCCCTGAGGAATTCCCGAACGCTGATTGGGCACAGATCCGCGATTTTTGAAGGACAAGCTGGATGCTGTCGAACCGTTCAGTACAGGCCCAAGGGGATGCTTGGGGAAAATGTATGTGGATTTCATACTCATTTTTGGTTCATATTCTTGCCTCGTAGCGCACTAACTTGGAATCGCAGCCTTGCGTATGCTGAAATTCGCCTCATACTAGCTAAATTGCTGTTCCATTTCGATATTTCGCCTGGCCCTGAAGGCGACGGCTGGATAGACCAAGACGTCTACTATTTGTGGGCTAAGCCGCCGTTAATGATTTACATGATAAAGAGAGAGACGACAGCGACATAATCTTAAAAGCAGGGGTTGCTATATTTACAATATCGGCGCATCCTACGAATTATGACATTGGTAGTCTCCGAAAGATTACTTACTAGAATCAAGCTAGCAGCGAATGCGATAGCCCATTAAGGCCTGCTATTTAGGTAATCAGAATGCAGGCTTCACTTGGAAGTTTAGGACGGTACTTTAACTATTTGAGGTAGGGTGGCATAAGTGCTTAGTCACTCATATGCTAGTCATCATCCCCATGCGACACAGGCATACTCACGAGGCGTGGTTACGATCTTGTAGGCTCTTCAATATCGGATCTCTTTGCTCATATTGTGAAATCAGCAGCCTTGAATGTATACAGCACGACCTTGTACGAAGCTGGTACTTTGAAACCTCACTAAGCGATAGAGTTTCCCCAAAGACCGAGGCCGAGCAAAATACCTTGCTACTCTGTAAGCAGAACGTTCGATGAAACCTTCAGATCGGTCTTGTCCATATATACAGGGAATGGCTGCTTATTAAAAGCGGCCGAGTGATGAGGCCGACGTCCAGTCTTCGCTAGGCGTCCACCTTACTAACTTCCAACGTATGATTAAACGCGGCGTAGTCAAATCAACATAAAAGTACTAGATATAGAGAGCTTAGCGCAACTTCCTTCGGTACCAAACCCCTTATTTTCCATTCATCATCTTCTACAAAACCTCGAATTGAATCTCTCCCTAGAACCTTCGAAATAGTTTCCAGACTCGCCTGCTAGTCTCAGCATCAACGACAGACTTCCTCCCATCCTGACATGTCCTCCAAAATCCAGAATCCGTTCCTCCCTCCAGGCTCATTGATACTGGTAACAGCGGCTAACGGCCTCATCGCCTCCCACATTGTCGATCAACTCATCTACTACGGATACAATGTGCGCGGAACTGTGCGATCGCATTCTCGTAGCTCATGGATGGCACCGCTTTTCCAGGCTCGGTACCCTGGCTCAAAATTTGAACTTGTCGAAATTCCCGATATTTCTGCCTCAGGATGTTACGATGCTGCACTGAAGGGTGTGTCATCTGTGATTCATACAGCCGCCATTAATCTGCTGGAAGACGACCCGAGTGTGATTCCCGAGAGCGTGAATGCATATATAAATCTGCTGGAAGCCGTAGCAGGGGCCAATAAATCTGGAGAAAATATCTTGAGAGTAATCTTGACGAGCTCGAGCTGGGCCGTTGTCTATCCTACCCCAAACGTACCGATGAAAGTCGATACCTCCACGTACAACGAATCAGCAGCAAAGGCCCTCCTAGACCCCAACACCCCCAAAGAAGCGAGAGGATTGATGACGTATGTTGCTTCCAAAGTAGCGTCGGAGCAAGAATCTTGGAATTGGGTCAAGGCGCATCCAGATGCGGGATTCATCCTCAATTCTGTGATGCCGGCGACTTGTATCGGGCGAGTGCTAGCACCCAGAGACCAAGCGTATCCTTCTACTGCGGGTTACGTGCGTTCTCTTTTCGAAGGCAAGAATGCAGAGTTTTTTGCCTGGCTGGAGCCGCAATGGTATGTCGATATTTGCGATGCGGCGAGATTGCATGTGGCCGCTGCGGTGGTTGAAGGCGTGGAAGGGGAGAGGATATTCGCTTGGGCGGAAACGTATACGTGGATCAAGGTCAAAGAAGTGCTAGAGGATGAGATGGGAAAGAAAGTGCTGATAGAATTGAAAGACAAGGGAGAAGATTTGAGTGAGTGCCCCATGGAGAGGAGTTTAGAGTTGCTGAGGGCACTTGGGTGTAAGGGGTGGCAGCCTTTTGAGCAGGCTGTGAGAGAAAACATTAGGAGCTATTACCCTAAATAAATAGGTGTGGTGAGGTGTGACAAGAAGATAAAATGGATATGTAGCAGGGTATGGGAGGTTACGACCATACCTTTCTTGCGCGTAAAGATGCGAGTAACACCCGGCTCGGACCAGATTGTATGTAACAAGGCTACCATGAGAATATAAAGGAGGGTCTCTCTACGGTTTGGGTTCGATCTATGGCATCCTTCCACCTCCCCGAATATCTTTGATCATGTCTTACGAATATTAGCAATCTGTCTTGACCTGCTATTTCCTCCACAGAGCCCTCTAGACTGCCATCCTAAACTTCAGCAAATCGCCCTGCTCAATGCGCTCCTTCATGCCCTCCAATTCCTTCACATCCCAATTGCAAGTAACATACCTCCCACTCAACCACCCCCTCTTCTCCCTACTCAACCAAACACACATAGCCCCGGCCAGTCCCGGATCATCAGTCAACAGCGGGCCCCACACCTCGCCTGTATGCCCCGCCGTCTGCGGCGTCAGCACTGCTCCAGGATGCAACGCATAAGCATGTATCCCATCCTTCTCGCGATGGTCATTATCAACATGCTCGACGAAACGGTTACATGCCAATTTAGAAACATTGTACGCAATAGGGCAGAGCTGCGAGTTTGTTGAATGTGCAGCGAGAGAAGTATTCACAATCAGCGTCTGCGGGCCATCCGTCGTAGCTTTCAGCAGCGACATAAATGCTTTCGCAATACGCCAAGTCCCATTAATATTGATATCCAGGACACGCGCCCAGTCATTGTCGTCCTCCAGACCGATGGGAAGATGGTGTTCGGATTCTCCGGGCTTTTGGATGTACTTGCTGATGATACCGGCGTTTGCTATTATGGCGTCGACTCTGCCCCATTTCTCTCGGACGGCTGTTTCGAGGTCCAGAATGCTTGCTTCGGATTGAGTGTCACAGATGGAACTTAGGATTTCGAGATTTGGGTTGATGGACTTGAGTTCCTTGGATAGTGCATCGAGATCGGATTGTGTGCGTGAAGAGATTGATATCCCCGTGCATCCTGCCTTTGCGTAGGCGAGGGAGATGTGGTAGCCGAGACCTTTTCCAGCGCCGGTTACGACAGCGACGAAGGGTTTAGAAAGAGAGACTTTTGTGGGATCGATATTAGAGGGAATGGAACAGTGTATAGTGGGTGTGAAGTGTTTAGCATAGTGGTTTGGGAGATCCAGCGCCATTGCGGTTGGTTTGAGGAGACGTTCTTGCGAAGATGGATGGAACGGTGCTCAGGGTTTGATGAAAATTAGACTTGATGGACTGATTACGAGTTGTCTCAGACCATGCAGTATAACCAGAGCTTTAATGCTGTAGATTTATACTAGGGATATGTTCGAGGTACCGGGTGTTGTCTAACGAGGAGAATGAAGGAAGGGATCACGTGATCATTAACCCGATTCCAGGTGGACGAAGACCGCGAGCCAGCTAAAAATGCACTGAAGGTAGAATCCACCAATCTCTCCGCTACAGCTTCCGGCTTCTAGCTTCTAGCGGATGTATTCAAATTTTCGAGAGTTCCTGGCAATCGAGACGGGCCTTGTAGAAGGCAGAGTCAAAGATGATGAGAGGCTACTAGAGTGGAATGCAACTAAAAAGTTGAGAAAAGTAAGGAGCAGCAACAGGGTTGGGGGACTTCCAAGATGGGATAAAGAGATTATGACAATTATCTTGTGCGACTTTGACCACTGTTTTGAAGAGTGTGGAGGCGACAATGGCAAAGGAAGCTGTGGATGGAAAACGAACATCCAGTGATTTTAACATTTGAGTAAGTCGTTAATCATCAGGAATCACGCGAAACCCAAGCATGTGGGGCGGATACTTGAAGGTATTGATTACGGAGTTTCGACGTCGCTTGTACGATTCGTCGAATGACATCGGCAGTTTGACGTTGATCTACCCACGACAACTTGAATTTCAAACGAATAAGCTTTGACACCCTAAAGTCTTCACTGAAGGTTCTCCAGGCTCATTTCCTTCCGCCTAGAACAAGTGGTTCGATTCTAACGAAGACCGGGAAAACGGAAGGATACACATCACGCCAGGGACATTACACGAATATTAGACGTGAAAACGACAGAACAAAGGCACAGATAATTTGTAAGGGTATAATCCAATCCAATTCAATCCACACCACAATTCGTCACGGCACTAGTCCGTACATCCCCAAGTTTATACATCTCCGAACCAATTTCCGATCCATGCATCCATTAATTCCCCATGCAAGCACCACCATCGATGCTATCAATTAGAGACATGAAGGAAAAATGATAACACCCGCAACACGCCGACTTGTAGAGAAAATGAAGTGAAATAGTAGTCATAACCGTAAATTTCCCATAGATTGTCCCAAAGAGAATACGAAATCGATGCTCTCAGTTGCAAGGGATGCTTTACAGCATGAAAACCATACCGGCAATGGCACCCGCGAGGCCGAGGCCAGCGCGGAGATGCGAAGCCGCACCAGTTGAAATTGGTGCAGAAGGAGATGGAGTAGTGGAGCCAGATGGAGCGACGGTAGCAGAAGTCTTGAGAGAGCTCGGGACCGTCATGCTCTTGGATGGCAGGACGATGGTGGAGTTGTGACCAGGGTATCCGGTGCTGGCGACGTGGCTAGAAGTGGAGCAGGAGGTCGTGGTAGGGGCGACGGTGGTGCTGTTGGCGGAGGTTGACGAGGCGGTATGAACAGTCGCAGTAGGATAACCAGAGGACGAGATGGAGGCCGAGGACGAAACCGAGCCGCAAGTAGCGTCCTTGGAGATACCAAACTGGGTAGAATACTGGTACTGGCCAGTCACGTCATCAATCAACTGGAGGCCGTAGTGGGTGGTATCGGCCTCAAGAGTTGAAGCTGGGGTCCAAACGAAGCTACCGCTGTTGGCAATTCCTTCAGCGATTGGGGCACCAAGGGGAACAACGTTGGTAGACGGGCCGCGAAGGAGAAGAATGGAAACTTTGTTCGGGGTGGTCGGGGTCCACTTGATGGTGTATGGCTTGCAAGCAGGAACGATCTGGTACCCATTAGACTTTGTATTCCACTTGTTCGCAATTCTACGTCTTTGCGATTTGTCCTCAACGGCGCGCAAATTGCGGATTGGATTTTCATACCTCAATCAAAGGGGCGGTAATCGGGTTGCCATTTGGCGCACCGACAGGCGCATGAACAGCGGCGACGGCGCCAGCCAGGAAGGTGAGAACGGAGATTTTGGTGAACATGATGCTTGTCAAGTGCGTGCAAATTAAGCTATTACCCTGTAGGGAGTGGGAGGATTAAAGAGTGAGTGGGAAAAGAGCGACTATGTATGTGGTAACAAAGAGCGGCTGAAGACAAGTCTTCGTGAGGATCAAGGCTGCGCAGGCAGAAGTAGAGAAGCGGATGCGTGAGGAGGGTGAGAAAGAACGAAAGAGGCAGAGCAGCCTTCGGGATTATATTGATTTCGGTAAGGGGTCTTCCACCGGAAGCTTGGCGTGGTCCGATGCTCCAATGGCGTTGCGCGCGGACGCCCTGTTCCTGCATTAGCCTGCGCCATGCAGCCACTCACGTCTCTTCCCTTGGTCGGGGGTGAATTACTAGTTCATTTGAGCACAAGCGTCAGCCTGCTATCCAATCAACCCTCACTCAGCTAATTTGGCTGCTCGTGTTCACCCTCTGGCGTGCTTCAGGAGTGTGAATCTGGTCAAGAGAAAGGGAAAAAATCTATTGACTCCTTCAGCCCTCTGCATGCAATTTCCAGGAATAGGCGCCCAGGACCGGCCATTTTCAGTGGCACAGCCAGACCTGTCAGCGCGGTATGAATATAGGCCGCAATACTGGAGATGAAGTTTGCGCCTCGAAGCTGAAAAAATGAGGAGTCGCGCACGACGAACGACGGGCGGCTGTTCTGCTATTCTCTGGGGATGAAGATGGCAGTCAAAGACGATGTCATGCCGTGGATCTGTGCTGGGAGAAACAAGTCCCTCGGTAGCCTGGGGAGCTAGCATCACTGATCTGCACGCTCAATTCACGCTTCAGGCCAAGCGTTGTCGCGCGAGATCCAATCTCTGCCTCCTGTCAGCCGGGAATCTCCTTTCTCCGTGAAAGGTAATCTGGCGACGAAATGCCTGCTCGAGCTGTGAGCTGGATGAGTACGTCCCTTTTGTAACGCTGTGGCGCAACTGCAGGCTGAAAGAATCTCACCTTGGAAGTAATTCGCGCCTTGTTTCACTGATTGTTCATCTCCACTGGACCTCATTTCGTCGCAATTTCAACAAAATCATTTTTCAAATTGTGCTGCTCATTTCATTTATCCAAGTTGGTCCGTCCAAACTTTCATCCATGTAAACTTTTTGATGACTACTTAATTGTTTCAAAGTCGTTATGAGAAGGAGATTGTTGGGGATTTCGCCCTTACTCTAGCGAGCGCAATACTTTGGGATATCCAAAGGAGATTCGTCAAACGTCGCTATGACCGAACAGGAAGGTTGCTACGTTGAGTGATGAGAGTACGAAATCGAGTGTTGAAAAAAAAGAATGGGAGATCGATCGATAAGGTGGAAATGTTGATGCAAATAACGTCCAACAGTCGCCAAGCGTGTCGCTCAACCGCACTGCCCAGAGTCTGCCAACAGTCAGCATCGCTCAAGTCCGAGGGAATGCCTCAACACAATGGAGAGGGCGCACTCACATTTTCTCGATGTCAATGGTTGTGGGAACAGTCCATTGGCGAGAAGGTCCTGCATATCCCACTCTGGCGCACCCTCAGTCTTCCACGTCCAGAAGATCCATCCCGTCGCCTTCTCGAAAGCGTCGAGCTGTGCCTCAATAAAGCGACCAATATTATACTTGTCATCGCCTGACAACGCTGCGGCAGTGCCAGTCGACTTGCCAGTGCAGTCGCCGACCTTGCTGGATCCTTCGAACGTCCCATCATAGCGGGCCCCCTTGTTCTTTCCATTCAACCACTTCGCGCAGTCAGTAATACCACCAGTCCACTCTCCAGCTATTGTCCATTTGCCGGTACTGGCCATGTCGTTACCAAAGCTGCAGGCCGTCTTGATGTGGTCGTTGGGACTCATCGCTACGGCCCCCGTGTCAAAGATCTCGTAATGATGGGTATCCAGTATGAGGTTCCACATGCCCGCTCCCCAAGAACCCCATGATGTTACACCTTGGAATGCGTCATGGAATACGATACCCACATTGGAGTTTTTCAGGTTACCCCATCCGTCCATGTAAAACTGGCGAACGATGTCCATGTTCAATGAGTAGCCCATGGGCTCGTTAAGGAGCTGGATAGCAGAAACAGCTGGGTGCGAGGCATGGTCATCACGGATCTTGTTCAGGACATTGAGGGTATGCTGAACGCTGTCGCCTTGTGTCCATTGAATGGAGCCATATCGACCAGAATTGTCAAAACCGTTCTGAGATCCAGGGGCTAATTTAATCAGTTCCTGCTCCAAGGCCAGTATTGGATCAAGTCTACGTACCACCGTGCAGATCAATCATGACTTTCAGCCCCGCACCCTCCGCCCAGTCCAACGCCTTACCAAGCATGTCATACGCGCCTTGAACGTACGGTTCACCATCAATTGGAATGATGCTCCAATACCCAATCGGAATGCGCACGTGGTTGAGGCCCGCACCAGCGATCTGATTGAAGTCGTCCTGGGTAATCCAGGAGTTCCAGTGCTGTGACAGCTTGCTGTGGGCAGCATCCTTACCCAGCTCTTGGGTTAAGGTGTATTCATCGACTGCGCCATTGCCCTCAAACATGCTAGGCGTTATCCAAGGCTCGAGTACAAACCAACCACCCAGGTTCACACCGCGCACATTCTCACCATCATAGTTGAAAAGTGGTGCTCGCCTAGTGTAAGACATCCTGTGCGAGTGTGAGTAGGCTAGAGAGAACGCGGTACAAAACTTACACTCCCGACGGGGCGGCGGTGGAGCGCAAGGCCAGTAGGCTAATGGCTCCCACCACAAAACCACCAAAGTTTCCTAGCATGGTGTCCTTTGTAAGACTTGATCTCGTCGCTAGCTAACCGAAGATCGCAATACCATATATATATATATATATATATATATATAAGTGTTGACAATAATAGGATGAAGAGTTGAATGAATTTTATGCCACCAGATCTCGGAATTGTCTTAGGATGCTTGGGGGCAAACACAGCTTTAAGAACAGCAGTATAGGTTCTTTCTCATCACGAGAGTCATTTCTCAAGCGATCAGCGTAGCAGTAAACAACCAGCGCAGTGAGCAGATTTCTGAGCCCTGCGCTGAAGGCGGTGTCCAGGTTATAGCCCCGAGTAGCCAGTTAGATTGTGCTTAGATGGCCACCCGATGCCAATCGTTGCTGCATCCTCGGAGTTGGAGACTGGACCGACTTCGCGCGCTGGCATGTTGCTAGCACGGGCACCCTGTGACGCAGCATCGGCTCGTGAGATTGTCAGCGGGACTGTATGCTTAGGGCTTAGAGGCTCTCGGTCAGAAGCAGGGTTGAGAATGGGCTCCACGGAGCAGTTCAGGTACGTTCATCTGATTGGGGAAGAGCTTCAGCGATGATGCCAGAGATCGGCGGCACAAAGCCAAGTCGGATGGCTGAAGTTGCATCGCTGTCACGTTTAAGCAAAGGGGCATTAATAAGCTGGGTGTTGGTGGTCGATCTGTATTGACAGCGCTACAACGAAGGACAAAAGAATTTGGAAGAGCTGTAAGGCTGCGAGGATGCGGGGGAATGCCTAGACGAGGCTGTGATCAACTGTTGCCATGGGCTCGGGATAATGGTTACTGTGGTCTTCCCTGAGAAATGATGCAAACCGTGGGATGGCTGTGAAGAACAAGCTCTCCGGCACACGAGAAAGTTCTTGGGAAATAGGAAGCAGGTTCTCAGAAATAGGAAAGTATGGGAGTACAGCTTCAAAGCAGATGGCGCAGCGTCACCCACCGTTACATACCGTTCTACACTCCGACCCTCAAACGTCAGAAATATAGTCCATGGTCTGGGAGTGGAGAGAGCTACGGCAGCATCCGTCGCCATCTGCCCCGCATCAGCCAAGCTTCGCCAAGCTGTGGTCTCCGAGCCCTCTCTGCTTGCAAGCACCGGATTCGTTCTAGAATTTACCGTGGACGCCTGGTGCGTCACTAGTGCTGTGTGTTTAATTGCATTGTGGCCGATGAGCGCATTCGATTCAGGCCTGAGGCAGCTAGGAGGAGCATGCTCAGGAGGCAATGGGACGAAGAGGAAGAGGAGGAAGAAAAGTCATGCGCCATGAAGGATTCGCGAAACATAAAACTAAACGGCGTATCGTCTATCCAGTTGCTGCGTTTGGAAGGCGTCTTGGTACAGTGGTTCGCGGGGCTTGCAGTGCTGAGGCTGGTGCAACCTCACGATGACGAGGGACACCCATGGGCAGTTCGGCGTCAGTGATCGGAAGACACGGCAGCCCGAAGTGAGTGGGACGATCAGATGATGGGCTCCATGGCGCAGGCGATGCGTAACAGTGAGCCTAACATAAGATGCAACCTGTTAGGTAAGTAAAGAGACCGGAGATGTGTGAAACGCTGTGATGACCGAGGTGCGGGGTGTCTTGCGATGCTGTGAGAGCAAGCCCAATATTGCTGTCCGTCACGTGCATTGGCGGGACATGAACATCAAAATTTCAACGCGTTGCAATCTCAGCAAGTTTGCAAGAAGTATTCTTTCAACTTAGCAAGGAAAAATAACAGCCATGTAAGACGTCCCTGTAGAGTTCTTATGTCTTAGACCTTGTATGTGCTGGTGCTGGAGAGGTGCGTAAAATTCTGTGCTTGTGTCTGATTAGCTATCTCTCAAACACGTGACAGACATCAAGATTGAGTTTATTCTTTGTATGAGGCTGTCCTCTACAATTCAGCAGTAGACGAAAGCTTTGGCGGATATCTGAGGGGGTTCTCATACAAATCAGTTGTCTCATACAAGTGGTATGTTGGTGACGATGACATACTGGTGAAGATTACTGTTCGGCTGGTGAAGAATGTTTCGAATCCTGCCACAGCCAAGCAGCCCAGAAACGCAAATGGTTTAACGCTGTGTGTGACGAGTGAGAGGGCGACGGTGGAAACAATACCGCGCCGGCCGGCAGCGCGGCCCCCTTAGTCACGATCGCTTAGCGTGTCGTCCCCTCTCCCAAGCCCGCAGTGAAAGTTACATGACTGACCATTACCACGTCCACGATACAGTAACATATCGAGCCATCAGCATGGGACGACACGCCAATCCTGACATCAGACGCGCCTTTCAAGAGTTCCAGGACAGCGACACGCCGTCCAAGGTAAGTCGCGAACTGCCACCTACCACCTGCCCGCCGCCGCTGCTCTCTAACTGCCCGCCGATAGTGTAATAAGGTGCGATGTCTGCACTGCGGCTTCGTGCGCGCGAAGAACACGACCCGCCAGATTGAGCACCTCCAGGAGTGTCAGGCCTACCTCAACTCGCCAGATGCCCAGGTGCACCTCGTACCAAATGCCCAAGGCACTCCCCTCGAGCAGACCATGCCGCAGGCCAGCTCCCAAGGCCCCGGCATCCTCAACGGCCAGCACCCAAACCCGAATCTGCAGGTCCATCGTCGCGGTCCCAACACCAAACGCTCGCGCGACGGCCAGCCCATCGCCCCTCATGTGCAGCTGCACCAGGCCCCGATCGCGCCCTCGCTGACCGCACACCTCCTCACCATCTGCCATTCGCAGTTCAACCAGGCAACCCAGCAGCCCTTCCTCTCCCACGCCGGCTGCGGGTCGCTCGCCCCCGGGCCTCTCTCGCAATGGCTGGTCCAGGACGGGCACTATGCGCGAGGATACGTGCGCTTCGTGGGACAGCTGCTGGCTAAGATCCGTCTGCCGCAGACTCAGAACTCGCAATTCCACCCCATGTACCGGACAATGGACCTTCTGATCTCTGCCCTCAACAACATGCGCCGTGAGATGCAGTTCTTCGAAATAACCGCGACTAAATACGGTCTCACCCTCAGCCAGGACCCGCCTACGCCCATTACCCGCGCTCTCCTGGATCTGTTTGTAAGTGCCAGTAGTTCAAGCGCCTCTCTTCTTGAGGGCATGGTGGTTCTGTGGGGAACTGAGCATGTGAGTGCCGGACCAGTGTCCAAATCTGCATTTCCCTTAACACCATGCGCAGTGCTACCGCTCAGCCTGGCAGTATGCCTCTTCCTTCAGCACTTCCCTCTCCACACCCAGCACCGATTCCCACATCATCGCCCTCCACCAAGCCCTGATCCCAAACTGGACCTCCCCTGCATTCAGCAAGTTCGTGGATGCAACCCGAGCCCTCGTGGATGAGCTTGCTAACATCACCACCACACGTGATGGAAAGGAAGAGATGACGCGCTGCGAAGAGATCTTCCGACAGATATGCTGGCTCGAAGAACGCTTCTGGCCCGATGTTGACGGTATGGGCGAGGAAGACGAGAGCGCTCGGCTTGGCCCTACAAGTCTCGGCCCTACAAGTCTCGGCCCGATCAGCAGTGGGGTTGGTGGCATGGACAGCGGTATGAACGGTCCTGGAATGAATGGTCCGGGAATGAACGGCTCAATGAACAACTCTGGAATGAACGGGCCTGGAATGAGTGGCCCTGGGATGGGTGGCTCTGGAATGAATGCCCCGGGGATGAACAACCAAGGTATGAACAGCAGCAGCATGAACGGTCCAGGCATGAACGGTGGTGATGGCACGCCTGTGGGTGATGGTCGAAACAGCTTCGGTCTTCCGAATGGCAGTGGCCTTGACGGGGTTGGCCAGACCTCCTAACCATCAGCGCCGTGGATCTCTTTGCCCTGGTGGCACATCGAAGTTACGCTCATTTTGCTTTATTCCCTGCTCTATTCCCCCGCGAACTGGATGGCCTCTTTCCATCCCATGATTTCCTACAGATCAGCGTCAAGGGCGGTGGCTCCCTGGTGGCAGTGTTGTATTTCCTGGCAGTGGGTATTTGGGATATCAACTTGTAATGATTTAGGGCGGTTGCCTTCTGTATGTATGGAACCTTTCTCTCCTACGCTGGGATGATATAGGCTATATGGATATGTTGTACGTCCTGGGTGTTTTGCTCTCCAAAATACTTTTTATTAGGACCGTGTACAGCAAGTACCCCAATGACTCTAATCGAGCTACGCTAATTCATTCTCCTCTCCTTGCGCATTCTCAAGCCTCTATGTGCCTCATGATGATTTTGATCTTATGAGGCCAGACGAACCACTGCTCGTGCAGTTCCCACTCACTATGCAGATGCACGAGGTCCATCTATCATCACATTAGCGAGCTCAGGGCAACTTCATTAAAGTAAGCACTGGATGAACTTACGTCATACTTTCCAAATAACGTTGCCGTCACTTTATACAACTCGACCAATGCCAACGGCCTACCGAGACATGTCCGATTCCCACTGCCAAAACTCAAATCCGCGTCCTTCATTATGCGTATCCTTCCCTCAAACTCGGAATCACTTTCCCATTCCTTCTGAATCCACCTCTCTGGAACAAAAGCATCTGGCTTCGGGCCAAAAACCTCCGCATTACGATGCAAAACCCAAGGGTTCATTCCGACAATAGTTCCCGGGGGAAGGACAGTGCCATTGGAGAGCGTGAGGCCGGATGGAGGAACGATACGTTCGAGAATGTGGCCGACGACTGGGTGGATTCGAAGGCCCTCTTTGATGCACGCATCGAGGTATGGAAGCTTTTCGACGACAGTGTATGCCGATGGGAACGCTAGCTTTGCGGATCGTAGCTCGGCTACTAGTTTGGCTTTTACCCCGGGGTTTTTTAGGATCCAGTAGAAGATCGCTTTCAGTACTATGGCGGTTGTGTCGGCGCCGCCGAGGATCTATGGCGGGTTTGAATTCGTGAGCATGCGATGTAAAGTTACTAAAGAGAGGGGGTTACAGAGTAGGTAAGGTTGGATTGAATTGGGTATCTATGGGTAGAGTAGTCTAACTTACATTTAGCATTAAGTATCCGATGACTTCATTATCAGACACGAGCTCTGGATACTGGTTCTTGGCTTCTAGAAACCCGTTCATAAAATCATTCTCCTTATGTTCCTCGCGATTTTGATCACGTTCCGCGAATCGCTGGATGCAGAATCCAGCCGGGACAGCAAAATCGGCGAATTTGATCGGGCAGTATGGATTTTTGCCCAGGAATTTGTCGAGAATGGGCATTTGGCCAACCTTGGGAGAGGCTGTTAGCGACACGTTGAATTTAAATGGTGGCGGATAGAGATAGAAGGTGGAGAAAGGGTTGGCTGGCGGTAGTTTCGCGGATTTTGTTAAGGATCAAGAGAACAAAAGGGAAGCATACAACAGAGAAGTACCCCATTACTTTCTCAGCAGTCTCAATCATCCCCCCAACGTCTTTTCCTTGTTCCATAAACCCCATTCTCTTACTAAACGTCATATCGCCGAGGAAATCCCAGGTGACTGCGCAATATGTTAGCACCCATCGCCTTTTCAAAAGTCACAAGTAAAACTCCAAGATGAAAATTGCTGGCAACGTACAAAAAGATATCCAATCCGCGATATCACAAGTCTTCCCCGCATTCACACCGGTGATAAATCTTTTCTCCAGCTCTGAGCATAGTGCTCGCACCGTGTCATCCATGAGGGGTTCGAGATCGAGTGCGCTGCTGAAAGAGTACAGTTTCTGAATAGGCTTGAGGGCGCTGCTATGGAACTCATTGGAGCGTGTGCTAAAAAGGTTGGGAATAATGTGACCATTTTGGAGTGCGTCGTTGACGGAGTAATAGTCGCTCTACAATTCTTCAATAACTAGGACCATCGACACTATACTACAGAAATGGAGTGGAGGGATAAATTCAAAGTTGAACTATAAAGATAGACTGGCCTTCAAATATGTGCCTCTGGTTGAGTAAATCGTCTTCACCAAGCTCACGTCACTCAAGCTGACAGCATTCGGACCAATCCGAACCACGTTCCCATATTTCTCGTGCAATTTCTGTTGGGTTTTGATATGTTGACGATTGTAATGATTCAAGAGTCTCCAAACATCTGAGAATTTAGCGAGGAAAGGGCCAGGTAATGTCCTGAGGGGTGAGCTAAGATAGGCAAAGACGCATTGTATGAGCAGCAGAATAAGACCGAGAACGAAGGCTTGGAGAAGAAGCGACGAAAGCACCATTCTGCAGTCTTGGTGTATCTTCGCGTTCTAAGACTTGATGTGTGTAAAGACGTCGGGTGGCAACCAACTATTGGGCGTGAGATCTGCTGGTAATTCCTGAGAGAATCAGGTAAAAAAAAATAATTAAACAGCGAAGTGACATGTAAGCGCAATGGATAGAGGGGAAGTGTGTGGCATAAGTAATTGCCCACGTAAAAAAATCGCCTTTCCCATCCATGTTAGGTTGCTCTCTGCAAAGCGTCAGAAGCATAGTGTCAACCTCACGGGGCGTAGGGATCACGTCACCTGTTGAACAATCTGATTTGTCGAACTTTCGTACGAGATTGTTATTACTCTACAGAAGCTGCAGACCTGGGGGGTGGCTCGCCGTTGACTGCTGTTGGTCGACAAATTCTTTTTGGGGAATAGCTTGAGACTCCAACTTGCATGGAATTCCGGCATCTTGGTACACAGTAAAAGAATGGCATTCTTAATGCATGTATTTGTTACACCCAGTGTTTACATTTCCTTCGGCCGAAGCTTGAAAACTGGCAGGGGGCAGCATAGTAATAGTCGTCCCCGCAGAAATAAAGGATAGTTAAATTGGTAATGCTGAGACCATTAGAAATAAAGGAGGTAGAGTAAATATTTATCAGTTACATGATTGTATTTAAGGGATCATGGCGACTTTAGCTCAACACAGTAAATCTAGGCTGCCTCTGTTAATCCTGCCTGTATCCAAGAGAACAGCCGGAGGGTTACACCGTAGTGGTGATAGCAGGGTCTTGAGACCGGGAGAAGTGTAGCTGAAATACTTAGGCGAACTCGAGGCTTGCTGAATTGTAGTTTCTGAAAAGGGTCTTCTGTTGATGCTTTTGAAATGGACTTTGACAGCAATCCTTGCCGGAACCAGGGAGAGTATCAACAGGATGCAAATTTCTGTCCTAGAATTACTTCCTGTTGTATTCTACGTTGGGTGAGTGTTAAATCTGAACTGCAAATGCCGAACGGAAGACTGGGGTGCCTTTACCATTTTTATTAAACCAAGAGAGGAGAGTATGCTACACGCAGAATGTCGAATACTGTGTCCCTACTCTACACTACTACAGTGCTAACCACCAGCTAGCATGTACTTGTTACTTCCTCCTGTTACCACTCATGCCCAGGATCTGGACCATCCGGACGAAGATGTTGATAAAATCTAGCTCTAGCCGAATTGACTCATTCACGGCATCCTTCCGCATAACTCCTCGTTCAGCTAACCGCGCGTGGTGTAGGATCTTCTGCACGTCGTAGAGGGTAAAGCCGCCGAAGACAGCAAGGCCGCCATACAGCCAGATATTCTCCGACCACATGAGCGTTCTCGCGGCCGTAGCGGGGATGACAAGGGGTGCGAGGCCCGAGAGCGCGACGATAGCGACACCGGCGAGCAGTGGGCCGCCGAGGTAGAGGTACTTTTCTTGCTTGGCAGTAGCGCCGACGAAGGCAATAGATCCCATCATCCCGGCCGTGTACAAGCCGGCGCGCGCGAGGAGGGCGGGCTGGAGAAACATGAGGGGGGAGAGGAGCATGGCCTGGGTGACGTTGAAGGCGGACCAGAGAGCGTATTTCTGGACGTAGCTACAGCGCATGTTAGCTGACGGCACGGACTGGATCGCTGCTTCGCTTCTTTGCTTCTTCACTTACTTGCTAGGATCTGTGGCCATGCATCCATACATGGTGCCGATGCTTCCAACAAGGCCAAGCCCCAGCACCACCCACGGGTTCGCTGCCATCAATCGGTAGCTCCAGCCGTTGAAGTGCAGGGCTCTCGCCGCGACGCCGATGATGCCAATGCCCAGGCCAGTGTGCATGAAAGTGTCGTTCAGGTACGCGCGCTCGTACGGGGGCATACCGCCATCCTCGCGCGTTTCGCGGTTGAAGATGAAGTTGATGCCGACGAGCGTCGCACCGAAGATACCCGCGCCATAGAGTAGCCGCTGGCGCGCATCGACTTTAGATGCAGGACTGTATGTGGCCTGCTGGTTGTAGTGTCGACGGAACGTGGCGCGGAAAACCGTCTGCGACTTGGACAACGACGATGCTGTCTTCGGGGTGTGGAAACTGGATTGCTGCTTGAGTGGCGAGGTGTGAAAGGCGCGGAAAGAGAAGGACTGCCCGGCTTTGGGCGCTTGCTTGAGCGTCGTGACGATGGCGAAAGGCCGCCGTAGGATGAAGGCCATGGTTGCAGTCAAGGGAGTGCTTCGAGGTGCGGTGGTAGAGTGGGAAAGTCGGAGAGGTGGCACCTCAATGATGACGTTCTGAGAGCGCTTATGTCAGCGACAAAAGTCCACGTTCAGGTTGCCACATCTTATCACCACATGACCGGGGACAGGGAGGCAATTCAAGCCAGAAATTTGCACCCTGTTGATGCGCTCCTTGATTTTAGCAAGAGGTTTAATAGAGAGAATCCACTTTGATGATGTTCTGCATTATGCAGTAACATGCAAACGCCTGGGCATAGTGACACCGTGAACTTGAGACAGACGCATTCAGACTCTTGAACTATGAACCTACTTAACTCGGTGCTCAGTGTACAAGTAACTAACGTCTGATAGAGCCCTGGCGGTGCGGTAAGGGCTCACATCAAAGCAAGTGCCTTCCCTGAATGAAAGCGGACGATAATAGCAGGTTTGCCGTGAAAATTCATGCTAACTACGTAAATATAACCTAATCAGGAAGGGGTGCAGAATCAACACAAAACAAGAGCTTAGAGTACAAGACAACGTCTTTCAGATGCCGGAAGCTTTGCGGTATTATATTTTTAAGTTTTTTTTTAAGAAATTTGATATACGGCTAAGCTACTGCTGTTCATCACTTAAGAGGTCTTAATACTGCACCTAGTTAGACAGCCTCAGCTACTTCCTGATCAGGTTAGATCTACTCAGTTTGCATGAGTATTTCCTGGTACAGTTTGCCCGAGCATACCTTTGCATGATTCCAACCCCAATTTCACCAATCAAAATATGTTTCCACCCAATCGACATGGAAGTGACGGAAGTGAAGGCAATGGAGATGAATGTGATAGAAATAATAGAGATTTGTAGACAGTTCCTGGATTCTGTAACAAGGCAAACAGGTAGTGATCGAGGGGTTAAAGCCAATAGTAACATTTAGCTCGGTAACGGCCTTGCTGGTCAACCTTTCTAAATGCCACCATAGCATTAAGAAATATTGAATCCATTTTTCCAGCATGAATTAACTCCTCACTACGGCTCCAGATTGATGTACACCCCTCCCTGGCGAATTTAATCCTCCTAGTAACAGTGAGTTACCCGATCCGTACGGCCCCCCCGTATGTTGCTCGCCAAATCAGCCAGAGGGCCATACCTTAGCACAGTATTGTCTTGGATTAGGTAGCTCGCGATGCTGCCCGTGCTTGAAGCCTGCGCCAAGGGCGGACATATGTGGTTGCCGTGCAAGTGCGTTGAGTTCTCTGCCATGAGCTAGTGCATTCAGGGTCTTTCCGTTGCCTTTCTCTCGAGTAGGTGTTGGAATCGTACTAAAATTACGTCCCTGCGCATCCGCTTTCCATGTCTCTAATGTTCGTTTCTTGTGGGCGTTGTTTTTCTTATTGCTCCCTGAGCGCTGCATGAATGGTCAGTGACTTCCCCTTCAAAAGTGATGAGGTCATATGCCTTCGTACCTGATAGTATTTGATTGGCCCGGCAACATAGTGCACAATCTTCTCCATCTTCATGAGTGAATCGCAAACCGACTTCCAATCCTAAGTATAAAATGAGCACGGTTGCCTTGGCCGAGAAAGACAGGATGATATACATGAAATAATTTCACCAATGCATCGATTCGCTCTGAGAAATCGAGTTTCTTGTCAACATGGGCATCAAGATCTTTATCGAATATGGGCACAGTAAACCCCTCTTCATGGAGTTTAATCGTCTCGTTCTACCCACAATCAGCAGAGTGCCAGGACATTTCATGAGAGCAGTGCGGACATACTAGGACTTCCCAGCAGATTCGATCCACCCACGCGTTCTGGTAGAACTGTTCACTCTCTAAACCCCAACGAGCCGCATAACCTCTCCCCTTGTTATCTCCGGTATTAATTTTGTTGAGGACTGCATCGCGAAGTCTTCGAACAATTTTCCTCTTTTCTTCATTTGTACGTGGAATGCCTGCATCTCCGGGTGGTGGTTTCCAGTAGCTAGCGAGTATACCAACAGCATCATCGTAACTATTGCCGTACACTCCGGTTTCGATGTCCGGGGTTGGAAGACGGGGTATGCTAGGGTCATAGATTCTGCCTTGTCGCGAGCGCCCTCGAAAAGAAGGAGTACTCTCGTCAAGAGCGAAGTCGATGGGGGCTTGAAGGGAAGGTGCGGTGACGGATTCAGAAGAAACCTGAACTGGCTGAGCAAAGGCTATTTCAACGCCTTCACCCCAGACTTGCACTCTATTGAAGGTCCGATGAAGAGACTGGGCGTCGTTAGCATTCAAGCCTGCGAGGTGTTCGTTTATCGCCGGGATCCCCTCCGGCGATTCTACAAACACTTTCGGGCGAGTGTAGGACTGAACAGCGGGATCATAGCCAATGTATTCCCTGATCGAGGGTAATGACTCGGCCATCACGAAGGGGTGTGTAAGTGTGGGGAGGTGTATGCGCCTCGTAAATGTAAATAAGTTTGGCTTGCCTTAGGTGTAGTGACTGTCGACTATATAGTTACGTAAGAAACTTTCACTTTGCTAAAGATGCGGAGTGTAGGATAGCTCACGTGCGGACCATGTCACTCACGAAGGTTATTTGTATCTCAATCACGTTTCGAACTCGGCGCAACGAGCATGTTCGCTGTAGGACTGCGTCATTATAATGACCTAAAAATATTTGAGAAATCATTGTTTGTGACCAAGTGATGGGGTATTATTTCCCTATACGGAAGTATGTACTGATATAGGTTTTTCAAGCATCTAAGTGTTGAAGCTCCTTTAGCAGACGATGGAAACACTTGCAAGAAGACTTAAGGTTTGAAGTGGGTATTCCGTCATAGATTTAGGCACTGCAGTATGCTTCGAAGGCGAGATAGCTCCTGAATCCTAATTGAGAGACTTACGTGTTGCACGACATCTTCAAGGTTGTTAGGGCTGCCACCCGATGTCAGATCGAATCACTTTTTATGCATGAAGGTGCTGTCTCTTATCCAATAATTGTTGATTGTAGGTATCATATCTTTAGTAATCTTTTCCTACTTGTCCTGTGGCGCGATTTTACTGTTTTACTGAAGCCCGGCAAGGCTGAACCTGTAGCTCAAATATCTTCCTCAATCTCATAAAAAGATATGGGTATTCATAAAAAAAAAGACCATTAGTGAGTTTTCAAAGCTTTAGCCTACCTAAAGGCTTACTCGAGCCGCCGTTGATGTAGTTTTCAACTGGCAAAAATGCGGGCTTGGACAGATCTCCACTGACGTGCTTACTGCCCATGCACTGGGATAAAGAGGGAAATGCCTAAATCGTTAGATAAAGGCCATAATTTTACAATCGAGGGAGACCAGGCGACGAAGTGAGGGACGCATGTAATATCGGTGGCTTCCCAGGTTCGCTTGAGAGGTCACAGAAGGACGGTCGCCAGGCGGTAGGCAAACGGTTCTAAAAACTTCTGGAGGAATGTTTCGGATATTTAGGGAGGTTGTTAGAGATTCGGGTATCGGAAGGGCGGTGAGAGTCCTAAGGGTTTTGCATCCTTGAAGCACCTCAGAAGGGAGGTTTTGGCGTATGCTTCTTGCCGAGTCTTGACCCGTTGAGGTCGATAGCTGAGTGCCGCATATGCCATTCAGTACGACGAAAATGTCAAAGTCGTAGCCGGAGCACATTAGTTGGCTATGAGCAGCAGCGGTGAACATGCTAATTTGAAATGGTTGATATAAAAGCCTTTTGGGGGGTTAAGTCTAATATTTGCAACTAGGTTATGAAGTTATGAATAATACTTGTCCCGTGATTGATGATACTGACAAAGATTTCGAGCAGGTGTTGATGCCAACTAATTATGTGGAGATGGCGAGCGACCTGAGGACCTGGGGTTTGGTTTGTGGCATCAAAATCCGTAGAATCATGCGTTAGCCCCAATGATTTGCGGGTGCTCATACTAAGAGAAAATGGCTATACTCATCACAAAAGAATGCAATAAAAGTACGAAGAAGAACATTCCACAGTACTGCACTGCCGGACCCGCTTACAAGTATCAGTACATAATGTGCATGCCCTTCAGCAAGATTTTCCTGGGAGGAAAGGATTCCCCATATTCGGAAGTTGCATTCCTCGGACAGTGACTAGAAACTCAAATGTAGAAGTAAAGGGCAGCTTGATGTCAAAAGTCGAAGTAGGTGTAGGTGCCAAGCCAAAGTGGGGTGTGTGCCACAGAATTCGAAACGTGCCCGCTTCACTGCCCTCATCAAAAATTATCTCTCAGCCTTCTCATCCTTCCGTCAACCTCCTCAACCTCACTCTTCCTGGTCTTATGTTAGACCTCTTCCATATAACCATGCTTTTCCGGACTGTATTTGTATCATGTCCGATGCCGAGCTTGCTACCCAACCAACCGAATGGTGCGAGTTCAAGGGTAGATACGTGCACTTACCCAATCTTCTGATTCCCTCAGAAGGCCAGTATTGCTGCTGTTTATCTACTAAATCTTCTTATACCTTTTCTAAAAGGTAGATGCTCCCTTTGAACAGGCGTCAATATGGACTGCGCTGCGCCATCACCCTTACCGCCATTCTCCTTCCCCGATGCGGCTAGTCAATTGTGTCCTGGACTGCTTCAACATGTCCTGTCTCTGCCCTGTGACTCAATTGAAGGCTGAAAAGAGAAACATCTATATAGCCAGGTGCCGCATCATGGAAACGAAACAGTACCCATTGGGCACTAAGGGAGCTTTCTATTGATTCGCAAGTAGAATACCGATTCCTTCTAGGTTAATTCACCTTGTGCTGACACTGTAGCATTCTATAGACTCCCCAGCAAGCTAAACATACTGCAGGCACACCTGGAGATCGCTGCTTTGATGGCCTTATACTTCTTCTCAATTCTCCACCTCAACGCCTTTTTCGATCTGCTCTTGGGGAATTCCTCTCGGCCACTTAACCCTTAAAGGAAGTAAATCAAAAAAATGTAATTACTCCCATGCCATTGGCAAAGTATTTGCCTCCTTTACTACCTTCGTTATCGCCGACTTTACTGGTACTAGCACATCCATTATTTTGCTGTCAGAGTCCTTCACCTCTGGCAAGGTACAGTCTTTTTTATTATTTAACGTGGGAGGAGCTATAATAGATTGAAACGCGGAACCGATACCGATAGGACAGCAATGCCATTTTTGTACCCAAACAACATGCGAAATGTAGTGGGTCCATCCCCAGTACTTTGTCAACCTAAAGCCAGGGCTTCTTCGAAAGTTCTGGTTATGCCGCCAACCAGCTCCTTTATCTATGCCTCATGGATCCTCTCCAAATAGCGGGAAAGACCTTTAGCTCCTGGCCCATCTTGTGGACCTTCTCTTAGAGGGGCACTCGGATCTAAGAGTTGAAAAAGCAAGATCCGTTCACGATGCCACTAATTAGACACCGCTATCCACACGCCTCGCACTCGATCCTCTCAGGCTGTTGATTGTTTTCGTGGAGATATACTATCTTGCATTCCCCAGACGCAGCGATATAGCGAACGGTAATGAAGTGGAACTCCCTGTGAGTCGAGTCGTCCTAGGCGGGCTTCAGTTTGCGCTTCGCTATCGGGATATCACTGGTTCTCTGAAGTTTACTATCTCGAGACTACACATACTTACAAACAATGTTGCGCATGAGACCATATTTGAAAAGAGCATGGGGAATGAAAGGGGAAATGACGTCGGCGCTGCTTGGCGGAGAAACGATTCCCCGAAAAGGTTCACGCCGAGAGCCAGCGCCTTGATATCTGCTCGCTCCCTTTGCTTCACCCACGCACCGACCAAACCGAAATTCCTCTTTCCATATACAATATCTTTCAGCTTCGTCGAGCCTCATCCTCACGTCCCCATTGTCACTATCTTCTTCTATCAAACACCGCCCAATTGAACCCTCAAAGTCACAAAGACCACAATCTTCTCCTTCAATCCTACACTACCTCCTTGCCGAGCTTCACGCTCGCGCACACATATTCACAACTCTAGCCGGCCTTATTGGCTTGCAGCCGTGGTCAAATCATACCAACATCTCCTTCCATCTCGAATCGCTTTCCCAAAGAACAACTGTACCATTTCAAGTAGTGTCTTATCAAGGTAGTCAGCCAGGCCACTCAGACAATCTTTCACCTCCTCTCTATAGCAAAATTCACCATCACCAAAATTCTGGGTTCACGATGCAAGCCAACGACGATCTGTTCACCCCTGTCACGCGGTCATATCATTTATTGACGCAACTGGTTGATGATGTCTTTGATGGTAGCCCAGCGTCATCAGATCTTAGCCAGCTTTCTGTGGATACCAGAAACGGAGTGCGAGGCCACTATTCCCAAGCCAGTCAGCCAATACTCCAGTTCCGCCGTCAAGGATACAATCACCTTGGAGCTCCATTGCCTGAGTTGTACGAGATAGGCAACACGTACAATAAATACTTCGATCCAAGCATTCTCAACAGTCTCAATAGTCTCAACGGTCTTAATGATCTAAATGATCTAAATGATCTTAACGATCTCAGTGGTCTCAACGGTGATCAGGTGGGATATCTTTCGGTCCGGGATTGGCTAAGCAGGTAAGTAGATGTACATTCCTCGGCTAATCCGCATGAAGATTAACAATAATGAAGCGACATCCCACCGTCCCAGGCTGAATGGTCTGAGCAAGTCTCGGCGTACGGGCCCCTATTCAGGATTACGGGATCTACTGTCCATGACACAGGCAAAGGAGACCGCAACGACGCTGATAGGGAAAACCGCTTTCGATTCGATACCCCTAGTTCTCCAGTCCACCTTGCTGACGGAGAATCCGAAGACACGACTTTGGAGAGCGCTATTACTGCCGCGATGCCAGTGTCTATTAATCCAGTCATACCAGCTTCAATTCCCAACCAAGCTGACTCGAATACCACCCCAGCTGAGTACTCCGCCACTCCAGTACAGCCCAGTGCCGCCCGGAAGCAACCATCCCCTCCCACTCTCTCCACTTTGGTTGGTCTCAAGCCAGAAGAGGAGAGGCCAGCAGAGGAGCTGCCGGAGACTCCAATCGTGCTCCACTTCAAAAACCGCGATGAGGCCGTAAACGCATGCCCTGGTCCAACGTGGGTACCTCTTAGACCCGATGACACGATCCCAAAGAGCGATGTGGATCGACAGCAGGTGGTCATTCGCCTGCTACGTGCTGTCAAGAACCGCAAGGATAACCTAGATAAACCTAATGGCCCTGTGTATCGCGCACGATGGGCTGCTAGGAGTCCATCTGGCGAGGTGGTCGAGTACTATAACCCAGAGGAGATGGAGAAAGTCTGTTGGGATATCGAGGTAAAGTCTCATTCCAGGTTTACACCAATAGATAACTAACACGTTGAGCAGAAGATGGTCTACGACATTCATACTAAAGGCCCTTCGTTCCTCTCCATCCACGACAAGGAGTTCTTGAAGGTGGCTTCGAAGACGAAAATATGGACATATGAAGACCGCATCACAAATCTCGTTGAACTCTTCTCCCAATCAAAGGCGAATTGTGATAAGCTGATGAAGGGAGAGAAAGTTCAGATTTATGTTGCCGCACCAAACGAGCTCTTACACAGTAGCAAAGCAAACCGAAAACAGAACAGCAACCGTGATCAATTTCTTGCAGCAGGCAGGAGAGAGGTGAAGCGCAAGCGGGAGAGCGACGAAAGAGCAAGTGGAAAAAAGATTAAGCGGGAAGTTTAAATATGCTTATGGTTGATTAATGCAAATGTTAGTATCCCTAACTGGAGATGCCTTTCATTGTAACTTATGCGAAAGGCGTCAGCATGTTCCTACAGACTGTGGAACTTTATTAGAGCAGTTTTTATCTGGTAAACCGCTTGCTAAGATTAGAGAGAACAACAATATGACCCCAATTCCCGCCCTAAATCCCTCCTCTGTCACTAGATCTTGTTTCCTAGCAGGTTTGAATGGCGTTGGTTAATCAGATATTGCGTCGTTGAGAAGCTGCTTACTACAGTGATATGTCGTGGCTGGGAATAATTCCAGGCTCGCAATTTCACAAAACTCAAATCCCCAAGAGATTTCCTTTCCTTAAGATCTCCTGGTTCTGACTCACTTTGGTCAACTCCCCTCCTCTGTTCCACTTAGTCTCAACCTATCCCCTGGCCATGTACAACACATTTATGCATGCACCTTCTCCGTCCGCATCACTGCTGACAATACCCGCGGAAACGAGATGTCCGGCACTGTGCTTCCAACAAAGTATTGTGTCACTTGGAAGCCCTCACGCTGTGCCCGACTTCTTTCATTTGCCGCCCTCTGCGACATGGGTCATCAGTCTTGACTGATATCGACAGATATCATTTCTCATAGCCCTCGCGGTCTTCTGCAGTACAGGTAACCTGACTCCGGACTCACACTCACCTTCCAACAGGTATTTCGCGTATCAACCGAGTCAAGGTCTCGGGCTGATCGAGCAGCTAAACCCAGACTGAGAGCCTTTTCAACTCAGACAAATGCCCCGTTTAGACACGTTTGCGGCATCGGGCCAGGTAGTTGCCTTAAGCAGACAGAGATCTCTGTTATTGGAAAGATAAGCCAAACTTTAGCGGCTGCTGCCAGCGGTCGCGCCAACTTCACTTTCAATCTCTTCTAGCCCATTTGGGGCCACATACACCTCTAGACCATAACAGAGCAACCGGCCTATTTTGGTTGCTGGCCCAAATTCCCTGGAGTGACTGTTCACTTAACTTCCAGAATATCTGAAAGGCAAAAGACACCCCCCCCCAAAAATGGCAGCCGCCACCCGAAGGTCGGGACAACCACAGAATGGCCAAGAGCAGCTTCCATTTGTTAGGCAATGGACTTAAGTACTTAAAGGGCGTTTCATGCGTTTTTCAGTTGGTGGTATGTCGCTTCTGTGGACGTGAATATGTACTACTGTGCAGTAAACTGACATGACCGAGACTAAAGGATGTCACCCTAGACTTTAAGCATGGAGCGGACTCATGTTTGGTACTGGATGGTGATTTGAACTTCTTGGATAGAATGACGTATCTCACGCACTTGGTGAGCGTGAGATAAGAGAGGAAATAACATCAAAGTCTTTGGCGCCAATTGTCAGCAGAAGTATAAAAACATCGCTAGACAAATCATGTGCTGGCGGTTTCTTGAAGAAATACCGGGGCTCCAAGAACCTGTCCCCAGGTGGTCAAGAATGTGCCTCTTCATAGGGAGTTAGCTGATGTAATTGATTCGAGATATCCGTCGCCAAGGCAGTCGCCAACTAGAGACGAAGGGGCCCCCGAGAGGCACCGTAGAAGGCAAACCCAATAGGGCTGACAGAGAAAACATGAGGCAAAAGGAAGAGATTCTCTGATCTGTTAAAATGCTGACGCCGGTGCGGGAATGGGTCCTGACTTCGAGGACCTACTAGCGAAACGGCTCAGCATCAGCCCAATTCTCTCACACCATAGAATATGATCAATATGAGATATTTGGGTCCTCCATTCAATATCCACCACCTATATACGTTTCGGTTAGTAACCGTCTAGTGTAAACAAGCACCTCTCGGTTATACTGCACTGGAAGCTATTGCTCGGCAAATTTTGGAGCAAGTATCCGGCCAGGTAGCTTATTTCACGGAAGCCTCTTTCCTGGACTTCTTTAATGAGGACTGAGCTGAAGGTATTGACTCAGGTCAGTCCACGAAACCATGTTAGCTAATAAATATGCAAAGGGTACTTGGCAATCGATGAACCTCAGATTTAGGTGGGAAAATGACATATTTCTAGCCATGAGACTAACCCACTTATTTAAAACTACGGATTTTAAGCAACATAAAGCATAGCGATAGAGTCTACAGTGCATATTCACTCACCGCCGATCTTTGAAGTCCTTTGCTACGGCTTGGCGGCCGCCAGAAGGACTAATTCCGCTGTCCTTAAAGCCCAAGGACGAGAAGGTTGAGTGAGGTATTACTGCAAATGTGACCATTCACTCACCCGGCAATCACCTCCTTTGTAGCTTCCTTCCTGTACCGCAAATTGTGGCCCTAATTCAGACCACTCGTGTTCCCCGTCCTCTCTAGACAAATACAACATGGCAAACGCGAATCTCCCTCGATCTGCGCGTAAACAACCGATCCCTCCACTCGGATCTAATGCCACTGCCATTTCCCATAAAGGATCACCCGCAACCGCACTCGCCACAGTGCCTCACCGCAGCGGTTCCGGTTATGCATCCGATCAGTCCACCTCGTCCACGATCTCAGAGCGAGTCGCTGTGCCTGCAGTCAATCCAAGCCCACCCTCCCGATCACCGTATAATACAACCCCCAAAACTCCAAGTCCATTTTTGAAAGATACTCAGCTTCTTCCTGCCTCACAGCACCAAGAAAGGCCCATTCCTTCCAAATACTCGTACGTGCAGACGGCTCAGCCCCCACCCGCGGAAGCCGATACTTCATCTACTAGTGTGACAGAAATTGGATCCGCGTATGCTCCATCGTTAGCATCGGGTTCGAAGCCTTCACCTTCTCCAGGCCCAAGTTCGAGTCTTATGTCGTCTCTTGTTTCAAGTCGCATTTCTTCTCTCACTTCGCCTGCCCACACTCCACCAGCAACTACGACCAGAGCCCAAGATGTTGTGGTGACGGACGTAGCCAAGATCCATTCCAGGCCTCCAGAGCGTGTACCATTGGGCCTGAATACTGCCTACATCGTCCCACCGAGAATAGCATCCGCAGTAAAAGCAATGGGCCAGCAGAACTGGGAAGAGTACGTCCGATTGGTGGAGCTATTTGTGGATGGAAACATCGCTGAAGAGGCGCTGACTGCGAAAACAACTAAAATATTTCAGATAGGGGACATAAGAGCTGGAGAAATGCTGAGGAACCAAGCATGTGAGATGATTCGACAGGCGAGACAGGAGGACGATATCTCTTTTGGGCTCGATACGGATATGGAGCTATAGAGTGTTAAGGAAGACATAGCAATGAAGACTATCCCTTTGCTTGAATATTTTTATATCTAAAACGTGGTAATTTTTGGAAAGGTGAGGTGAGCGACTCCTAGCCTCACACCTCAAGAGCCAAAGGCTGTTGGTGGGGGGTTTATGCATGCTCCGCTTGGCTTCTTTGGCCACCCAAAAGATTCAAAAGCCCCAATGGTATTCTATGAGAGTCAAGATAGTAGGAGTATACTCACCTCTAGACCTTTGAGAGTGCTCGTGTAAATCGTCCCATTGCCTACCTTCCAATCTCCCTTGCCCCATAGCGTCTTCTCAATCTTCTCCACCCTTGTCGGAAGCACGACATTGACATGCCAGACATGATCTTCATACCCCAAGTAAACCACACTAACTAATACCTTGCCGTGTTTCACCCAAGCCGTCGCATCAACCAATCCGTTTCCCCCAATAACCTCTAACGGGACCCCATCTGCCTCAAGTGTATAACTTGTGAATTCAGTTCCACTCGCCAAAGTAGCGAGCTGGCCAGTGACCTTCTCTATTGGCTCACTTGTCGGATAAATCCATGCAACGATACCTTTCGCCCCGTGATTCAACCTCAAAATCCCCATCACAACCTCCTCTTCCGGGGTCGGGAATCTACTCCAGAAGCTACCCTGGTCATAAAAGGCCTGGGGTACCCCCCATACCGGCGCCCCCCCTGCACCTCTCGTGCCTTGGCTTGCCCATCCTAGCCATTCTTGATAGCGATAGAAATCGTCCATACGTGTCGATATGTCCAGAAATTTGTTCTTTACGTACTCGGGGTATGCTGGATCACCCGCATGACAGTCATCGCATCCACAGTCACCCCAAGTGCTGTTGCAAACGGTGTGGTATACGGGGCTGAAGGACGTATTTGCCGCTATGGGATAAGTGTCTTCGAGAATGATATGGGCGCCTGATGCATATTCCCCAAAATAAAAATTTGCACAGTTTAGAACCAGGGAGATGGGGTGATACGGGTCGAGGTTGTTGATGTGATGGAATGCTATATTCGTTGCGTTCAACGTGTCTCCCGCACCATCGGGCTCATCCGCAGTATAGTACAGGAGTAGACTCGGATGCTTTTGTAGTAAGGCAACGATTTCAGTCACAGCCGTCGTGTTTTGGTAGGTTCCCCGCATATCATACATGACATATAATTCCAACTCATCGCAGATTGTCAAAAAATTCTTTAACACAGTGACGTTTAAAGGCCACGGCGGCACAGGGTGGATGATGTTGTAGCCGAGTGCGCGGTAGGTAGAGAGATTTTTGGTAGCAGAGGCATTATTAAGAGTTGACACGATCCAGTCATAAGAAGTGTAGAAGGAATATGGGAATATTGGTTTCCACAGGTCATTAGTGAGGGAAGATTTCACCTGAAGAGCGCCATAGCGTTGGTCGATGCGGGACACACTTCCCGTGTCGTTGCGTGGAGGGAGGATCCGGACCGTGGATACACTTTGGTACGATTGCAGCCCGTCGGGAGAGGTCCCTATAATTCTGACACGAGTAGAACCGGTGTTCGTCCAGTCTATCAAGGATAAATCAAAGGAAAATTCTTTCCCAGTCGAGTTCACCTCAACTTTACCCCAAGGAACAAGGATTTTATTGTTCAAACTATTCCAGATTTGGATGTTAAGTGTCCTGAACGGTAAGGGTTGGGAAGCATTCGGGGAATTGGGCTCGAAAGTGCGGTTTTCATATGGACTCCCATAAATGTACGATACTGGGGTATCAACGATAAACGAGCCTTTTTCTTCAGTGCTGAGGTATAGATTCATCCGTGGATAGAAACGCAGGTCAAGCAATAGAGATTTAGATGGCTCCGGTGCAGTGAGCTGGCCGCCGGGGTCAAATGAAGAGTTCTACTTGCTGAGTTAGGATCTACCTCAAAATGCCAAAAGCGGGCGTGGTGAAAATAAAGGCCTACAGTTTCGCGATACGCCTTGCCACACCAGATGTCGACACCAGGCGGATTATTGAACGGTAGCACAGCAATGCTGCCCAGCCCGAAAACGAACTGCAGCAGTATGGCTTTCCCCGGTATCATGACGACCACCTGTGAGTAGACGAGGTAGAAAACGAGTGCATCTCCTTAAGATAGGAGGAATGCGGTATTTATCCGTGCAGAAGTACCATAAGATGGAGGCTGGGGCGATCTCCGCAAGGGAGCACTAGATTGCAACCCCTCATATAGCCAGGGGCAACCTTGGAAGATCGTTTTGAATTGTCGGGTTCGGTATGTCACAGACTATTGATAAGAACTATCGATCTTGCGTAAGTTTAAATTGCATGTGTTATGTTGCAGTACACACAAGCTCCTTATCGCCTTTTTCACGAGGTCACGAGCTAGATAGCATGCCTCACGTGACCATTCCTCTACTTCCGACATCGGTAGGTGCTTACACCCGGGAGGCCAAATGAAGACAAACACCGGGAGTGTTGACACTGAAGTACTAAATAGTGCCAAAATATGTGTTATGAGCCGTATCGGTGGAAGTAGCATTAAGGATCAATATAATATCAACGCCCCCACCCTGTCCTGAAACCCATTCCTCGGATGCCAAGGTGCTCTCATGCGGTGAAGCAGCAGATCATGATTGCTTGATCGAATGCTCTTTGCTCTAGGATAGCGGAAGCTCTAAAACAACCGGTTATTGAAAACGAATGTGACCTGCTCTTTAGGCACCACTAGTGGTAAATGCTTCCCCTCGCCCGCTCCGTGAACTGGGTCTCATTATGAAGGTGTTGGGTCACCTCGAGAGTCGTAATGATATGGTCGTGGCTTAACTTCACTTCCTTGCGAGTCGCAAGTAGACGGGCAATCTTCAAGATATTCTTTATCTGGCGACCGTTCATGTTCATACGAGCGAGCTCGTCAAGTTGCCGTTTCGATATGGTGTGCTCTTGTTGCGAGGAGTTGAGGAAGTTCTTCCACACCATCCGCCGGGAATCAATCGGTAGCTCCTGGTAATCGAGAGAGATGTGAATACGAGATTGAAAAGCAGGGTCAAATGTTTGTACTCGGTTGGTAGTGAGGAACATGGTACCTGTGACCGTAAGTATCTTGTGAAACTCAGACTTCGAAAAAAAAACATACCTTCATAGTACTCCAACACCCGTAGGAATATGGAGACAAGCTTATTCCTTTCCAGTTCGTGAAGTGAACGTTGCTCCAAAAATACATCCGCCTCATCTAAGAGCAAGACTGAGTTCCACCTTGTGCACATCTCAAGGATGTTTTGCAACTTAGTCTCCACATGCCGTGGATCAAGCCCAAGGTCTCCAGCACTCATCATATACAGCGGCACCTTCATTTCTTCTGCCACTGACTCGGCCGTCAAAGTTTTACCAACACCAGGCGGACCGCAGAGTAAAAGAATCATGCCTCGACCTTTACCCTCAATGATGTCATCGAATGTCTCCCTATATTGCCGTTGAGACTCGGTGAAGCCGAGAATGAGTTCTTTCTGGTTTTTAGGTAGCACTAGCCTATCGAAGGCGTCCTTCTGCCACTCGATTTCGTTGACACAGTTGACGAAAAAATTAAGCCAGAGTTTGTTCTTCAAGCTATATCCTCGAAGAAGTGGTGTGCAGATGAGCTTCTGTTCAGTGGTAAGAGGAATATGCTTAGCTGCATCGTCTTCATCTGCGAAATGACCGTCTATCGGCATTCCACTGTCGTCGCCGGCATCGTAGCTCTCCTCTCCATCGCTCTCCTCGCCATCGTTGGGCGTACCTGTGTTTTGAACGGGGTCCTTTTGGGTAAGGGGTGCGACAAATATGGCATGGCTCGGGTTGAGCCGGTTCCATCCATGTGTGTCAATCACGATCCGACCCTTAACATTGTACTTGTCTTTGGTGCCGAATGCACCATGTCGCCAAGCAATTCCGTGATACGCCTTGTAGTTCGGCCCAGCTAGCGACTCTGCCTTGGCGCCGCGCTGAATTAAACGGGCCTTAAGTGCATCTGCTTCGTGGTGGTACTCGAGTGGAAACACACGGAGCTGGGTAATGTGACGTGTGCCGCTGTACGCAGGAATCGAGAGGTTCAGTTTGTTCGATCCGAATTTGGTGCCATCCCAGTCCACATACTTGCAGGTGAGCCAGAAGCAGGGGTTGCCTTTCGTGTCTTGCCCGTATCTTGTCTCCTGGAGGGCCATCGCCGTCTCTTGTCCATCTTGTCGGGCAAATATCGTGGCACCGGGTTGGAAGAGGGTCCACAAATGCTCGTACGTCATAACCCTCTTTGATTTCATATCCTGCGAGGTTTCGATGAGGCTCTTGAACTCGTGCGTAAGCACATCGAGTAGTAGATCAGCGTGTCCTTTCGTTGTCCGGTCCTCCTCGGTCGCATCGCCCAAATCCCCGATGGCTTTCTGCAGTTCGGCCCAGCGGTGAATGAGAGGCTCGAATTTGCCGGAGAACTCTAGGCGGTTCAAGCCCACCGTTACACCCGGGTAGTTCTTCAACACACCAGCTAAAAGCTTCTTGAGAAGCGGGCTCTGGACAACAATAGAGTGAATGGCGAGAACCTTCCGCGGATCGTTGTAGACTTTGACATTTCGAACGAGCAAAGCCCATTTCGCGGTTTCGGCATTCTCCACCGGGTTTCCGACATCTTCTGGAATTGTATCTTGCCATTGGTATCGGCCCTTTTTGTCCTCTTTCCCGGAATATAAATTCTTCATCCCGCTCTTCATGCCTGGTTCCAGGTGCTCATCGTCTCCGCTGCTCACGCCATTAGTCACGCCATTAATGACAACATGTTTTGTGCCGTTAATGACAGCTGGTCGTTCATCATCAGAAGTCGACACTGTGGATGGGGAGCAAGACCGGTCCGAAGAAGGCATTGTCTTGGATACCCGGTTGCGGAAATTGAGTCTATCACGAAGGCTTTTCGTCCTCATGAATGAGTTGGGATGTGGAGAGGGGAAATGGAAGATGAGATGAAAGCCTCAGAGTACGCGAGGAGAGCTGGTATTTGTAGGCAAGTAGCTCGTTGCCTGATGGGCCTACTAGAAAGCGACTCCAGGATTTGAGTCAACGGAGGGAGAGAGTGAGGCCTCTCGGTGGCTGCCTAGCTTTAGAGCACAGCTTACCTCTAGAGTGAATCCGCCTTTTTGTGACTGCCACGTATCGAAGGCAAGGCTGGACCCGCATGTCTGCACACACGAATGGATGCTGTTCCACAACGTCTGGTCTGCCATGTCGCTGATGACTGTGGTAGTGCGGACTTCGCGTTGCTGATGGGGATGAGGATTCAGAGTAGTGGTAGTACCGTGGCTGAGCCACCGCTATCCCCATATAGGTTAGACAAATGGGAGCTGCCCCGCGACATCGGAACCCCGCGCCCGCTGGAAGATTGGTTGGGCCTGCCTCGTGCTGTAGCCTTTTTTGCGCGCACATTTAATTCCTCAACTCACTCAATTGTATATAGCCTCTTCACGCTGGGGAGCTTGGAGCTGCCGCTATGACGACCATTATCAAGGTTCCTTGCTCTTCGGCCAACATTGGCCCCGGCTTCGATGTTATCGGTCTCGCGCTCAACGTCTACCTGGAGGTGAGTCTCACAGTCACCCCCAAGACTCTCTCGGAGCACTCTCTCAATTGCCGCATCACGTATGAGGGAGTTGGTGCTGCGTCGGTGCCGCTGGTCGCCGAAGACAATCTAATCACCCGAACCGCCGTCTATGTCCTTCGCTGCCACGGCATCCGCACCTTCCCCGCCGAAACACACGTCCACATCAAGAATCCGATCCCGCTGGGTAGGGGCCTGGGCTCCTCGGGCGCTGCCATTGTTGCTGGAGTCAATCTGGCCAACGAGGTGGGTGGTCTCCAGCTTACCAAGGCCAGGATGCTAGACTACTGCTTGATGGAGGAGCGCCATCCAGACAATGTTGCGGCTGCTTTGTATGGCGGATTTGTGGGCACGTACCTGAACGAGCTCTCGGCTGAGGACACCGAAAGACTCGAGATTCCGCTCAGTGAAGTGCTCCCCGAGCCTGCTGGAGGAGTCGACACCGGTCTCCGGCCCCCAGAGCCGCCGCATGGCATTGGCCATTTCAAGAAGTTTAAGTGGGCACCAGAGATCAAGTGTATCTGCATCATACCTGACTTTGAGGTATCCACTGCAAAAGCACGGGAGGTTCTGCCCTCCACATACTCCAGAAAAGACGCTATATTCAATATGCAACGGCTGGCCTTGTTGACAACAGCCCTCGGGGATTCTCCCCCAGACCCAGACATGATATATACAGCCATGCAGGACAAAATCCACCAACCTTACCGACGCGGGCTCATTCCCGGTCTGACTGATATCCTGCAGTCTGTCACCCCTCAGTCGCACCCGGGATTGCTTGGTATCTGCTTATCAGGTGCTGGGCCTACCATTCTGGCGCTTGCAACGCACAACTTCGACGCCATTTCTAGCCATCTCTTGGAAGAGTTCAAGAAAGAGAACATTCACTGTGATTGGAAACTACTCCAGCCCGCCGAGGAAGGTACCACCGTCATTCGCCCTTCACCATTAGCAGAGCAAGGAGAGGCTCTGACATATGCCTCATCCGGAGTCAGTATTGATGCCGGAAACGAGCTCGTCAAGCAGATCAAGGCCTCAGTGGCCAGCACCAGACGACCTGGTGCTGATGCCGAAATTGGCGGCTTCGGTGGCCTCGTCGACCTGCAGGGTGCCGGTTACACAGAGGCGCCGATTCTCGTGGGCGCAATAGATGGAATCGGAACCAAGGTCAAAATTGCCTTTGAAATGGGGAAACACGATACTGTCGGCATTGACTTGGTGGCTATGAACGTAAATGACTTGGTGGTGCAGGGTGCGGAGCCTTTGATGTTCCTAGATTACTACGCCTGCTCTAAGCTGAACGTTGAGAATGCTGCAGCGTTCGTGAGAGGAGTTGCTGATGGCTGCCGACAAGCTGGATCCGCCCTTGTAGGTGGCGAGACAGCAGAGATGCCAGGTCTCTATAACGCGGGGGAGTACGACGCAGGAGGTGCTGCCATCGGTGCCATTAAGAAAGGGGCGACGATATTGCCTGATAAGCAGGCTATGATAGCCGGTGATGTCCTGCTGGGTCTCGCATCGAACGGCGCTCACTCTAATGGCTTTTCCCTCATCCGCAAAATCATCGAGATAAAGAGTCTTTCGCTCCATGACAGCGCGCCGTGGAGCACAGGTGAGACTGTGGGTGCCAGCTTGCTCGCTCCCACAAAGATTTACGTCAAGCCACTCCTGGCGGCTACACAGAAAGGCCTCATTAAGGGCATGGCGCACATTACGGGAGGGGGCCTCCTTGAGAATATCCCTCGCATGCTTCCGGACTCTCTGGCAGCCGAACTAGACGCGAAAACCTGGCCGGTGCCGGAAGTTTTCAAATGGCTTAAAGCGGCGGGCCACATCGAGGACATGGAATTCTGTAGGACGTGGAACACGGGCCTAGGCATGGTCCTGGTCGTTGATGCTCGCAAGGCGAGGACTGCAACAGAGATCCTACAAGAGTATGGAGAAAAGGTATACACCGTGGGGTCACTGGTTAAGAAAACAGACAAGGACTGTATCGTCCAGAACATGAATGTCTGGGGATGAAATCGCCTTAGTAGCAGGAACAGCTCCTTGTCACGTGATTCGAATTTTCGGATGGAACTGGTCGGCTTGCCATCGTGATGCTTGACAGTTGTGGCAGCTGCGGTGGATCCCTCAGCTTCTGGTAATGAGGGGTAGTTGTGGTCCCAACCGTGGGCGGGGAGAGCTTGAGCAAGTCGGACGTCCTTTGCAGGTAGTGAGCCCACAGTCCGCGTATACCATGGTTCATATGGCTTGCACAGGTCCCCATCATGGGCAGCCTTCAGACGGCAATCTACCACGCACTTGGCTCAAATTAACCGCAGGTTCACATCTTTTGATCTGCCTGAAATAGCTAAACATAGTCTAATCATGACATGTTAGCCTGTACACGGTTAGTTCCCAAGGTTCCTTCGCTAGCCGTGAGTACCTAGTGGATGTGCTACTTGCGTGAACTTTGGCGCTGGAAGTTTTTCGAGGGTCGTGGGCCTCCAGCAGGCTGCAGTGGCGTGTTTTTTTGTGGAGAAAAGGCTGCAAGAGGCGTTTCACAGAGGCTGGTTTTTTATCTCATATCAAGATGTAATACCTTACCAGAGCGGCCAACGATGTAACTGCGAAGGTTTCTGCTCGACACAGCGGCTTGTCCGTCCGCATCTTCCCACCGTCTCCCACACAGAAGGTTTGACAATATGAGTAATAGATTGGGTAATTTAGGAAGCGCTGCTGCGAGTAATATCAACCTTCAGCAACGCGGGCGGGTTGGTGGAGGAGCATTTGTTGGGAGGCACATGTGAAGGTAGACTGGCTTATCGGGCGCTCGACTGGGCAGCTCGCAATCCAGATGCTGGCGGGCTGAGAGCTGGCGGCGCGGGCGAAGGCAGCCATGCCTACCATAGTAATCCCTCAATGGCTATCGTCGAGCGTCCCACAAATCTTTCCTCTGACGCTTCGGTATCGCAGCGCCTGGGGGGCCGTGCTCGGTCTGAGAGAGGCTTGGACTCGGCATCATTAATACTCTCTTGCAAGGGTTCTCGCCCATTCGTCCACCGCAGCCCCAGCACCCAGAGGGTGTGCAGCTATGCCAGTGTCCGGAACGTTTTCTCCCAGAGTCCCAGTCTAGCGATTTTTGTTTTCGCAGTCAGGTCGCGTCACTTCTAACCCGCAGCCCTCCCTTCTCCCTTCTGCCCTCTAACATGCCACCCACCACGCACGACAACACGATCGCGAAACCACCCACCAAACCCTCTGCTACAGCCGAACACCCCCCGCTTCAGAAGCCTGATCCTACACTCGAGTCCAACAATGCCCGAGAAGGAAGACTCCCCTCCACCGCCTCCTCCCGCGCCCCCGAATTCACCAGTCCTGCGATAAGCTCCGAGCTGAACCTTCTCACGACAAGGCTGAGAGGCTCGCTGCGTCAGTTTGAGGACTTCCCCTCCCCTGGGATCATATTCGAAGACATATTCCCGATCTTTGCGGATTGTGCGCTGCACGGGACGCTGATACGGGCCCTGGAGCTGCATGTGTTGCAGGCCTACGAACAGCCCCCCGATGTCGTGGTGGGCTTGGATGCTCGCGGCTTTCTCTTTGGCCCGAGCCTAGCTCTCCGACTCGGCGCGGGATTTGTTCCCGTGAGGAAGAGAGGCAAGTTGCCTGGAAAATGCGAGACGGCCAGCTTTGTCAAGGAATACGGCGAAGATTATTTTCAGATGCAGAGCGACGCGGTGAAAAGGGGACAGAAGGTCCTAGTGGTGGACGACATCATTGCTACAGGTACGCAGGCTTTCAGAAACAAGACAGGACGACGACTGACTAGCATGTGTAGGCGGCTCAGCGGCAGCAGCAGGGTCGCTGGTGAAGAAGCTTGGAGGCGAGTTGCTTGGCTACGTCTTCATTCTTGAATTGGACTTCCTGCAGGGACGCGCAAAGCTTGATGCGCCCGTGTATACGCTTTTGTCAAGCCAGGCGAAGTCATGATCCTCCTGCTCGACACCTAGGGTTATTCTGCATGGGAAAGGCGCTTTGGTTTCTCACGGGGCACATATTGCATAATACCTCGGGCTCCGCAGCCCTTACACTGACGGATCCGGCAACATGATATTCTCACCTCTAACGTGGCATTCACGAAGGCTAAATAGACAGGCGACTGAGTGTTTCAGACTCGAATATAATGCTTTGATCGCTGCGATGCTACGGCCAAAAATTTTGGGGGGCCCTAGCCCTGCCCCTCCATCCACAATCACGCCAACTAAGGCCCAGTAGCTCCGAAAGACGGCAGCCGGCCACCCCCACCTTCCCAGTCCAGGGTTGCGACCGCCCGATTCGGCATGCGTCAGGGCCTATGGTGAACCTCCCGACGATAGCCTCTGCGGATTTTCACGCGTTCATGCCCGGCTCACCATACAGTAAATTGCGCGCTCTTCCTTCCCAACTCTTACACTCCGTGTCTCGCGGCCAGCCAATTCTCCACCGCCGCTTCCTCATCTTCCATCCCCAAACTGCACCTGCCTCACAGCGCCACACCATGTCCGACATCAAGAAGGTCCTCACTGCCAATGCCTGCCCACGTAAATACTCACCTCTGCCGCGCATGACTGATGGTTACTAATCAACGGCAGCTGCTGGGCCTTATGTATGTCCTCCTGTCTTACTCCAACGCAAGCCACTTCCATAGTAAAGCATTTGCGGCTTCGCTTCGTCGCCTTGCCCGTCTCAGCCCCGCTCCGACCGAGGCTTCCTCAGACAACTGACAGGACAACAGTCCCAGGCAATCATAGCCGGCCCGCACATATTTGTCTCTGGCCAGATCCCCGCAGACAAGGATGGAAAGCTTGTCGAGGGAAGCATTGGAGAAAAGACGGCGGTGTGCTGCAATAACATCATTGCTATTCTCCAGGAGGCGGGGAGCGACATCAGCAGGGTAGTGAAGGTATGTGCAGCAGCAACCCGCAATTACTCAAGAGCAAGTGCTCAAAGCCCTCTTCAGGTCAACGTCTTCCTAGATGATATGGGTAATTTTGGTGAGATGAATGCAACCTATGAGAAAGTCTTTGCGCACAAGCCTGCTCGAAGCTGCGTGGCAGTCAAGCAGCTGCCGAAGGGCGTCCCGGTCGAGATCGAGTGTATTGCGCTTGCTGGTAAGGAGAGCAAGCTGTAACGGGAACGACCGGGTGTTTACAAGACTTCTAGGTTAAACCCCCTGCGGTTTAGGACATGTCAGAGTCACCCCAAAAGTAGTTCTCTAATGAGAGAGGTTCACTTGTCAATGGACTCTTCTAACGAATCAAGGGTGACGTTGTGGACAGAATCCTCTTTGGAACTCTGTAATGAACTCGCCGAATTATATCTCGTCCTACGCACTCATCCTCTCTTCCACATTCTTGGCAATTCTGTCTCGTGCCGACAGGTTCATGCTGATGCCATCTAGAGCGTCGGGTTTCAAAGATCAAACGCCCTCTCTCGCAGCCGCTACTAAACTACCAATTACATTATCGTTTTCACATCTCATTAGGCCATGGGAAATGGTTCGCTTGACTTATTCCATGCAAGTGTTCCTAGCTTTATATCATGGCTAATTATATATGCGGGTAGGACGTGGGCCAACCTTGAGTTAACACTTCAGTCCAAATAAAAACCAGAAACCGAAGGGCATGCGGAGCTGTTCTGGGAAACCTTGGAATCGTCGTAAACAGTAGGTGCAGTGTGTGGCAAGGCTCGACGCAGATCGTAAACGCCCTCACCCCAACGTGGGTTTCTAGAATACAGAAAAGATGTGGTCGTGGGAAAACTAGTTTTGTAGAGAGGACTTGGCACCAAGGTGCGAACTCGGCATTACCGGTCTTAATCCCATCATCGGTCAAGCTAAGTTCTCGCGAATGATACAGCGTCAAATTCTCGGACCAAAAAGTGAAAACCGGAGATGATGTATGACTTCATTCATCCGGATTCTCTCGAATATTTGCGAATAACGTTCGTCACGGATATAATTTACAGCTTCAAGTCCATCAGTCTATCTATAAGAGACGGCTCCTCTTGGAGGATGCCGCCTCTCACGCAGTTGAGTCAGCAATCAATCAACACCATCAACGCATCCAAAACAGGTCTCCAAGACAAATCAGTTCTTGTTTAATGGATTCTTCTACAATTCTCATCATTGGGGGGACTTCTGGCCTCGGAGAAGGATTCGCACGTCGTTTCTACGCCTTGGGCAAGAGAGTAATAATCACTGGACGACGTCAGAGCCGGCAAGCAGCTGAAACCTGGATTTGAGGCAATTGAATGTAATGAATGTACAGGCTTGATACTTTGGCAAAGGAGATGAAAGGTCTCGAGACCTACCAGGTATGAGAATTATTACTCCGTCCTCCCACCAGTTAAGCTAACACCTGCAGTGGGATGTTGTTAACCTCGCGGACTTGGGGAAACACGCCTCTAAAGTCCTCAAGCAATATCCCGACATCGACACGATCGTCATGATGGCCGGCAAGATGGAGTCGTTCTCGTTCTTCAACCCTGCCGAATCTAACGATTCTATGATCACCTCGGAAATCAACACCAATCTCACCGCACCCATTATCCTCTCCCGTACCTTTGTCCCCTTCCTAGCTTCCCTTGCAAGCGAAGGGAAGACCGCAAATCTAATTTTTGTCACCTCAGGGCTGGCATACATTCCGCTTGGCTTTTATCCTGTTTATTGTCCCACAAAGACTGGAATCCATTACTTTGCCCTTACACTCCGCCAGCAGCTAAATTATGCTCCCGAGGTTGTGAAGAAGAACCTCTCAATCTGCGAGCTGTCACCTCCTTACGTTGATACTGCGCTCGACGCTGGCTTCCGCGACAAGGTGAATGCGACGCTTGGAGATCGTGCGCCTCCTCCAATGCCTCTTGAAGAGTACCTGGATTTGGCGATGAAGGGCTTGTCCGAGAAAGGCCCAGAAGGAAAGATGTTGAAGGAAGTCACGGTGCCAGGATTCAGTGAGCTGGGGGTAACGGCTTGGAGAGGAAGTCTGGGAAAGATCCTGGAGGGAATGGGCGTGGATTGTTAAGAAACATGAAGAGATACAGAATTAGAGAAAGGGGTAATTCATGTCAGATGTTTGCGTCCTGCTAACTTTCTTCATGATTCAGGCAAAGCGTCCAACAGATTAAGCATTTTCTATTCATCTTCCATGATATGTTCTATCATACTGTAGAATCATTCATTATCTGTCTTACGAATGTGCTTTGCCTCAAATTGAAGGCGGCCTCGCTGCTTTCAGCCCAAGAAAACCAGGCGCTGGAGGTGCACGAGTGGCGTGGAATATCTTGCTGTTTCGAAACCTAGGGTTCCCCCTGTGCGTTCTCACCAATCTAAAGGGCCACTACAACCCCCTGGAGCTAAACAAACTCTTCAATCACGGCTCGCCAGCGCATCCGCTTAGCCGTTTGCGCTCTTCCACTCGCGTGCCTCGCTTGGCGCCGAGACGGCCCGCTGTCGTTATACTTCAGCATGGCCTCTCATTGGCTGCGGAGGGCAAAAGGCAGAGTAACTTGACTTCTTCGTGAAGTCATATTAAGCGCGCCACGAGTGTCAAAGCACCAGGGACAAGACGCCGCTAGAAGCAGGGGCACGCGACAGTGCGATATTTGGACAACGGCATAGCCCCCGTATTTGCGAGAGTACAACACTCCTTTCCTTTTCGTTTCTCTCAAGATGACATCGACCGAGAAACCGCACCCGGCGACGACAGTGTCCAATGGCGACAAAGCCGGGACACCTAAACCCAAGAGCCAGAGGTCTGATGACAGTGCCGACTTGGACGAATATTTCGTAAGTTACTGCAGATGCGGAAGCTCATTTTACAAGTTTCTCCCTAACAACACTCACCAGTTTGGCCCTCGTGACCTAGACCACCATTCAAAATGGCCTGTCTTCTTGCGACTCCATGGTAGTATCACGCCCGAGATGGTCTTGCCGTTGTTGTTTGTCGGGGCTTGGTCGACGCTCATTACCTGCATTTCTAAATTTATCCATGACCGTGAGTCCAACTCCAGCTCTCTTCCCCTTCTCTCAATCTTATAATGTCTTTCTAGTCGGTATCAGCCAGCTCCTTTTGACAGTCCTCGGTTTCGTCGTTGGCTTGGCCCTCAGCTTTCGCAGTTCAACCGCGTACGAACGCTATGGAGAAGGTCGCAAATACTGGGCCCAATTGACTCTCGCTTCTCAGAACCTCGCACGCCTTGTGTGGATTCACGCAGATGAGAGGCAGGGAGATCTAGGCAAGAAGGACTTGCTCGCCAAAATCAGCTGCATGAATCTTATTGTCGCATACTCGGTGGCACTAAAACACAAGCTCCGATTCGAGCCATTCACCCACTACGACGACCTGAAACACCTTGTTGGCCACCTCGATACGTTCGCAAAGGCGGCTAGTGAACCTGATGTCCAGAAAAAGAAATCTTTCTGGAAGAGCACCGGAGAATTCCTCGGCTTGTCGTTCGCAGAGTCAAACCCGCGAAAGCTAGTCAAGAACGCCACTCAGCCGCTTGGCAATCTGCCTCTAGAGATTCTGAACCACCTCTCGGCTTACATGAAGACCATCTACGACAATGGCACGTTCAAGGTCTCCATCTATCAGACCCAATCACTGAATGCATTGACCACCATGAACGACGTTCTCACCGGCACCGATCGGATCCTCAACACTCCTCTCCCAATTGCTTATTCTATTGCCATTGGCCAAATTACATGGGTGTACATTCTCCTTCTCCCCTTCCAGCTGTTCAAGTCTCTTGGTTGGGTCACAATCCCTGCCTCTATGTTTTCCGCATATATCATTCTCGGGATTGCACTGATTGGCCGCGAGATCGAGAATCCATTTGGAGTCGATGTAAACGACCTGCCTCTCGACTCTTTCTGCAACCAGATTCGTCAGGACATCGATGTAATTATCAGCCGACCACCGCCGGAGACGGATGACTTTGTTAACCAGGAAGATAACATGTTGCTTCACCCGCTGAGCCATTTGGGTTATGCGTCGTGGGATGGAAAGTCAGTCCAAGAGATTCGAGACGCATTGAAGGCGAAGCCAGATCTTGCCATTAGGAAGGAACACGAGGTGAAGGCACCACCGCAGCCTGTCGGTGACAGCTCGGTTTAAATGACAGGGCAATTCTCGTAACCTCTCTCCCATAGCTCCTGCTGGAGTTGCCAAAAGCAGTAATTGACCAATTATACTATTTTAGCATAGATAGCCTTCACATTATACATACACTAATCGTCTTTTTTATACTCTATATATCAATTTGTTAGTCGTTACTAGAGTCCGTATACTAACACAAGCACAGAGTCTCTAATGAGAGGAGCCGCGGGCGGGGCTTTCGAGGTCTCTCTCACCCTCACCCCCTTTGAATTATGACTCTCCATCAAGAAGAAATTAATCCATACCCCATAATTCTTACCCAGCCAATCCCCGTACTTTACAAAGGATGACCCTTGTAGTACAAAGGTGTTCAGGTTGACCCGGCAGCATTCGATAGGCCTGAATTTGTTCCAATAAGAGTAGAAGAGGTTAGGACTACCTGCTAAAGAAAGCGATCGCCTGCCCAACACTTAGGCGAACAGTGTTTGAAGCAGAGATCGGGGACCATATGATGAGGTCAGTAAATACAACGATTCCAAAGCAACGAACATGTTTGGTTTTAACGTCGTTGAAATCACGTTCTGGGTCGCACACCAAACCGAATTTGCCAGCCTGGCCCCTCTCCCACGATCCCAAAATTTCTTTTTAAGTAAATTGGTATAATGTATTGTGCTATCCAAAGAGCACTGGGCTGATCTGAATAGCTCACATAAACGCCAGCTGTTAACTGATATCAGCAGGAATTCCACACACACTCAGCAACCGTACACCGAATTTATCCAGGAAGAAGCCCTTTTCCACAGGCCTCTGGCAGGAGGCGGTGGGTAGGAAGCACGGGGACTGAATGGTTACCCACAGCCAAGCGAGCAAGGTGGGTGGTAAAGCAGGGTTTGAAATCAAATCGATAAATTGCCAGATATTACTGTCAAATTGGGCCCAGTACGCCGTCTCCTTTCCGATGAAAGCACGGATGGGTTTCTGGTCCCTACTTTTGGTTGTTCACGTAACACCCGGTTCACGTTAAAGCGCTGAGTTAACAGTTCCCGATGCTCTGTCAGCACGAATGCAACGTTAATGAATGATTTAAGTATTATGAGGTATCGATGACCGTTAAAAGGCTTGACAAATTGGTCGCTCAGACCGAGGAGGTGGAGAGATTAGAAAGCATCAAGGCTCTTATTTAAGTCAGTGAAGCTGAAACCCTAAGCAGGTCGGTTATAACTTAGGTGCTCTTAGTAGCCAAGAAATGGAAAGAGCGGTTCGCTGTGGACGATATTCTCTGGGAGGGGCTAGAAAGACTCCGATCCTTCGTTCGTCTTTCCCAGAGATATTCATACTTCAGGGGATAAGGATACAGCCTGCCTTATTTCTCATACCGTGAAGTCCAGGACGAGCTCCTAAACTGGGGCTCTGGTGTCAAGATCGATATCCAGCGAGTCAAAAGCGAAGGCGGTGGTTTCAACAGAGAGTTAGATACAGATGCTCAGGGAACGAGTGGCTCCAAGACATGTATATCAAAGTTCAGACTGCATGAGTTGGTGGGGAAAAGCAGTGACCAGTATCTACTTCGCATCCTCTAGTTCTAGCTGAAGAGAGCCTCGACAACCTTTCCATGCTACGTCCTGTCTCTTTTCACAATTTGTATCTTCAATAAAAGTCTCAGAACCACTCCCACCTTACAGGACTTTTAGACCTCGAGATAACGCGGTACACTCCACAATCGTTGTGAGACGTTCCAGGTACCCTACATATGCTCAATCCTGAAGATTCATACCATTTTTTATACGTGAAAACACCCCTACTCCCAGTTGCTCTCTAGGCATTAGAAAGCCTGCACTCCGTATGGATGCCATTTTCCAACAGACTCCATACATAGCAGCACAAAATTAAATCCTGCTCTTTTCAACATCAGTGTCTTCATTCTCCAGCCTTTCAACCTCCAAACCCATCGCCAATCCCTTGTCTAATTTTCTTCGCTCCTCTTCGTCCATGTGCGTTAGATCAACGGCGACATCATCCCCAAACTTAGCGCCAATCTCCTCAAGACTCAAGCCCTTTGTTTCAGGATAAAAAAGGTACATGAGAGTTGCACCAAAAAGTGGCATGACGATGAAGATGATGTAGTATTTCCAGCCGATGGTGTGGAAAGCAACGGGTGCACACATAGTGTATATCAGAGAAAAGCAGAATAGCGCAGAGATGCTGAATCCGGCGCCTTGAGCTCGTATGGACGTTGGGAAGAGCTCACCAGCGTAGACGTAGGAAGAGGCGTCCATGGAGCCACCAAAGAATGTCACAACTACCTAAAGTCAATACTCATTGCCAAGCGTTGAGGCGTATATGAATACTCACAGAGATAGAGGAAGAAAACTCCAAATCCATTTCCAATCTTGTTATCCGTTCCGCTGTATGTGGCTACGCAGCCAGTGAAGCCCGCCACTGACACTGCGCAGCCAATCTGACTATTCTCAGTACTCTGATAGATTCCACGAAGCTACAAAGTCATACCTGCCCTATAACCATAATGGGAATGCGACCTATCTTGTCTAGCCACAGCGAGTTCATGAAATTCATGAAAGCAGCCCAAGTATCCCACAGAGCGTAAAGCATCAACGGCAATGATCCGTACAGGTTAAGTCCATTGTAAAGAAGTACCTGGTAGTTGTTTATTACCAGACACCCAGTAGACTGAACAAGGCCCCTGCAAAGATAGAATCAGTAGTTGATAGTGCGATGTAGGAATGATGGCTTACAGCGTAAGGAATCCGAAGAGCAGACGTTTCCGATATGACTTGCGCTGGAATAGTAGAATCCACCCTTTCACCCACCCTTGTCTCCAGCCTTCTTGGCGCTCTAGATCAAGCTGCTTTCGAATTTGGTAAAATTGCTCACGCGCCAGAATGTCATCTTCCTCGCCAGGCAGGCGGTGGAGATCGCAAAGGATGCGAAAGCCTTCCTCGTGGCGATCCTTTGCCATTAGATGACGAGGCGATTCCGGTAGCCAAGGAGATCCCATCAGCAAGCAGAGCGGTGGCACAACCTGCAATGCAAGACATAACCGCCATTGCACCAGCTGAGACGATACGTAGTAGCAGCCAAAGCCCGTCCATCCAGCCAAAGCCTGCGCAATAATGTTAAAATGTTGATTCACCGTTTGAAAAGCTGGGAGGCCATACATAGCCAACACAGAGGATAAATCCGTGCGAACCGACCATTCGTCCGCGAGAATGAGCTGGAGATATTTCGCTCTGATAAAGAGGAGTGATGACGTTGACCATACCGACTCCAACACCTGACCCATTTGTTAGAGACCGTATCTGAGAAAAGGCTGCGCATATTACCCATGAGGAATCTTCCGACCAAAAACATGGCGATATGTACCGACCCAGCTTGAATGGCACCAGCAACAACGCAGAGAGATGCTGTTACTTGAATCGAGTTCTGCCTCCCGACCACATCTGCCAACCATGTTATAATGAAGCAGCCAATGAGGCCGCCACCAGCAAAGAGCCCATTTGTAGCTCCAGTAATTCTAGAGCCTTCCACGGCATGTGGCCCTGTTAGTGATATGTCGAAGTATTCGAAGAAAGATGGAAGGCCAATGACGGAGCCAATAATGGCTGAGTTGTAGCCGTATGTTAAAGACCCGAACGTCACAAGGAAGACAATTAAAAAATTGTAGCGGTTTGCGATTGCCATCTTCAGAAGAGCGAAAATCTGAGAGTGAGATTAGGAGTGTGGACTTTGCTTCATTTTATCGGTCAAGTAATAGGACAGCGCAAGTAAACTTAATATTACCCCACATACGCGGATCCGAGGCCGAGCTTTGACTACGTATATCCCCAAGGTCGGGCTGTTGGGGAATGGTAACTAGGGTAGGTAAGGTTCTTGGTAAGCGAGGTTGCTGATGGCTGAAATAGCCTAGGACAATCCCCAAGGGGAGGTGATAATTCCCCACGGATTGGGGAAGAGAGTTGGGGTAAATCCTTCAATCCAACTGACACACTATACTCGGGAGACTCAATCACTGCATTTTTGGGGTACACAATAAGACTTCCTTACCATTTTAGTTCTGCCCTAGGTAAGAAGTATGAAGCACCTTAATCCTTCCAGCGCGGTGCCAGCAGCAAGAGCAACTTCAAATTCTATACTTTGGCAATAGAAGGTCATTTTAGTTCTCAGGTGCAGCTTGACATAAGGTTTGGACCCCCTCGGTTCAGGATTGCTTAATGGGTATCTACTATTAGAACTTTTGCGGGGCAATTCACGTCCTCATGAGGGCACTTCTGATATATCCTTTCACAGCAGCATGGCCTCCGAAACATACTATAGTTAAGATAAATTGCACGGCCTTGACCTTATCCATGGCTCTTTTTTGTTGCTAGGAGTATAGAATGGAGAGCAGAGGTGAGACTTGGGTACTGGTTCTGACATTACCATAAATGGTGGTCCTAGTGAAGGTCGTTGCTGTATGTACTTGCATTGTAATTGAGTAACTTCGAAAGGGTTTGACTATTTCTTTTTGTACAGGCGAAGATTTTGTCGACGCGCGAAAGGAGTAACCAAATCTTCCATATGTTGCCAGCGTCGCCAGTGTAGAGCCGCCAGTCTGAGCAGTCAATTGACACCGGTATTCATGCAAGAAGGGACAATCTTTGATACAGCTGCTGTTGCCTCTGAGTTCTGGAAGTCCGTTATCGGGGAAATGGTCGACCATTTTGAGCTACCTGTAGTAGAAACACTTCCGAAACAGGGGCTCGCAATTCTGTTCAGTTGTTTAATCATGGCTGACTGTCGGATCCCAGGCACAAGGTTCATATACCCCAGTGTCTAGTTTCTGCATCTCCTCTTCAGATAGTTCGAAATCATAGATCTGAGAGTTTTCTTCGATCCTTGATTTTGTGACCGATTTCGGAAGCGGGACAAAGCCCTAAAATACAAATAAGCCAGAGCGTCGAATAAGACCACTAGGTGCGCTCGCGATACTTCACGTACCTTTTGTAGGCTCCATCTTAGAAGAATCTGAGCGGTTGTCTTTCCGTATTTCTTCGCGGCTTCAACCAGCAAGGGATCGTTCGCCTTCGTCGCTCGCACAAGTGGCGAATATGCCTCCACAATAACCCCTCTTTTCTGGCACCACTCTACTATGTCCTTTCGCGCCAGCCAAGGGTGGAGTTCAATCTGGTTGACACTCAAAATGCCACCTTTTCCTTGCCCGTCCTTTTCTTCTGTGCTTTTAATCCATGATTCCAACTCATCTAAATGGTGACACCCATAGTTGGAAACTCCAATGCTTCGGATTTTCCCTGCCTGGACCCCTTCAACAAGGGCCTTCCAGGCCCCGATCCGATTCTCCTTCCCGCCATACGGTGCGTGGAGTAGGTACAGATCCACATAGTCAAATCCTGTCACCTTGAGCGTGTTCTCAATGTGTTGTTTTGCATTATCGTACGTCATTTGACGTGGTGGTATCTTTGTGGTGAAGAAAAGGTCCGCGCGCAGAATGCCGGATTTCTTCATGCCTTCCGCAGATGGCGCCTCGTTGTGGTAGGCCACGGCAGAATCGACATGTCGGTAACCTACATTTAGGGCATGTTGGACTACATCAGAGGTAACATCAGCAGGCGTTTGGTAGACGCCAAATCCTAAGATCGGGATGTCGTAGCCTGATGGCATGCGGTACTTTGAATTGATGTTGAGAGTGGACATGATGGGCGGGACCAGTCGAGATGAGCGATTTTCAAACAAGGAGCGAGCCTGGAGGGAGAACAGTCTTCTCATAACATATATAGATGAGAAGCAGGGCCAACAATGGATCGTCCTGGTGGGTTGCTGTCGAAATTGATGGTGATAGATGACTAAACCGACAAAAGCAAAGGAGTTATCGGGGACTAAAGTCCGATACCGTGCTAAATCGTTTCTGGGCTGGGCGGGCCTCAGCACTCAACACCAAACACGTCTTCGAGAGATTATTCCCCTTTTTTTTTTGCAAAAACATGACAAATTAGCTTCATATGCTTCTTGTGGGGTTAAAGTTTCACACTCAATCCTTGCATGACAATGCATCCATTCCTGCAGCCCAAACTACGACTTCGAAACATTCTTAACTCTCCATACTTTGTAGTCTCAGGCATTAATAAAAGCTCTCATAGAAGATCCGGAGTAGCCGCACCAGCATCACCAAAACTCCTGCATCCTTCATATTTTTCGCTCATCAAACAGAACTCCGATTTGGATCCTCATGCAAGGCCCCCGGCATTCACGGGCGTTACCCTTCATTCCATGTCCAGGATAAGAAGGAAGCCTCTTCCCTACTTCTAGAAGGCTCAAAAAGACATGCGATGGTAAATTAATTCTGCGAGGCACAGATCCTTCTCCAGGATTCCCCAGCTTGCCAAACGGTCAGCTCGCTCCAGATCCGCCCAGATCGACCCTCGTCAGTTCTTGGCATTCGGTCTGAACCCCGACGTCACCACATTTCGACCCCATAGATGAAGATGAGGCAAAAGGCGGACCCCAGATGCCGCACGCAATATCTGCAGCCAAATTCCTTCGCAAGCGCTGATATAAAATCCGTCGCACAAAAAGCTCAACGGACGACACCCTAGTCACTGAGCCTTGTCAGGGTCGGAGCCGGAGACTTTGCGGATCCGATCTCACGCTCAATCCTCAAGCAGACCTCGCGAATGACGTTGATATTGTGCTAAAATGCACGGCATCCTGCGGAATCTTCTCTGGCTTGACTGTGGCGGTGGTCTTTGGGGCGGATTTGTTTCAGAAAAGGCAGGGTGCTTGCCGATGGTGGACGTGGGCTAGTTTTGGGGCTTGTGTAATGCAAGGCTGGACGCTGCGCCACAAAGGATCCATGTAAGGCGAGGATGAGGCTTTTATGCATTGTGGGTGTTGCACACATTTTGCTCATGGGAGTGCGAACGCCTCAAGCGTCAAAATACGATTCGGAAGTACGATTGAAAGGATAATGGGACGGGATGGTTGATAGCGTTCTATTTTCGGATCTAAGCCGCCTAATGCCTAGGTTTGTGCCAGAAGGATTGGATTTTGGGTGCGGCTGTGGTGAGTGGGTTGAGCCTGAGGAAAGCCATCGTGGGTGCATACAAGTCCACACGCGTCGACAGAAAGTTTCCAAATCCAGCCTTACCATCGCCGTGTTCAAGGATTCTTGGATGATTGAGCAAGATGAACGGATCCTAGGATGATTATGGCAAGGAGACAATAAGCATCGGTGACGGTGATGCACACAGTGATGAAGCTATAGGAGAAGCTAAGGACAATTGAAGTATCTCCCTAGTTCAAGGCGCGTTAGTATCTACGTTGGAAATTGCAAATGGGCGTGGAAGATGCCTTCGAATTTGATATGTCCTTTAGTAGTGAGGGCAATTGATCATAACTCCTTCTTTCGAGGTTTGCTGTGAACATTAACAAGCGTCACTCGATGATTAGTTAGAAACTGTCCTCAAAGGGGCCTAGTTTCTATATTAACAGGCAAGAATTCTACTTAGCTAGCACTTCTAATAGCCTCACTGAAAAGTCTTCTTCATAGCTAGGTTCTCCTGGACCTTAATTATACTTTAGCTTACTTCGCAGACCTCAGGGCAGCGGTATTTTCGAGGCAGTTTCCACTGCAGAAACCCCTGCACCAGTGTCGCATCTTATGGAACAAAAATCGAAACGACGCCTTTGAAGGCATTAGAAAGTTTTGAGTTTCGTCTTAGAACTCCCACGAGATGTGAAGCATGGTGTTTGGCAACTATTGGCACTGCAGTCAGGGACCACCGATTCAGCAGGGAAGTCCAAGCGGAGGCGACATGAATGGGCCTCTAACCGGTGAACCTGGCGATTCACGATGCTGGAAATTTGAGATTATGAGTTGAATGAGTTGCGGCTCAGTAAGTATAGGGGCGGCACAGGGACTGGGAATTGACAGGAAGTAAGGTTGAAAGGGCAAATAGCTTTGCTGTGTGAATGCGGCACCAATATGCTAGATCTGTGCAAAATAATGGTTCTATTGATGAAAGGCTAGATGTGGGGCGGGATTGCTTTCAATGATGCCTAAAGCTCAAATGCACGTTAGTTTTGTCGGCGTGTCTTTTAGGCCACGATGGCGAATGAGATGCGGCGTTGATGCTGCACCAACAGTCAAGATGACAGACTGTGCCGCTTCGGCCAATAGAGTGTCGGTGCACCATAGTCTGCCCGGTCCGGATTGGCGGGCTTTGGGCTTGGATGGGGGGCGGATGAGAAGAGGTGTTGTTCTTGCAGCATTCTTGAGTGTTGACTTGAGACTTGCCCAGTGAGCATGTGGAGTGAAAGTGGTGAGCGGTGAGTTGGCCACGTTAAGCGCCAGACATAAGAAGAAAATTTGCCCGAATCCCTTCAAAAAAAAAAAAAAAACCGTAAAGCTCGTAAGACAATTTTGTACCTAGGTTTCGACAGTCTAAAGGTGGCCGAAACAGAATCCTCCAGCCCAGGAAGGTTTCTGAAGGATGCGGTCAGCAGCCATGATCCACGTGGCGTGCACCCCAAAATATTACTCACTTGCAACAGCCCTCCAAACGGGACATTTCTAACCAATAACTTATCGTTTTCAGTAACTCTGGAGGCTTCACATGACTCTCCTCCCACGGATCGGTGCCGTCATGATCGGTGAGGTTCGATGTTGAACGATTTCGGCTGTTGTCTCAGAACGTGGCAACACTATCTTTCCGATGCAAAACCACCCTGACGATGCAGAAATATCTCCTTGATGAGGGCGCTAGAACCTGCAGAAATCATTGTACACGAAGTTGTTGTGAAGTCGATATTCCGATGAACCAACTCTAAGAGCTTTGGCCGATAGTTGCCACTTACAGGTGCCGTGCAAATACCTATAGGGCCTTTCCGTACTCTCGATTGGAGGCGGAAATGCCGTCTGAATTGTGCAGTCACGCCGCACCCATGAATTGTTGGGCAGATTTAAATGGTTCAACGGGGCAACGCTTCGCGGAAAGCGGCGGCCCCTGGATAATTGCCTCGCCGCTGCTCCCAGTCCCACAGAGCGGCAAAATCGCGATGGGACAACGGAAGCGCGATTCTAGCGGGATAAGAAAGTTGGCAGGGGTATAAAAGTTCCACAAGAAAGTTCGAAAAGGTATCAATCTTATTAAGGCTGTGTTGGAAGGGCGTTCCCCTCGTAGTGGCCGCAAGACCGAAACCGCATCGGAGTGCTTTTTCGCAATACAGCAATTGAACCAGACCGCTTGAAAAATAAATGCAGAGGCGGCCGGCACCGGTTAACCCTGGTGGGGGGGCTAGAATATATACAAAAAAGGAGACGAGAAAGGGTCTGACACATTTGTCGCGAAGCGAAAGGGGAAGAATCAGTACCTGGATGACTCTTGCTGTGGAAGCTGCTGAAATATGATGTTTCTGTGGCATTGTAGAAAGGATCTCGCTCGCATAATATCGTAGCTTCCCCTCCTATTTCATGGAATGTGGAGATACGGCATAAATGGAGACGCTTCTACTGGGCTCATAGTGTAGGGTGCGTATGATGGAGTGGAGTGGTGATCGTAGGTTGTGTACGGGGTTGGGCCAGGGTCTATCTCAGCCCATTTTCGAGCACACTGGCGAGCCGTCCACTTCTCTGAAGCGCCAAACTCTAGCATCTAGTCGAATTAGCCTGGGTGCCCATCTTGTATGCTCCAATACTCACCTTCTGGCTGATGATGTCAAACTTGCTCTGCACCCAATACTCATGCGCCATACGCAGCGCTCTGAGATCAGTTTCTGTCCATACGCGCATTCGTTCTCTCAACCTTTTGAGACGCATTTGGAGGGCTGGGATCTGGTATGTTTTCCCAAGGTCTGTTTGGAATCGGGCTGCAATGTCTTTCCAAGGCATGCTCTCTTCATCCTTGAGCTGAATCAATAATCGGTCTTCCTCTCCGAGCTCCATAGTCATAGTACTATTTGAGTCTGATCTTTTCCTTCGTTTCAACTGCTCTGGAGAGTCGTCGTCTTCGCGTGATCGCTTTGGCGCACTGGTCCTTTGAAACCCAATTGGATGGGGAGCTATTGGAGGGTACATACGACGTGGCTGCGGTGCGGCAAGGTCAGCAGCCAATTCCATGGCCGGTTCACTTAAACGAGGACTACGAGCTCGTACCGGAGGATACGTGGAACCTGAGTAGTACTGCTCGTGCATAACTGGGGTTGAAATGCCCAGAGGATTCATAGTCCAATGGAATTCGATGGGTCCGCTTGACGGATGGTTGGGAGTGAAGGTACTCGGGCTACTGCGAGGCCGTGCTGGAGGGTTAGACTCAACCTGAAGATGTGTGGATGGTTCGGTCGAGGTCCTCGGGGGCTCGGCATAGGACTCCTCAGAGGGGCGAGTGAATTCACCCTGTCCAGACTCAGACACTTTGGAATATTCTGAGACGGGGGAGAAGGCAGTTACTGAGGCATCCTTTGCCAGTGAGACGGGAGTGTCTGAAGGCTTGGAAAAATGAGTGGGTGGTGAAAAAGTGATTGAAGATGTATGCGGGGTCACATAGGGCTGGTCGTAGCTAAACTGGGTGTATCCAGTCTATGGAGAGCTTGATGTTAGTTGCATTTTAGGGAAAGACTGAGCGGCTGACGTACCTCGTTTTGACACTCTGGGGCCGGAACGGAGGGTCCAAACCAGCCTGAACTAGGCAAGCCACCTAGGTCTTGGTGGGGGAGCTGGTTCTCGTGGAGGTGGGGTATATAGGAAGGGAGAGACTCGGGAGACATTGGAAGGGGCGACGAGGTGGGAGCAACAGGATACTTTATCGGGCTGTAGGAGGATTGCCACGATGACTTGCCGGTCAGGTGGAGATGGGGTGGGGGCACAGCACCCTCAAGTACGGCAGGCATGAGGGCAGGTGAGGGCCGCGGTGTGTGCTGGATTGTACTGCGGTTATGGAAGCAGACAACAATAGCCGGGCATAGTAAAAATACTCAGGAGGGAGCGGGAGCGGGAGGTGGAGCGGAACGAAAGGGAAGAGAGGAGCGCGTTAGACAATATGTATCAAGACATGGCGATGCTCGCTGCTCACGCACCAGCGCAGGTTGAGCTGGGCAGCTCTGGAGACAGGCAGGACAGGACAGGCAGGACAGGCTCTAGTGCGACCAGTCTGTCGTTGCCCCCGGTTGACGGATTTAGAAGGATGCTGGCACGCCGGGCCATGCAGCTTAGCGCCGAGCATTCACCCATGCTCTCCACACGTCTGCTCCAAGCTCAGGTTCAACGGCGCTGGGCAGCCAGGGGTGTGGGAGGCAGGGAGCTTTGGAGGCTGGACTGGTGCGCTTGAGCCGCCTCGACGGCGGGCCTATCGTACGGTTGTGCCCGGCCCAATTGCAGGCTGGAGAGCCAGGAACGACTGGCTGGGTCCGCGCAGCGTGAAGATCAACCTGATCGAGGGCTCTGGCAGACGAATAGCGACGGCACGGCGGCGGAGGGGAGGCCGCCAGGGCTTGGAGCAGCCTCGCCGGCCGTCCAAACGGCTCTCAGCCCTCCCACCAACCCTGCCGCAGTGGGTTGCGCTGCTCGCTGGCACGGGGGCACCTGGGCTCGCTCTATACGGCCCGTCTCAAGGCAAAGGGCAAACAGCGGAGAGCAGAACGCAGAGAGCAAGGAGAGGGCCGTCAGTCAGTCTCTTGCGCTGCAGCGTGACTGTGACGAACCACTGTCCGTGCTGCTCGACGACGCCGGTCTGAGAGGAAGTTCAGCAGGCCTTTCGCGGCGCCATAAGGCCCGGGATACAGTTCCTTCGAGCACCATTTCTCAAATTCCCTCGTCCAAGGCGTCCATCGCAAGCCTCTCAGATCAAGCCACTGTTCTCATTCGGTGAATTAGGGGCGGGAAGTTGGGCGATGCGGCGTGCGGCGTGCTAAGGGCGCTTATGCTCAGCAAAAAGGCCTCGAAACGGCAAACAGCAGCTCACCAGCGACGTGAAACGCCTAGCTTAGGCGCGTAAATGTGCCAGATATAGCCGGCGTTGCGGTCGCTCGACTCGCATCAATGGCAGCTAATTCTCCCGATTGGGCACTACGAGCGGCCGACGCTCCGAGTGCTGCTCTCTATCCTGCATGTCGACTCGCGACCTCAAACGTCCCTCAGCAACACCACCACGGCAGCTCACCGCTTTGCAACGCATCCGCAGCATCGCGATAACGCCTCGCCGTCGTGATCGGTCGGGCAGCCTGAGCAGGAGCAGGAGCAGTCGCCGTCGCCGCTGGCGAGTCCCCACAGGAATACCCTGTGCTGTCTCCTCCCTTTGCTCCATGTCGGGGTGATACGGCTAAAGCAGCCCGCTCAGCCGTCGCCAAGCCGCCGCCCGCTGCAGTGCTCGCAACTCTTGCTCAGAGGCCCTCTTCTCTTCTCCGAGTCTTTCGATCTCGCGGATGTAGATAGCGAAGGGGTCGACTCACGGCCTGATCCTCACTATCCTAGTCCCTGCTGCGGTCTCCCTATTCAACCATTCCTCCACCGCAGCCCCCAAGCCTCTTACCCCCGCCTCCCTCCCCCACCTGCATCACGATAACTCCCGCGATGTAGCCCCCTGCACTGCCATTGACCCTGTCACCGTCTCCCACCTGCTACTTCGACCACCTCCTCCAGTGTAGGTGACAGCGGCGTGGCTGCTCAAACCCCAAGCACAGGTTCCCAAGGCGTCTGTGCCATGTCAGCTTGTATACTGCCGGACTCCGACCGTATCGCTGTACATGAACCCAGGAGCCCGATTGCGTCAGGCCTCTGGAGACTTCCTCATCTAACCATCATTGACACTGATTCGGTTTGACCTTGCTGCGCCCTTGTCTTGTGCTGGTGTCCGCTCAACCTCAGTGCTTCATCTGTGTGGTCCAAGCTGCCCTATCAGATACAAAGGGAGATCCCTCCCGACATTTGCCGCTCTGTGGATAACTAAGCCCTGATACATCCTCCCTCTCTCTACCTTCAAATTCTGCCATGGGAAATGAGCAGAAATTTGTGACCGGTTGGGAATCCTACGAATCTGCAGCTGGGATCTGAACATGGACCGAGTGTCCCTGGGCCATATGTAGGTCAGCTTCTAGAATATTAGAAGACGGCAATTGCACTGTTAAAGACAAGGATTCTTAACACACAGTTCCCTAAAGTGTTCTAGCGAGGCTCTGGTCTCATATGGGTCCCCCTTCCAGAAGTTGTCTCCACCCTCCCTGTGGATCAAGCTCACAATTCTGGCTGGAGGAAGTTGATACTGCCTCGTGATTTACGCACCCTGGATTCTCATGCATGACTTTGACTTGTCGTCGAAACACCCCATTAAACTAGCAATTGTTCTGGAAACCCTGGGCCTGGGGATCGGTGACCGGAGATCCCCTTTGCATGATTACCACGAGTACGCGGGGATTATGTCCCTACCCGCAATCTAATCAACGTTTATCTGGCTAACCGATTCGTTATTGAGTGTTCCGCGATCTGCAGTGTCGAAGCCATTCCCACAACCGCTCCCAGCAACAGTACGCCTGCAAAGTCTTAAGTCATGGCTTGCGAGGCTGGGTCTGCGTCATTCAATGAACGGGACACCACGGCGCTCAGAATGCCCTCGAACCGCTCAAAAGACCACTCCGGTGCCCCTGCGCAACCTGTCCAATTGTCGTGTTAGATTGTCCAAGGGTCTTTAGGTGTGCCATTCTGTCGGGAGCATCCTCGTGTCCCAGCCTGTCAGATCAACGTTTTCGTAGGCCTGCACCTTTGGGTGAAACGAGGATGTTGCACACAGAATTCTCTTCTAACTTCCCCACAAACTCTGATCTGTAGAAACCGTCAAAGAAAGCTTGGCTTCAAGTGCACTATCCATGTATTTGCTTGGTGTCATTAAGTGTTGTGACTTCAACGTTTTTTGCTTTATCGCGACGGTAACAATGAGTATAGCCCCAACACCCACCAGAAGGGCTTCAAACACCTCCCACTCCCTCCCAAACTACAAGAGCATCGAGGCTGTGTGCTTGAAACAACAAAAAGGCATGCAGTCAGCTCTGTGATACGCATGATCCCCAGACATCGTCACGGCCCATGCCTTCCTTAGCTAGGATAAAATCAGCACACCGTCTCCAAAAGCACCCCTACTTGACGATGAGCCCCCCCTTACTTCGCCTCAATCCCGCAATGGTCCTATAGACGAGCATATAACGTTTGGACTTTTACATAACGCGCAGCTCATAGCTCTGGTCTCAAGTAGAGACCTATCTTGATGGTCGAACTTAGCTTGACAGGGTACTAGCCAATGTGATATCTCCTGTAGTATGTCCTGCCGGATTGGACACCGTGCGTAGTGCAGTCTTATAGGTGCAGAGTTCAGAGAATGCTCAACTTTATAGAACCATATCCTTCGAGAGCACGGACGGGAGATATCAAATGCACAAATCCCTTCAAGGTAGTCAAATCCATGCTCCCGTGCTAATGCTTTCGAAAGGCAAATCCTTGTCAATGCCGTCTGGTTGCAGACTCTACACACCGACTTTTTTTTATACTCAAGTCCCCAAACGTCCACCACTGTAGCCAGCTGCACGCAAAGTTCTGGAAGGAGTCTGTAGATGCTGCTGTTGTGCCATCTGAAAGCCAGGCAGTTAGAGCAGATCCCCCTTGAATCCTGCTATATTTCAGCTTCTAATGTTCCAAGGTTGTCGTTCCAACGATAGGCCAAGCCTCGTGACAAGCGCATCCCAAGGTTATCTCTCGTCGGTTCTGGGCTGGGAGTGTTGACTGAGATGAATGAAAGACGGGCAGTGCTATCTCCTCGTGCGAGAAGCAGAGAGGTTGAAGTCAGCCTTGCGAAGCCGCGTGTGCGCCAGAAGAGTGCTAGTGTCACATGCAGGGCATCCAAGGTTGCCAAGCCGGCCCCAGCTCTCGACAGCAGCAAGCTTCACGTTAACACCATCACCACCACAGAGCTAACAATAGCACCACCCCTCCCCTCCCCAACGCCAGCCCCGCGTTCTTGCCCACGCGACGCTCGCGCGACAACAGCAGAGCTCACCACTGAGAGCCGCCCACTGAGAGCCGCAGCTCTGGACCCGGTTGTCGGCGCCTGCCTCTTGCTGCCTTCCTAGCACAGCATGGCACCTTTTCGCTTCAACGTCTTCCACATCCTCGGCGATGTGTCGCACACGACGTCCAAGCTGATCCTGATATGGGCCATCCATTCCAACAGCAGCGCCGAGGGCGTCTCGCTCATCACCCAGGCCCTCTATGCCCTCGTCTTCTGCGCGCGCTACCTGGACATCTTCCACGTTTCGGCCACGGAGGACTGGGAGCACACATGGAACTTCTCACTCAAGATATTCTACACACTCTCCTCCCTCTACATCATCTTCCTCATGACCAGCGTGTACGCCCGCACCCGCGAGCGAGAAAAGGCGTGGAAGTTCGGCATGTACACTCTGCTAGGTAGCGTCGTGGTTGCCCCATTCTGGTTCCTGATCTTCAAGAAGTGGATCATTGGGCCCAACACCTTCTTCAAGGTATGCCGTCCCTGCACGCCTGCATCATCCTCCACCCCCTTCCTGCTAACGAGAGTGCCACTCTAGATTCTCTGGGTCTTCTCCCAGATCCTGGAATCTGTCTGCGTCATCCCCCAGCTGCTGCTTCTCCGCCAGACAACCGTGCCTACCGTGCTCGACTCGTTCTACCTTGTAGCGCTTGGCACCTACCGCTTCCTCTACATTCTTAACTGGATCGTGCGCTCGGCTACGGAGCCTAACTACGCGGACCCTACGTCGTGGGTGTGGGGGACCATCCAGACAGCCCTCATGATTGACTTTGGGTGGGTGTACTGGACACGGCAGAGAGTGAAGCTTAGACGGGGCGGCGTCGTGGACTCCGAAGACTTAGGCCGTGGCTGGCTGGTAGGTCGGCTGGTGGGTCGGAAGAGTGTTGACTTTGACTTCGACGACGAGGAAGCCACTGCCGCTGCTGCCGCAACTAGGAACGGCCGTGCGGACAGTCAGCCGAAGAACCAGTGGGGCCGACATGGCATCTCAGTCTCCGCCGATGAGGGTGTCCAAGGTGCACCGCGGCGGACCAGTCCAGGAAACGGGCCCGCGGATCCCGAATCGCAGCCTTTGGCCGACCCGGCCGCATTCGAAGACGAGAGCGACGATGGCCTCGATGCGCCGCCCCACGCCGCATTGTCGGCCCACGACAGTGGTGTGCGAGGCGACGAATGGAATGACGACATCGACGATGACGCACAGGAGCACAGCGGCGTTGCGAAATAAGCCTGTCTTAGATATGTTGCCGGTAGATGTGGGTGTGGGCGCTTGCTTCTTGATTTTTTATTGGCTTTGGCATATTTCTGTTTGGGAAGGAAGGCATGAACGGGATCAACACTGTACCGATAGCACTTTTCGTGCAACTTGCATCAATACTTGTTCCTCTCAAGCTCCCTGCGCCGCCCTCGTGCACTGACTTCCTTTCCCAATCGTTCTCACACCATTCAGCCCGAAAGTCGAATTGGCAAAGTTCCATCAGTCTCGTCCACACTGGCTAGCCAATATTCCCAATCGGGGGCGTCGATCACGCTATCGAAGCCTCAATCGCTCAGATCCAGAAATCCCACGACCACTTGACCAGCTGTTGAACTAAGCGTTGAAGTGAGTCGACCAAACTTTGAAGCCACCGGCCGCTAAACCCGAATTCCCGTACGCCACGATGAAAGAGCCGTCGTGAGAGGAAAGCTCAAGATCGGTTCTCGTCATGAGTACACGATGCACGAGTTCTGGTGTGGCGCCAGTTGGAGGGGCCGCAAAGGGCTGGATTGGGCCATCTTACGGCTCGGTATTTACGCCTTTATGCCATCCGATAGCTAAGAGTTCGCTAGCGGACTAAAATGTGCGAAAGAGCCATATGCCAAAATTCCTCTTCCAACTTGGAAATGAGCAACGACCGTGATATCGTGCTACCTCCTTGCGCGCTCGGTAGTGAAAAGTCAAGGGCATATCTGTAAGGCGTTCCGCCAGTGCTTCATTAGTCCAGGTCTGCACGTGGCATACATAATTTCAGAGAGTGAGGATTCCGCGAACATTCCTCCCCCATACTCAGATTATCCTAGGCTATTGGAACGGGGAAATCCTCTTGGAAATTGCTTGGAGCTAGGAGGAGTGTCAAGGTTGTGATCAACAAGGTTCTAGGGTTCATTGAGTCTCGTATCGATATCCTCCAATCTGAGCGCAAAACAGGCAAGCGCCGGAACTCGCTTAATATTCCCAGCAACTCACCCTTCGAGAAGCCTGCAATCCTGGATAACAGGCTTCTCTGCATGTTCTCTGGTCTCCATCAGCATTGGCTAGAATGGAAACGGCAATTAACGGCATTTAAAATTGAAGCTAATTAGCTTTTCGACGGCATTCGCAAGGGCGGGTGCGAGGGGAAAATCCCCCCGCACATGCATTGGCTTGCGGGTAAAATGCTTCGAGAAGGTCGCTAGAAGTGGCGGTTTACGGGGTCTTGGTCAGCCGGCCGCAGGTGAGCTGTTTCCGGCATTCCAGCTTGCATGCGATTCAATCACTCGCCTTCCCAGGTGCTGGAGCTCTCATGCTAGTATGGATAACCATCTCAGTGCGTTCTCCTTTCTATGCGCGATTTTAGCTCTGCGCTGCATGCTATGAGTTAGGTGCAACACGTCTACCTTCATTTCACTGTACTCCCCGACAATTAGCTGTTGGTTTACTTTGCCTCAAGTTTGGGGAATCACATCGAAATCGAAAGTGCTGAGGTGAGACGGGTCCGGACTCCACTTCTCTGCACACCACCACGCGTGGCAGACGGGGATTATTCTTCTCGCTGCCTTCTAGCGTCCTTCTAGAAGACGGCAGACCGTAGTGAAGATGACCGCGCTTCGGGGATATAGATATCTTGGCGCAGATAGAGATTCGATTGATGGTTACCGGATTCCGTGGCCAATCAATGGAACGAGAATGAGATGATGGCTAGGGTCTCAAACGCTGAGGTGATATCACCCCGCGTGGCATGACATTATTCAGACGAGGCAGGACACGAGTCCCCACAGTCCTAGATTCCATCACCCATGCACGTGGTGAGCTCTTGAGAAGAATAATTTCATCATTCTGGATTAGGTATGCACCTCGTTGGAGTGCATTCGAGTAGAATTAGTGAACAGATTCTGAGCTTTTATACTCGGCGCTGCATTTCTCTCGGCCTCGGGTGGGGTCAAGCGATGGGGATTCTAAGTATATAGATGCTGGGTGCGGAATCAAATAGGTAGAAGAGCCTAAGATCCTGCCACATAGAAGCTGCTCACTACAAAGCCATTTGATGCATTGTACTCCTCCAGCGCTGTCGTTCCGTGCAGAATCTCGTAATTGGTATAGGTCCCACAACCTGAATCAATATTCATACAATCTCTTGAGATCATTCCGGCTATTCGCTCACCCGCCTCTCTCCCCTCGAACCAGGCACCATGTAGAAAGCCAAAGTACTCCGCTGAGGTATGCTCTCCAGCAAAGTATACTCTCTCCACATTTGCGCGTAGATTTTGGTGATTCTCAAGAGTCATTCCAACGGGCCAGTTGGAGTAGCTACCATATGACCATGGCTGGAGACTCCAGCGAGGATACATAAAATCGGTGGGCTCTGGAATATTTACTCCAGGGAACATTTGACGAAGAACCTCCATCAATTCTGCTTTGGTTGTTTCATCGTCCTGTGCCTCGATGCGGTAAGACTCGTGACCAACGACGGTGGCAAAAATAATGTTAGAGCCGGGTATGAAACCGTCCGGGACCAAAGATTGCCAGACGGGGTAATACCCACGTGTTGTAGGTGATGCGTAAAGGAAGAATTGGGTATCGGGGTCCCAGAACGTTTCGTTGAATTGGAGGAAGATCTTGGTATAAGTTCCCATTTGGAAAGTTTCGATGGATGTTTGTTTCCAATCTGGAAGCTCCGGCTTAAAGGTGACTACTTCGTTCTGTAAGACCCCAAGTGAGAAAGTGCATATTGCGTAGTCGGCGCTAATACAAGTTCCGTCGTCCATGGTAACTGTGACACTATCTGCAGAGTACTCAATATCCGTAACGACCGTATTGAGGAGAAGCCGTGTGTCATTCGGTTGAAGGAAGGTAGAGGCCACTCCTTTGATAAGGGTATTAAATCCACGTTGATCAATCACAAAATTATTCTCCTCAGAGAACTGATAAAACGTAAGATTGTAGCCGGTAATGCCAAAGACCAGTGAGCTCTCATCAGGACTGTATGAAGTCTCCCAATCTACCCGTGGACATTAGTGAATAAGTAAACCTATGCAAATATGTTGTAACTGACCCCATTCCCACCACTCGACAGCTTGGGCAGCCATATTCTTCTTAGGTTTCCATCCAGCTAGACTTAATCCTGTGCGAGTACTTTGGTCCTGAAGATTGTCGGCAAGGATATAGCCAGCGCCTTGCTCCATGGCAGCATAGGCATCTTCAAAATCATCTAGGAGGTTAGTGTAATTCACCGCTCCAGTTTCGTTATATGTGAGTATGGAATCGTAGTCAGAATACTCATTAGAAATATTGTATCTTTTAGCTTCTGTCCAGATTGGATTCTCCGGTCCGTCTTTAATCCCTAAACCTTGAACCTGATAGAACATATTAGATTGGGTATATGAGACAATTTCCAGAGACAACCTACCCAGTTCGCTCCGAGTTCCACGACATAAGGATTCCCATCCGGGTCCTTTCCAAAGGTTGTATGTGTCATCCGGCCACCAATATCTGCTAGTATTTAGTCATGCCTGGAATAAAGTGGCCATATACAATACCTCCATTGTATTCAACAATGAGAAAGTCCGTGACAGATTGATTCGAGAGGGCTTGAGCAGCCGTTATACCAGCAACGCCACCACCTCTGCGTCAAGTCAGCTCTCTCGAGCTATGTTAACTTTCGAAATGCTTACAGAATCGCAACAGTCGTTCTTCGACAGGTGCCGTTGTATCCTCTTTGCTGGAAAGTGGGGGCTGCAAGGGTCTCAAGGACCCAAAGTCCCACCAATATATAGACACATCTGTGCAGCATGGCGGTCAAGTCGATGAACGCAACAAAAAGATGAAAAAAGCATGCTGAGAGGGCCTTACTATCTAAGTACCACAACAGATTACGCGCCTTCCCCGCAGGTTCTGATTCCGAACCAAATCTTGCGTTCCCGGCACCTCGGTGAAAAGATAAGAAGAGGAAAGGCATCTTTGAGCTAGGCAAAATGAAGTAGCTCCATGCTGCAGTACCTGCACCAGCAACAGTACCTGCACCACCCGCAGGTCTAAACCGGCAAGGTGCAGGTAGATGCACGTCAAATGGCGCGGAGAAAGAGAGGGAGGAAAGATAAGGACCTTGAACAAACGGATGGACTTGCTGTCTTGAAACTTTCGGACTAGGGACAGATCCTGGTTTGAGAACCCTGTGCAGAGTACGGGTGGATGCGACTAGCTCCAACTTTAGTGATTGCCCCGACCAAGATCGTGAAGTTAAGAAATTGAAGCAGGAACACTTCAGGACTCACAGACAGACTATGGCAGTTGTAGGTGTCCATAGGCTTTTCTATGATTGCAAGGTTCCAAGGTGGGAATGAATAGCTGGCGGCCAGGTCACGTGTTGTGAGTGCAGTCCTTCGGCCTTCTGGGACTTCGTTATTAGAGTCAAAACATGTTGGAAGAAGATATCTAGATCGGGTCGAATATCCGCGCTTAGTGGATACCGGTAGCGCTGGAAAAATCATTGCAGCTGCAGTCCATCAGATGGATGGATAACTACTACATACACATAATTTCCGACAGCAGTTTGTGTTTGGTTAAAGTCCCCCCTTCTTCTAGCTAAAGCTTTGAGGAATTGAAGCCTACTTTTTTGGCATCCTCAATATGTGCTAACATGCCCTGAACTGGATCTAAATCACGTGATTGGAATCACCTCCCTCTGCTTGCACAATCTACATGGGGCTTCTTGAAAAGCGCGAAAAGTGGCAGAACAAATGCATGTTTCTGTGTCATGCTCGGCCAATAGTGTCGAGGAGAGTCGCGCAAGAACGACTCCGCGGAAAGCCCGGCAAGATTCAGCAAGTCACCTCTAGAGCAGAGATTTTTCCAGTCTTCAAGCACCATTAAAAGCTTGCGACTTTTGACCTCCACGACACAATCCCCAGCGTCTTAATTATCCTCTCACTACCCCTTAAATCCACAATTCTAGAAGCATATTTCTTATCACGGCGGTGAAGGTCTTGGTTCAACCTCCATCTCTTACATAGCGCCGTTCAAGCATCAATTGCATATCTTCGCGTTGAACAAGTACGACAGTCACCAGTCATGCAGCTGAGTAGCGGAGAAGCACTTGATCAAGGTATTGACAGCAGCAATTGCATGAGACCGGTGTTCGCCTTCCCTTCCTCAGTGCAACCCACCAGCAGACTTCGGTTTGGCTGCGGGGAAGCACTGAGTTGGTCGGTGATCTGAGAGATACGGTCTGAACTTGATCAGGTTAAATCCTGCGAAAGGACCTCATGCTTTGCTTCCCCTCCGTAAGACGCTGCTGATGAGTGCAGGCTCCCAGTCTTCATGGAGCCTACCCCGCAAACCGCTAACGTCTACGATGAAAAGACGTCCTCGCTGGTGCCCGTCCTGGCCCCGAACGAAGGCCTTCCGATAAGCGATACAGGTGGGGCAGCCAACCCCGCAACTTTTGCCAGAAGAGCACACTTGCAATGGAAGAAGTTTGAAAAGCAGCTGGTGGAGTACAACCTCGAGGCGCGCGGAATCCAGCGTGTCGAAGCAGATGAGCGCCATGATCTTCGTGCATTGGGCTACACTCAAGTGGCCATTTTGTGGTTTTCAATCAACCTGGCGGCTAACAATATTACATTGGGAATGTTAGGTCCGGCCGTCTTTGGCCTAGGCTTCTTGGATTCGAGCCTTTGTGCTGTGTTCGGCATGCTCGTGGGATGTCTCCCGGTGGCATACATTGCGACTTTTGGGCCAAGGAGCGGGAACAGGACAATGATCTTTGCTCGGTTAGTAGCTGCCACAAGACTCCCGAGCCCGGCATTAACCAACTGTCCAGGTACACGATGGGCTGGTGGCCCTCGAAGCTCGTTGTTATCTTGAACCTTATTGTCCTTCTAGGATACGCTTTGATTGACTGCGTCGTAGCGGGTCAGATCCTGTCTGCCGTTTCGACAAGCAACATGTCTGTTGTTGTCGGAATCATCATTGTTGCAATCATAACTTGGGGTATTACTACGTTTGGATACCAAATCTTCCACTACTATGAGCGGTATGCCTGGTTGCCACAGCTGATTGTCCTCTGTATCCTCGCCGGCGTAGCAGGGCCGGGTTTTAATACCTCCTCGAGCTCGGAAGGGGATCCCGCCACACTCTCCGGCAATAGACTATCCTTCTTTGGTCTCAACCTGGCCGCGGCCATAACTTATTCTGGAGGTGCGGCAGATTACTTCGTCTACTACCCAGAGCATACGCCCGGATGGAAGATCTTTAGTGTGACAATGGTCGGGCTCTCCTTGAGCTTTACCTTCGCCTTTCTTCTTGGTATCGGGCTTGCATCCGGGATGCTTACGAACACTGCCTGGGAAGAGGCATACGGCGTTTCTCAAGGAGCGCTGATCGTTCACGGCTACAAGCCATTGGGTGGGTTTGGCAGCTTCTGTGGCGTCATCGTTGCTCTTGGACTAGTAGCGAACCTCATCCCACCTACGTGAGTCCTCTGGCACCAACGCCGAACCCTTATGATATTAACCAGCCTTAGATACTCGTCCGGAATCGATGCCCAGATCCTTGGGAGGTGGGCTGCACTGGTGCCTCGCGCCATTTGGAATACAATTGGTGTGGTAATCTACACGGTTTGTGCCCTGGCTGGTCGTGGTCATTTGGCCGAGATATTCACCAACTTCCTAGCTCTAATGGGCTATTGGGTGTCTATTTGGATAGCAATAACATTAGAAGAGCACCTTATTTTCCGCCGTAAGAAAGGCTTCAACTGGGCTACCTGGAATGAACCTAAGAAGCTACCCCTTGGCATTGCAGCTCTCATTGCTTTTTTGATTGGCTGGGCTGGGGCTATTCTCTGCATGGCCCAGGTTTGGTACATTGGCCCTATTGCTAAGCTTGTGGGAGACTATGGCGCAGATGTGAGTAATAGTCCTTTGACCTTGAGACGCAGATCCGCTGACAATGGACTAGATGGGCAATTACGTCGGTTTTGCCTGGGCCGCGGTTGTATACCCCCCTATGCGAGTATGGGAGTTGAAGAAGTTCGGAAGGTGATGTGCCCCCATGGCCACGTCAGTTTGGAGGTGAGAAGAAATCGCGAGAAGGCGATCTTCCGCGAAACGGACGTTGACCTAACGTGGAAAAGGCTGGCAATGGTTGTTGTGTAGTTTAAGCGGCTACAAGTTGGAATCTATACCGTTGAATCTTCTCGCGCTTCCACTGTGGCATGCCGCATCTCAACTTACTTAATTAAGTACCTAGGTAGTCCCATGCGTGCATACACACTTTCACTCTTCATGGTGCCTTCCTTGCCCGATGCGTCAGCGTCTTGGCATAGCAACACCACGGCCATGCCTAGGTGTTGACGTCCAAATTCTCCGCACGCCGTGTTTTTCAAAGGTTCCTCTCAATCATGTCCTTCCGACCCCGTGGAGAGGACTGTGCCGCTCTAGCAATACCCACCTGTGAGTCGTCAGAAGGAAGATCCCACGGTTCAGATATTCTTTACTCTGGCTGCTGACATGTGACTCCCTCGGGCAGTTGTTGAGGACGATCTCATTAGCTTCGTCAGTTTCGAGGCCAATAGTCCGCCCGCTGCGTCGATGAAGCCTTCCTCGCCGCGGCCAACCCTGCCCATAGACTTGCTGGACGAAGACACAAGTGAGAGACAGGGTCCAACCTCACCTCACCAATTCTCAAAGCAACCTGATCACCTTTCCTCTTACACTCCAGATCCGCGCGCTGAGAGTAAAAAGATGGGGGTCACCTCGAAACCAAGAGCTGAAACCAAGGATAGCTTTGCCGATGCACTGAGAATGCTGGCTAACGGCAACCCATTCAGCCCGAGGGGGATCGATACGGCCCAAGCGTCCAGAGTGAAAGAGCCGGTCGTGCTCGCTAAAGTCATGTCCATAGATTCGTATATCGGCAGCCCTCAGCCTGTAACGCCGCTGCAGAAATCGAGCCAACATGAATGGCTGGAGCCAGCCTACGACCACCATGCAATCACGCAGCCCCCAGCAGCGAATCCGTCTCTTGCACCAACCATAATGAATCAACCAGCCGAGCGGCCTCTAATCCCCAATGAGGAATTGCTACATGACATGATCCTCCAGCTTCAAGATCTAGTCGGCGAAAACGAGCACCGGGATAGTGCTCTGACCAACTTCAAATCACTGTCCCCTCCGCGGCGACATATCCAACCCCCTCCCGGTCTCGGTCTGAATCAAGGAGTAGAAATCGTCGACGACGGGTACATCCAGCAATCATCATCCTCCCGGAGCGTCCAAATGTTCCAACCAAACGAATATGATGCCAGACCGATCGTTCGGCTAACCTTGCCAGCATACAACTCCATGGTTGAAAATGAGATCAAGATCAAGGATGATATGGCGAAGGCCGACAGACGTCACCGGGACGAGCTGTACAGACTCCAGAGCGAGTTAGATCATCTTAATTCCCAGGTGTTACGCCATCAATCGAATCCACAGCCTTCACAAACGGGTAGCGCGTCCGCGGTACTCGAGAAGAAGGATGACATGATCCGCGAGCTCAATGGCAGGCTAGCTGCGGCACTGATGAGTGAACGACTTGTCGACTCTCTCACAGTGGAGCTAGAGCGTCTCCGAAGCAGTCAAAATGCCACCATCAATGCCCACCAGGATGAAAAGGGAGTCCTCATCGCAAGGAAAGATCAGGAAATCTCCGGGTTAAAAGCTCGGTTGATGACGTCTGAGCAGAATGAGAAGTCGGTCAAGGCCTTGGTAGCTGAGCGGGATGCCCTCCTTACAAAACTGTCCGCCGCTCCAAATGCGTCACAGCAACAGGAAAATATAACTAAGCTAGCTAAGCAAGAGAAGGAAATTCTTAATCTCTATGCAAAGATTGCAACTGAGGAAAATAAGAACAATCACCTTAGCAACCAGTTAAAGAAAATGTCAAAGGTGCCAGCTGCTACGAAGCACATTGCAGAACTAGAAGAGAAGCTCAAGCACAAGACGGCGGAAGCCAACCGGCTACGCAATGACCTCCGCGAGGCCAACAGAGTTATCGAAGTGAAGCAGGCAACTTGCGAGAAGTTCTCACAGGGTGGCAAGGTCCTGCGAGGCGCCGCTCATCTCGTCAAAACAAGTCCGAATACGAAGCTCCCAAAAACAGTATTTTCGTGTGTCGAATGCTATGTCAAGAGTTTGACCTGCGACAGTAGTCCCACCTGTCGCAACTGTGTGGAGAATGGCGAGAAGTGTTTTCGTTGGCGATGCAGTATGCGACATGTAATGAAGGAGTGCCTGGATAACCCGTGCATTCTGAAGCACGACCCGGATGGTTGGCTGATGACGGTATATGACAGGCCTCAGTGGTGAATTGCGCTCCCTGACAGGAGGTTTTCCTTCTGGTAAAGCTCGAGAATTCGCCATCGTCGACGGTCGTGGTTAGGAGTTCAAAACAGATATTACTAGGATCCAGGGGGGTCAGGTTGGAGACCTAGTAATCAAGGTTCGTGGGATACGGTATGGGAGGCGGTGAGGGTTTTTTTTTTTTTAAGAGAGAGCATGACTTGGTATCCTCTCTGCTACTGTACAGTAACTCAAGATGAGTCTCTTGATCTTAGTGTGTGAAATCACAGTCTTCGGGAGAGGCTCATTTCTCTTGTAAGCTTAAGAAGTATGAATTGGATTATCGTCGAGGTTCTAGGAGGTTAATGGTGGCGTAGTCGTTAATGATGTCACTTAAGGAGAGGCGGACCTAAGCTTGCATGGAATATATTGCTGGATCGCAAATTCTTGGGGCATGCAAGCAAGGAAAATTATGAACTTTTTTTCTATCCTAAAACGAACACACAAGTCCTCTACGCGCATCATTCATATATACATACTCCTGGTGGGCAAAAATTAGCCGGCTACAGCACAATTAAATTCGCAATTCTAACCCCCTGACTTAAGAAATAATATCTCCTCCTCGTTTGTACCCCCTTAGCCCTCTTTAGTAGGTCCATCGTCTCATGACCTCCTCCTACCATCACCAACGGAATAGGATTTGGGCGCGGCAGACCTGAAGGGGTGAATTGCAGGTTATCCAGAAGGGGTTGGACGAGCGTGTTGCCACCGGCGTTCTGTTGCGAGGGAGAACGACGCTTTTTGGACATTTTGGGCGAGGCTTTGGAGTTCGAGGACTCAGGATCGATATCTTGTTTCTTGTTTCGCGAAGGCGGATCTTGATATTGAATAGTCTCGGAGTCGACGAGTTGTTGATCCTCTAACCTCCGTTGCCGCCGCATAGACCGCATATTCAATTTATCATTACTCCATTGTCCGTCATCGGTCTCTAGGTCGGAAGATGTAGGTGCGGATTCAAAGCTTTCTTGTTCGTGTTCTGGATACGATACTATAACAACGAGCTGCAGGCTTCCGCTCTTTGGTGGAAAAGCAGGGATGTTACGAAGTTTAGTAGAGAATGAGCAACCACCCCGGGGTATTACAATGACTTGATGGGTGCGCGGGGTTTCGATAGGGAGACGTTCTTCGCATAATTGGGTTGAGTGAACGTAGATGCTTGACCACGTCAACGGGTTGGTGCCCGAAAATGTGAGATCTGGGTCTGGTATATCAGGCAAAGGCGCAGCACCTGGTCCTGTAGGTAATGTGCCTGGGAGATGGAAGCGTTGGATTTCGGGTAACTGTTGTTCCATAGTGGGTGGAGAGGACACTGGTGTTGCGGATGGCTGGGATGAGAGAAGGGATTGTAAAGATGCGAGTAGAGATGAGAAGTATGAGGGTTCATTCTCTAGTTCCTCAGGACCGATGTCCATCTCCAATGTTTCCACAATCTCATAATTGGAAATATTTGCGGATTCACTGAGGACGCTATCAAGAAAATCGGAGAGGGCGCTCGAAGGTGATGTTGTAGACGGCAAGTGTGGCGCATCGATGATGAGATCAACCATTTGGGTGTCACGTGTGCGAGTGAAGAAGGGGTCCACGGGATTGAAGCTTTCGATCGTGGACCGCGACATGTATACTTTCTCGTCTCGACCTAGCGCAACGTTGGAGATGGCGTAGATGCGGAAGTGCTCATCGAAGGGGATCTCCTTCTCCCCGGGGAAGGTGTCGGGTTCGCGAATCATGCCAAGGCGAAGACCACTCATTGAGTTCACAAGGATGCCTTCATTGATACGTTGAAGAGAACCCATTTGGAGGGTATTGGGGAGGTTGGGAAAAGACAAGTCGAACGTTGTCCGTGTCTGCATCCTCGAGCTAGTCGCATTTCGAGGAATAAGTTCTGGTGGGAGTGTCCATGGGTAGTAAGTATAGTTTGAGGGAGACTGAATATCTGAAATGGAGATACTTGGATGATCCGCATTGAACTCAACCAGAGGTGATTCGAGAGTCTTCACTGTAGGCATGAGGTGAAGCCGTGCCAAACTTGCGGCATGGAAGATATCCGGTCTCGCAGCCGTAGCTGAAATGCTGAAGGGCACCGGCGGAGGGGGAAGAGGACATACTTTAGGGGCTGGTTGCGGTAGGGGAGTAGGAACTGACCGCCGGGCAGGTTTAATCTGACGTAGACGCTTAGGCACGACCAGCGGGTGTCCTTCGGTGGTAAATACAAATGGAGCATCCCAAGTGTTGAGTGGATGTGAGGGATCAAAGAGAAGAAAAAGGTACTTGGCAGTCTCACCCAGGAAGAAGCTTTCCATACGATCGCTCAGCTCCCCAGTCCGGACGTCGTGTAGGCCAGCCCAACCACACTTTGTCCAGCATCGTCTTTTGATATCCCGAAGAGCCATTTCTCCAACATGAAGATACCATGGGTCTTTGGTCGCTCGATACAGATACCAGGTGGACTCGATAAACTCTGGACGGCCACCCCACCAGCGGAGTCCTCCCTCAATGTTTCCAGTTGCCGTGGACCACCTCTCAGGCATCCCAGAGTACCGGGTCCAAAGGGCGGTGTACAGGAGGTGCGTCTCAATAGCCTCGTCGAGCTCTCCAGCCAGGGTTAGCAGGCCTTGGTAGTAGGCGCTCAGGCTGTCAATCCAGAAGGCCCGCATGGCTCCCGTGTACAAATCGACTTGGATGTAATGAGGGTGCTGGTGAGCTGCCCCACGGTAGATGTGCCGTTTGATGCCGTCGTGGGCAGCCTCCCAGGCCCGGAGGAAGGAGTCAGGAGAGTCGACATCAGCACGATCTACATCATAAGGCAGGCCCGAAAGGAGGATGTGCGTCTTGATGGAGTACTCGAAGAAGCTGTCGATGCCGGCGCCAATGCCGGTGAAGGGAGACACCCATTGGCCGGTCTCGGAGTCTATCCCAGCCCCGATCAAGCCAATACTAGTCCTCCGCTGCCACACGGCCCAGAAAGCATCCTTCGCCGCACTCTCAAAACGGGCATCACCAGTCAGCCGGCTGAGTGTCGAGAACTCCAAGACAAGGCTTCCGGCGCCGGCGCTGCACGTCTCGGTGATTTCAGTGCCCTTGTCGCTGGGGTCTTTCTTGCACTGCCCGTGTTCGGCATCGGTGTTGTACGGGGAATTGGCGTAAAAGGGCACGCCATGTCGGAGGTTCACGCGGGGGTACGGGAGCCCCGTGGGGGTGTGGAAAGCGGGCATAAGTCGTTCGGCTAGGTCGGTCGCTAAACGCAGCAATTGGCCATCGTACACAAGGCCGTTTCGCCACTCAATGCCCTCTCTTCCTCTCTTCTTCTGCGCCGTAGGCTGGTACCCGCGGATAGGCAGCTCCCCGATGGCGAACAGATGAGCGCTCAGCAGGCCGCCGACGCCGCGGATAACAGTCTCGAACACCTGCACTTTGCTGTCCAGATCAAAGCCCCGCGCCCGCTTGCCTTGACCCTCGGACCCTAGCGTTCCGTCTCCGTAGTATTCCACCAGCAGCTTGATGCCGTCCTGGAAATCGTCCAAGGGCTTGTTGCGGCCTCGCTTAGCGGGCGGGGGGGACGACGCGAGAATAGCCAGCGTAGACAGACTGTCAATCAAAGTCAACGAGTAGTTCCCCAGCACGTCGTTGACTTCAATGTGGGCGGGGTTCAGGCGATCGCGCGTAAGAGGCGCGCACGTGAGCGGCCGCAGTTCATCCTCGGGGAAGGCATGTTTCATGTAGTTGTCGTAGCCATGGTAGAATATGTCTCTGGTCTCCTGGCGCAGCTGGGCGATGCTGTTATCGGTCATGCCATGTCCGAGTGTCGCCCAGCACACCAGAAGCAGCGAACAGAGCCATATCAGCTGAAAGGCGGCTCCTCCGGACGCCAGCGTGACCCGCTCCAGAGGCCTTCCAGTCGATTGCATGCCCGTGGACGTCTCTGGGCGGAGACATGGGACTAGCCGCAGGGAAAGAACGGAGGACGGTGGTATGAATGGCCCTTTCCCTGCAAAGGCCGCTAGGAAAGAACGGAGGGCGGTAGTCGAAGTGTTCTTTCCCTATCACATCCACCGAGGAAAGAATGAGAGTGGTGGTGGGAATGTTCTTGCACTGGAAATGACACGGCGGAAAGAACAAGCGCGGCGATGTCCCTGCAAAGTCCACCTTTCCTTATGACGGAAACAGGCGAATGGGCAGCGGGTCGGGAAAAACTCGGCCCGGTGGATGCAGTTTTGGGCTTTCATCATTTCGTCCAGCATCGAAAGATCACACCCACAGTCAGAACGGCACCTTCTTTCCCATCGATGTATTCTCACGCTACCCCCATTTTGTAGTCTGCACTTAATCACATATCTCCCCAGCCCGCAATGCTTCACCGCGCCGCCTTTCGCGCCGTGCGCAATCGGCCTGCGCTGCCGGTGCCTCGATCGTCGTCCTCAGCCTCGACATGTCAGTGGCTACGCTTATACTCAGACAACAACCGATCCTCAAATGGTTCTGGCCAAAACCACACGTGGAGACGTTCAGGTCCCATCACCTTCAGCGGCACGAGCAAATCGCAATCCCCCAATTCCGTTCATCCCCAGCAAAGCCCAGAATTTGATTCTGCTGCGCGGCCAGAGCGGAATGCAGTGCCACAGTCAGCGGGAGCCGGGCCTGGAATATATGAAGCTATCGAGCGAGAGGGGGGTGTTCGGAGAGGATACACCACAGGGCAAGAGGAGTTCTCCGGACCGCAGTCACCACCGCAAAACACAGACCCCACAACCGAAAGCCCTGGTCCAACACAAAAACCCCTCCCCGACCTACGGCAGGGCATTCCCTCCACATTTGATGCCGAATTTGGAGAAGCTGAGGCTAAGGACCGGACCAAAGCCCACCACCCCATCAACATCACCGAAGACCCAGGTAAAGAGCCAGGCGGGCATGGAAGCGGGGCAAGCCGAGAGAGCGGCGAGCTGCCAAAATCAGCCTACGAGACCAGTGTTGATAGGAGGCGCAATCGTGTGGCCAATTGGTCTTACATGTCTGCTGTGCTGTTTGCGGCGCTGGGTGCCGTCTACCTAGGGCGAGACTGGGAGACGGCCGAAGAAGAAGCAGCACACCCAGACGCGCCGTCTGGCTGGGGGTTGGGGCAAATATACACCCGTGCGCGTGCCCGCCTGAACAGCCAGATGGGTTACTACACGGAACCAACTTTCCCCAAGCTGCTCCCGGATATGGATCCCGCTCCCCCACTGACTTTGGTCCTCAGCCTAGAAGACCTATTAATCCACTCGGAATGGACTAGGGAGCACGGCTGGCGAACCGCCAAACGACCGGGCGTAGACTACTTCCTGCGATACCTGAGCCAGTACTACGAACTCGTCATCTTCACGTCAGTCCGCTCTACAGACGCCGATCCAATTATCCGAAAACTCGATCCTTTCCGTATCGTTATGTGGCCATTGTTCCGCGAAGCCACGCGATACGAAAAGGGCGAGTACGTCAAGGTAGGCTCACTCCGAGGATGGACAAGACAAGACTGCTGATAATAACAGGATCTATCATGCTTGAACCGCGATCTCTCGAAAACCATTATCATCGACACCAACCCCGCCCACGTCAAACTACAACCCGAGAATGCCATCGTTCTTCCTAAGTGGACAGGCCAAGCTGGCGACAAGGGCCTTGTAGCTCTGATCCCTTTCCTCGAGTATCTCGCTATGATGGGCGTCAGTGATGTGCGCACGGCGATCAAGTCTTTTGAAGGCAAGGATATAGCCACTGAATTTGCACGGAGAGAAACAAAGGCGCGCGATGCCTTCAACAAGCAGCTCGCTGAGGAGCGGGCAAAGAAGCCCAAGCACAGCGCAGGCAGCTGGCTGATGGGCGCACTGGGCATGAAGCCACAGGGGGGCGGCCTGGCCCTTGGTGACCAGAGTGTCGCCGAAGGCTTTGAGCAGGGGAAGATGCTCAGCGATCAATTCCGAGAACGAGGCCTAAAGCAGTACGAAGCAATGGAGAAGGAGATTCGCGAAAACGGAGAGAAGTGGCTGAAGGAGATGGCTGAGGAAGAGAAGCGGTTTCAGGAGGAGCAGATGAAGAGCATGAAGACGGGCATGTTTGGATGGTTTGGAGGGCCACCGCAGAAATAGAAGCAGGAGAGCAGAGCGTAGGATAGGTGTTGGGACCAGCGGCCATGGGAGTTGTTGGGATGTAAAAACAAGCCGTTTCCACTCTTGAGTAAAGCTTAGGGTTGATTTGCATGGGCATATGGGCGGCACATGAGCGGCATGCAGGTCTGCATTGGGTTTGTTGGACGTTCTCTGTAAGATATGCTGCGAATAAACAGCGCGTTCGATAGACGTGGACGAAGGTAGAAGGTCCAAACGACGACCGGTGAATTGAAGCGAACCTCGGAGCTATCCCATTCTGGCTAGTGGGGTCGAGCACGAAGCTCATGTGTTCGTGACGTTTCACATTAAATAACGTCTTGAGTTGGTCAACTTTCGCTACCTAACCGCATCCCTCTTCTCTCCTCTACTCTCAGATAATCTAATCCCCAGGAACCTCACTCTGCAATGTCTGACACATGCCCCTTCCTGCAGCTTCCCCTCGAGCTGCGGGAGGAGATTTATTCCTACTATTTCGACCCCGCATCTCGACTCTCACCCGGAGAGCTCGGAGGTGTACAGTACAAGTTCGAATTCAGTCTGTACCGGGTCAGTAAGCAAGTGTACACAGAGGCGCAAACCGTCTTCCGCCGGCGGAATGTCTTCGTGCGCATCGAGACGCCGTGGTCGGAAGCCGTCAAGCACATTGCACATGACAATTTTGTGCCCATTGTCGCTGCGGCAAACAGGGACCTGTTCCGGTATCACCACGGGCTCATCTCCATCAATGCCCCCGCCCTCGATGATCTCCACGCAATCATCATCCTGGTCGATGACCTACATCTGTTTGCCCAAGTGTGGTACTACTCGGCGCTCAACTGGCCCAATCTAAATGAACATCTCCGCGTCACCTTCGTGCTACAAGACCCCTACTACTCCGCGGATCCCAAGCCGATACCGATTGTACTACAGAAGCGGCTCCTGCTGCCGTTCGAGAACGTAAAGGGGCTGTATGAAGTCGAGGTGCAAGGCTATGACGAGGGCGTAAAGCTAGAGTTAGAGCGACGCATGGCAATACCGTACGACAGCGTTCAGGCATGCTGTGAAAGGAGCACCGCCTTCATGGAGTCGGGCGACCGCGCAATGGCAGAAGGCCGCCCTGACCAAGCCCTCCAGCTCTATGTCAAGGCCCTGCACGCCATCCACATCATCGTCGACGGCCGCACTCGTCGCGTGCTCGCAGACAACTTCTTCCATTCCGCCATTGAGTCCGGGCGCTACAGCGGGCAGACCGGAATCACGGTGCGCATCATCCTGCGCATCAAGCTTGTGTCCCGCACCATCAACGCATACCTCAAGCGCCAGCAGTGGGAAGAAGCTGCCTTTTGGGGACTGCGGAGTATCAAAATCATGCGCGAAGCCATGGACACGGAGTTCGAGGACTTCCTTGCCCAATTCGTCGGGGCGTTTGATGTGGGGCTAATATATCTCCGCACCGCCGTGGCGTTCAGGAAGATGGAAGATAGCAAGTCCGAAGAGCTCAAGCAATACAAGGATGAGGACGTGGCGAGCAGCAGGGAGTTGTTCCCTATTGCGATTAAGTATCTACAAGGCCCGCATCAGCGGCTTATAAGAAAAGAGTTAGATGAGAATCATGTGGAATTAGATCGCTTGCCGTTTATCGACGACGCGGCGAGCGAAGTCGACAGCTTGGCGCCAATGAATCAGGAGGACGCAGAGAGCCCATAGTAGGCGTTGGAAGAACTAAAAGTATGAAGCCACCTCAGGTTATAATCTTGAGTATTTGCTGGCTCTAATTTATGTAATGTTATCTCACTACCTGTTCTGCGCCGACACCCCTGTTTAGACTTCTACGACGTACTACATGCGTAGCACTTGCTACCTAGTTTCTCACTATGTATTATCTACTCCAAATTTCTCCAGCTTAGACAAGTATCTATTCCACAACATAGTAGAGAATGGCATGACATTTGAGGGATGTCCAAGGGGAGCCCACGCCATCCACCACGGTTCACAAGACACCGTTTCTGAGTGTGCGACAAGGGGTTTCTTCCTTGCTTATAAAGAAGAAAGCGCTTCGGTTTTGTCCCTAACCAGTAACTCACTATATCTTCCACGGCTGTTAACTACGACTAGTCAAGTACCCTGCGCTACTGCACAAGTATGTAGCATTCGGTACAAATCGAAAAGAAGAAATCCATTGCAGCTGACTCCGGACTTAGGCATCGAGTATTTAAGTGCTCCGCGTTGTTCCTCGTGCACATACGTCGTGTGTCAATGCCTTCTATCTCCCTTCAGCTGCAAAGACCCAGAGAAGAGAGGTGTCTCTGCTGAAAGAGTTGAGAAAAGTTCCGAGTGGCTCCTTCCTCCAATGCCAATAGATCGGCTTTAGGAGGGCAGTGACGTGGGGTGTTAGGTCGGAGAAAGCGGTCAGTTGCGTGAAACTGCCACCGCTCGTTAGGCCTTTAGCAGCATGATATGTTATTAAGTCCTCTGAATATAAGCCTAAGCACTCTGTGGGTATCCTTTGCCTTCAGATTATTTGGACTGGCATTTGCCAGCCCCGAAAACAACTTCAACCCATTGCGACATCTATGCTCTTTATCGTGAGAGCACTCAACTGGGAAGTCGTACATTGATTCGACAGACAGATTCACAGGGCTCTCACGGCCCTCTTCGTTATGTAGCATCCCCTGTTCAGATGTTCTTGGCCGCGTTTGGTCCACTCGTTTTGTATCTCACCATTTAAAAGAGTAGAGTAGGAAGGGCAATACAACCATCAATTCTTGAATCCATATTTCTCTCCATATTTCTCTGCAGAGACGAAAGCAATTGATCTGGGCCTCCAATAAACCTAGAAAGTAGTTAAGCTGTTATCATCCCATGTCTTTCACACATCCCGATCCAAGGTTTCCGATGCATGGTTAAGAGTGCTGCCAACAAGCTTGCCGACTCGTCAAAACAGTCGCCATTAAAAACTGTCACACAACCGATCAACACAATCGTTCCACATTTCCAGCCCGAACCCAGATCGTTATCATGCCGTATAGAATCACCACAGCCGATTTCTCATGTCACGCGCTGAGGCGTCCAAGCAGCTTTGGTGTGCGAGTATGCGTCATGTAGATCTCCTTCAAGCTCCAAGAACAAGCTTTCTAGCAGATGCCCCTAATTTGGTGTTTCTTGGAGCCCTCCAAAGGAAGTAACGGGCTGAGATGTTCTAGGGTGATGTGTGATGCGCGACCGTAGGTGACTTCTGGAGGTTCTCTAGTGGTCTAGGACCTCCTTCACTAGAAATGACGATGTGCGGACTTAGAATCAACTGAACAGCTATACTGGTCACTTTATACGTCCTCATACCCCAGTATCCTTCCAGTTATATGGCTAATGTTGGGTGAGTTTTTGGCACCTTGAGAGTTGCAATGCCGCGTGCTAGTCCTCCCACTTAGCTGAACTACTCATTAGTAAGAGGAGGAAGGTAGAATAATATCGGGGTGTTCTCTCATGTCATATGGGGATCGTGGGAATTATCCCCCCGCAAGTCTAGACTCGAAGAAATCTGACTATCGCGGCATAAGCAGTTGATTACATAGTTCAAGCAGCAGTTAAGCTAGACAAGAACCTTCAGAATCTTCTTACAAAGCACAAAATGATACATGAAAAATGATTTCGCAAGCCGCGGAAACTACTTCAAGTTCATGTATCCCTGCCAGTCCTGAACGGACTCGGGCGGGTCGGACGCTATCAGAAACGCTTAAAAAAGCTCGTGGGAGCGTTGAAGAGCCTCTGGCTGCTTTCAAAGTTCTTCCACGCTCATGTTGTAGGGGCCAATGAACCACACCGCGCTGTGAAAGATTACTTGGACGAGCAATTAAGGTAAAGAATAAAGAAGGCTGTAAATAGAGAGATAACAAATACCAGCATGAAGTCTTCAAGTCCTCCAGGTTCTCCAACTATCTTTTCTACTGCGCACATGGGTCCCACGCTAACATTTGCAGGGAAGTCTGGGTCTACCAAACCAACTACTACAATGCAGCAGAGGGTCAAGAGTATACAGGTGTCTGCCGTAAATCAGGCCTCATGCTCCGCCGAGTGAGGTGACATGCAGTCACCCAAATGGAACTATCAGTGTGGTTGCACCAAGGCATGCGGATAGATGCATGTTGACAGTAACGAGCACGAGAATCAGCAGCTCGGAGCTCGGCAAAACAGACGGGACTTAGTCAGCCTACTGAAAACACGAAAAGATTTTCCGATTTGACCGAGCCTCTTCTTTCTTTTTCTCCTCATGAAAGTTGACACCCAGAATCAATTTGACTTGAAATCCACTTTTTTATGGGCTTGAAGTTGTATTAGCTGGGGAGAGTGAATCTCTGCTCCCAAGAACTGCTGGCCCTCTTTCATGGGCGGACTCAGTCCCGTAGCACCGATACATACTTTGTAGCGCGCACAACACTTCGATTAACGCTCACGGCTCACCATGGATATTTGAAGCGCCTCTGAAGCAGCCTCTGTGCTTCCTTCAGAGAGGATATGCCACTCTACGCCATGAATAGACAGGACGGGCAGGCCGCTAATGCAACGAGCGCCTTTCGATTTCTCAACCTTCCCTACGAGTTGCGATTGCGAGTCTATGAGCTCATCCTGATAATCCCAAAGACCCTCGATCTCGACCCTGCGAACGCGCGTGCCGTGGCCCCCTCTTTGCGGCTCTTCCTCGTGAGTCACCGCACGCATGAAGAGGCATATCGAGTCTTCTATGGGCGTAACACCTTTCGCACCTTCCCCATCCATGGCCGCTTCTTCCACACCAACGCACCACTCCTCGCGCGCCTCTCTCCGCGATACCGGGCTGTTATCACCAGGCTAGAGCTGAGGCTCGGCCCTGGCTGGACTCAACCCCCGAGAGGGTGGATCACTGATGGGCGGCATGGACTGCGCGATGCGACAAAGGTGCGGCTGTTGCGCATTTTTGTCGAGTGCGATCCCGCATCTGACCCCATCTTCGAGGGCTTCCGTGTCGGGTCAGGCTTTTACACAGAATTCAGTGTGAATCTGCTCAGGGGCTTGTTGGCACAGTTGCCCTCCATTTCGGAGGTCGAGTTCGATGCTTACCCCTCCGTGTTGAAATCCTCGCCTCTGCTCGAGGCTCTAGTAGCTGAAGTGAAGACGAACAAAAAGTCGTATTCAGTGGGGACCAGACCGTTGTTGGGACAGGGTCGTGGGGTTGAACCTAGCGAGTGTGTTGGAGAAATAGGGCCGAAGTGCCCATGAAATCTACATCATCCCTTTCACCATCACAGCATCTTAGCATCCCTCTATCTTTCTCCTTTCCAATTTGAATAGACGAATCAATACTAGTGTCCAGGATATCACGCAAACGCCCCCTACTCCGAAGCGCCTCAGTGACATCTGCTTTTCTTAATGGGCAAAACACCTGCGTACCTAGCGGACCCCAAACTTTACCTTAGTAAATACACCAAAACTATTCATAACATGTCCTCAACAGGCTCTGTATGCCTTCTTCAACACCGTCTCCGCCTCTCCAACAAACCCCTCTAGTCACCCGGACAACATACCCCCAAACCTCTCCCCTCCAAACGCTCCAACTCCAAAGCCGCCATTGCTCTGCGGTGGGAACCCATCCAAATCGCTCCCAACACTCGCACCTCCCTGGGCATTCCACTCCCTACTCCACTCATTCCCATCTCCCAGGTTCATATAATCCAGATGGCTCATGTTCTCTCCGGTACCTGCTTCCAATGCTTGCATCTCTGTAGGGAAATGCGCATTGGCAAGCTGTGAGATACTGTCTAAGGGATCGAGTTCGGCACCCATCCAGGCATTTCGAGGGCCGGACGTGCTGAGTGTAGAGGGGGTGGTGAGAGGGGCGTCGATGGGCGTTTCGAGGTTGGGCCAGGAGGAGATTTCAGAGCGAGGTGTTACCATGATGAAGCCGTCCGAGCGCTCAGTTTCGGCATCGAAGCGGTGGGGAGGTGGAGGAGGCTTGATGGAGAGATCTATGTTGGTGATGCTGGTACTCATGCTGGTTGAACGGTTCTTCTTGGCACTGCCGGTATTTTCTCGCGGACGAGAGGTTTGTCGACGCTTGAACATGGGTGGATCGGATGTATCATTTGTAGAGCCGCGGCGAGCGGGTACGAGTGCTGATTTTGGTTTATAGAGCTTGAAGTTGTTCTCGACAGGCCCGCCTCGTAGTTCCACCATAACTGCTCGTAGAACAGTAGACATGCGTTCTGCAGGCTGGTATGTATACGCCATATCTTGTAGAGCAGCCGACAGGCATTCGAGGTATTGCATGTTGTTGCTTCGGTCAGCGGGGTCTTTTATGAATGCGAGAGCCGCCACGAGAGCAGTAGCTGCGGTCCCCGCATGTTGAAGGCCTGTGATGAAGATCTGTCTAGTGTCGAAACGCTGACGGTGTTGCCAGAAAATCCTTGCCACCCTAATGGCGTGCTTGGTGCAGACTGTCCGAGACAGAGCAGAAAAGTGATCATCCGGACCACTACCTTCGTAGTTTTGATGGCCGTGGTCTTCGTACATGGCAAATGGCCGGTGGAGAAGAATTAGAGAGGAGTGGTATTGCTGATGCAATAAAAAGAAAGAAAAAGGCGCCGCAGCGATATTGGCTGGTGTCCAGCGAAGCGGTTCTGGCAGCCTCGCATACCAGTGGCTGAACTCCCGGTCAAGTGCAGCCATGCGGAGATACTGATTCCGATTGATAGCTGAATCCGGACTTTGCGATCGAGGATCCATGTTCTCCGTAATTTTGCCTGCCAGTTCCATGAGATCGAGCAGTGCTTCATATATTTGTGTCTCCATGCTCTTCTCAAGCCCAGCCGGGCGACATGTCCCGAGACGTTCGAACTGTTTGGAAAGGGAATATATCTCAAGATCGGCACTTTTCATACTTGTCGGTCGTCCGAGGAAGAGGGCCCAGTACCTGTGAATTATTTTTTTTTAGCATGCGCAAGGCCCCGGGGAGCGTTGAAAACTCACTTATCATAAATAACACACGCCCACAATGTCATTTGTCGAATCTCCACCTCGCGTTCGGGAAGACCAGATGATCTAGTATCAAGGTGAAGCCTATTAAATCCATAATAAGTACCAGCCTAAGGAATACGGAACTTGTAATCGTACCCAATATCAAAGGCAAGTCTGACTGCGAGGCCTCCATATAGCCAGCCCAGATTGTCCCGGCCAACTATGTCAAGTTTAGTCCTAAGTTTCTGGAAATAGCTGGATGCTCTTACCTCCACATTCCAGATCCCCAAGTAGTAGGAGAGCTACTACTGATGGGATCCCTCCTGGTCTCTCAAGCTCATGATCTAGCATATACTTTGCCTCCCGGTGAAGTGTGCTCTCCATACTGGGAAGAGAAATCTTCTGAATGTCGGGTCGTTCCTTGACCGCATATCTGAAACCCATGGCTAGCACGCAAACATGGAGAAATCCAGAGTAGAACTGAGTTCGAGCGGCTTCATGATCCTCATTGAACGCTTCTTGGTGTAGTACATGGATTACCGGGTTATAACACTGCCAGAACAAGTCCATCAGATAATCGTAGGTTTCCATGGGCAGAGACCTGATTATCTTTTCGGCTCTCCTAGCTTGTTCTGTGGACTCTGGTTGCATGTCCATAGGGTTTCCGAGTTCCGAATGAACGTGGCAATTTGTTGTGGGGCCAAAATACCGTAGTCGGCCGCTCAGTTGGTCGAAGCTTAAATGTCCTCTAGTAGACAGCAGCCTGCTTACCATCCCGTCCTTCTTCGGCGCTGAAAGTATCGAGGGAGATCCTGCGTTGTCACATTCTCCCTGGTGGCTACTGCTATCTTGGTCATTGTGGTCCATGTCAACAAATTCGTCTTGTGGGCTAGGCTGGCTTCCCGGGCTGGATTGCTCTTGCTGCTGATTATGTCCTTCTACTGCTTTTCGGGTCGGAGAAGGATCGGGATCTTGTGGAAGGCCATGTCGAGTCTTTGGGGGATGGTTTGCGGGAGGTGGCTCAGTGCCCCGCTCCTTCAGCATGGTTTCTAGTAGAGCTACTCGCTCCGTAAGTGAGCACATGTAGGCCCTTGAGATTGGCCTATGGCGCAATTAGGGTATTGTGGCTTCTTCTATTTACCATGCTCACCTCCTTCGCTCATCGTCATTCTTGATAACACATTCCACTCCCGATCGCTTGCACTGTGTACACTCCTTTTGACCTGGAGGAACTACGCACTGTGAAAGTTAGAAAGCGCTTGACTACAGGGCAAAAGCGGACTTACGCGAATTCGGCGATCTCGGCAAGAAGCGCATGCTACTGAAGCTCTATGACGTGATTTCTGGGGCTTTTGAGGGGGATTCGAATTCTGGTCTTGCGACTGTATGTCCTCTGCCGGAGGCTTCAGGTCTAGGGAATCTTGTTGATCACTGGCATTCGAGGAAGCTGGAGGAGTGGGCATTGTCTCGGTCATTGGTATTACAGTAGGTGAGAAGTACAGTCTTGGCCTTGCGGCAACCAAAAATTGATTGTAGATATGGGCAACGATATCAATTGGGGAGAATGAGAAGGAATCAGCAGGAAGTCAAAAAGAAGCAGATAAGTCTTCCAGAGCTCTATTTGCGGTCTTAGGCTTGGTCTGTTGGACTTACCGGTGCTAGCAGTTGGAGAGAGGCGGGCTGGTTCCATGGACTGCGGGGCCCCACCTCCACATGGGCATTGATACCGCTGATGAGCAGATTCAAAGAGGAGGATGGCGTACGCTGGCCAATAGGCATAGATAGAGCGGAACTTGGACCGCGTGACGGTTCTTCGAGACGTGGAGAGGCCAATGACAAAACTCCAAAAGGGAGTTTGGCGACCTGAATCAGAAAGCTTAGGGATGCAAAGTACATTTGCACGGGAAGCAGTGCGCTGAGATATTTCTCCATCTCTCCGAGCGCGAGGGGAACCCTGGCATACGAACAAACGTCAATGTTCACAGGTGCGTCTCGTTGGGCATGCAGTACGTCAACTCGCGTCCCAAAAAGGTCACAGGGAGGCTTGGGAGGGGGTCACAGGTCCAGGTGGCAAAGGAGACTGAGAAGCGACGAAGCCCAATCATAGCCGTAGCCGGCGATGGCATTCTCCCATGCCATGGGTCTGGATGTCCGTTAACGTTGGTGAAGCGTCTTTGGGTGAGACGTGATTCATGAACGCCGCCCACCTTGATAGATCCGGGGAAGCCTGACTAAGGCAAGCCCCAGCCCCTCGATTAATCTCTGCGCTGGGATTGGCTGAGCGTGGTGCCGTGCGGAGTCTCGGAACTGGCCAAGGCGACATTCCGACTAGTGAATCAGTGCCGTCGAACAGCGAGTCAGCCACAACGACAGCATCGTCACCACGCTTTCAAAGAAGATTGCATGAATCCGTTTACGTTTACTAATGTCCACGTCCTCGAATCAACTACGGAGATGCAATGAAGTCTGTTGGCTGTCAGAAGCCATCATGAGAACCCCAACACCAATCCTCTACCACGATGCGGATGCTGAACCGCCGTGAACCCGGGAACCGAGAGGTAAGAAAGGCAGAGAGCCGAGGTCCCTCCGAATGAGTTATGAGCCCCGGTAATGCTTACCGCGTCTGCAGCACGGCTTACCCTAAATGGTCCTTCCAAAGAGCATGCAACTTTACCGCTTAATCGATACTCCATTCATGATCCGAATTCCTGATGTATGGACTCAGCCCAAGGACATCTTTCGAAACTGTCGCCTTCACATCGCCATTACCCAAGAACGCAAACCGGTTCTTGTACCTGTATGTGTAGTCGTAGTCCTCGAAGCGCGGGTCCTTGATAGACTTGAGGAAGTGGATCGTCTGCAGAGTAAATATCAGTACTTGCCTCAAACTCAAGGCGGGGCGGTCCGCTGCCATCAACTTACAGCGCCTGGCCATAGGTAGATACGGTTCTTGATCTTCCCATCCTTGAACCAACTTCGGCACTCTTCTTGCCACACGGTCGCTTTATGGAATTCGTCGAAATGGGAGTAGATCTCATCTAGTGCTTCCTGCTTAACCGCCATCGCCTTGATACCCTCAGTCTGCATCTTCTTCATGCACTTGATCGAATACTCGATCGTAGTCTCGATTGATGGGAGGAGAGTACCATTACTCCAGGTGGCACCAGGCCCGACGATGGTGTAATAGTTGGGGAATCTAGGCGCTGACACGCCAAAGTAGAGGTTGGGTCCATTCGTCCAGTCCTGCTTGATAGACTTGCCTTCACCATTGATCACTGTGAAAGCGGGCTGGAACGCAACCTGGAATCCAGTAGCACAGACAAGAATGTCCATCTTGTGCACTTTTCCATCTACAGTCTCAATCCCTTCTGACACGATTCTCTTGATGCCTTCGAAAACTGGACTTACATTATCCTGCACTAGTGCTTCGAGATAACCATCACCAGGCGAGATTCTCCGGCATCCTGGAGACCACTTAGGAATGATGAACTCTTTTAGCTTCTCATGGCCTGGCCCCATGCGGCGGTTCATCTCCTTTGTGATGACATCTCGGAACATGTTGGATAGTTCGGAATTCTGCAGGTACATTCCGAAGAGACTGTTGATTTCCGCCTCGATCCGCTTGCGGAAATCAAGGTGATAATCTGGATTCTCTGCGAATTTCTTCTTGTCGGCCTCGGTGAAGTCGTATTGGCGCTGCCCCGGGTTAACCTCCTGGCCCTTTTGTAAGTCGTTCGTGAGAGCGCCGGCTCCGAATGGAGGTGAGATCCAAGTTGGGCTTCGCATGTAGACCTCTACCTCCTTGCAAATCTTCTGTAGCTGGGGAACGATCTGTACACTTGTGGAGCCTGTGCCAATGACACCAGCTGTCTTGCCGTTGAAATCAACGCTGTGATCCCACTTTGCAGAATGCATCAATGGTCCCTTGAAATCATGGAGACCTTCAATATCTGGCCACTTCCATGTGTTTAGGATACCTGTATGAAAAGTGAGTAATTATTTGAGCTAATCTTACCTAAGAACATACCGGTTCCGTTCACAAAGACATGTGCCCAGTCCTTGAAAGTATTCTTGGTCACCTGGTTCTCTAACGTAATGTTCCAAATACCCTCAGTATCGTCCCATCGCGCTTCGACAATCTTGCTGTTGAGCTTCATGTACTTCTTACTTCCTAGCACAACGTGAGCGAAAATTGACTCTCCAGCCTTGCAGTTTTTAACATACCATGTCTCTCAGCGAAGTCCTCAAAATACCCCTGAATTTCCTTTCCAGACGCAAAGAATTGCGACCAATCCGGCTTTGGATCCCAGGTGAAGTTGTAGTCGTGGGATGGGATATCACAAGCAACACCGGGATAGGTGTTCTCGTACCATGTGCCTCCAAATTGCGGGTTCTTCTCGTATAGAGTCAATTCCCAAGAACCCGGTGTAAGCATCCGCTCCATCTTGTACGCTAAGCAGAGACCTGATGCTCCTGCTCCGCAGCAAGCAACTCGAAGTTTGGTAGGCTTCGAATGGTATTGATTAAGGATCTTGTATGGCCCCTCCACGTTGGTGGGCGGATATTCGTATATCTCTGCAATTCCATTGACCCCATTGATGGAGCTGGGCATTTCAGAAGGTGCCATTGGAAGGTCTGGATACAAATCGACCGTACTCGATATGAAGGAGGAGGGCAAGGGGAGGGGTAAATAGTTGAATATAAGCAGGGCGACCTTGAGCCTTGCAAACAGCAGCCTTCAGTCTTATAAACGTATGGCGCTAGACCTGTCAGACCACCACCGTATGACGATGATCAGTCCTTTTCTGGTTTCTTTAACCGTTCCTCAGGGATATCGTGGGTCTTATTCCAGGTATGCACATGCATGCGTGCAAGCGGACGGAAGAGTATCCTGCAAAATTGGCCTAACGAGTCCCGTCTTTCTCGGCCTCTGAGAGCCCCAGTAAAATTGTTTGTGATAGGCCTGACAGACTTCCTATTTTCAGGATCATGTGGCGGCCAGACGCAGGGCCTAAGATATGGTTTGCGGAGTAGATGTTGGCAGCGGATATGCATTCGCGAAAGAGGGAGCATCGGAGAGACACGCGATGTACAGAACGGGCCGCGTCTCCGAGGTATTATGTCATCTTGGTATTCTTTCCCACGTCCAGTACTCGCCCCTACCACAGCTTTCCATATTTTGTTTGAGATTTCAGTGCTCAGTTCCCAGTTATATGACCATGGCGTGAGCTGTCGGAAGTCGTCTGCCAACGATTCGCCGGCTACCTGAACTTGAAGTGCACTAAGGTGAGAAAATGCATTCGTCACATCAGAGGGATATATTTCACGTGAATCATTAAGGTAGAAGTGTAAAAGGATCTAGCGGGAGAGAGGGTTGGATGTAATTAGGAGCTATGATTTCATGGCGTGGAAATATGTCACAGATCTTGCGCTGCAGTGTGATCTTGGGAAGGAATGTGCAACATTCTGAAAGTCTTGCTTTTGGACTCAAGATGCCTAGATGTGCGCTTGTTCAATTTTAAAATCTGTCTTATAATTTTGCTTTGGGTTTCTGTCCTTTCATTGTTTCGGCATCCTTCTTCGCCCACTCCTTCACGACCTTCCTCATGATCTTACCACTTTGAAGTTTGGGAATCTCGTTTACAAATACAATACCACCGACGAGCTGCTTATGTTTTGCAACCTTCTCTTTCATGTGCATATGGATGTGTTCGTCCGTGATCTTGCCTTTATGCTCGTCCTTCAGGTGGACATACGCTCGCGGCCATTCCTGACCGTCTAAAGTAATACCCACCGCCGCTGCATCGGCCACTGCGTCATGCTCTAGAAGAACAGCTTCTAGTTCTGCAGGGGCGACTTGAAGAGCATTCACCTTGATGAGTTCCTGTTGAAATCGTCATTAACTGCTGAAAGTTCATCTTGTGGTTCGCTGACCTTTTTGCGGTCGACAATCCAAAACCACCCATCTCTCACTACCGCGATATCACCAGTCTTCAACCAACCATCGGGACTTAGAGATTCCTTGGTTGCATGGGGATTCCTCCAATATCCGAGGCACACGTTCGGACCTCTTACGTGCAACTCCCCGGGCTTGCCGTGGGCGACTTCGTTTCCTTCGTCGTCCAGGAGCATGCACTCACAGTTAGGGTCGAGTTGTCCGACACTCCCAGAGCTATAAAGTTTTAGATTTCAGCCCACTATATAGTCGAGGTTAACTTACTCATCGGTGGTACCACCTGGCACATGGATGGCCCCACATGTTACCTCTGTCATGCCCCACCCTTGCACAATCTCGCAGTCGAGTTTTCTAGAGACCTCATTTTGCAGCTCTTTCGAAAGAGGTGCGGCTCCACATAGGATATCCGTTACGCTGCTCAAATCATACTTTGCAGTTTCCGGCCGCTTACTCAGCATAACCATAATAGGTGGCGCGACTTGGAGATGAGTGACCCTGTATGCCTGTATTACGCGGAGAAATTCTTCATACTGAAACTGCTTCATAATATAGACAGGAACCTGGAGCCTCTGCGCCATAGCAATTGTGTATAGCTGGCCATATGCGTGATATAAAGGCAGAAATCCAATCCATATTTCCCGCGGTCGAGTATCGGCATTCCATGGTTTCCTCAGATATCGCATGTATATGGTCTGGTCTAGATTCGCAATGAGGTTGTGATGGCTGACTTCGACGCCCTTAGGCAATCCTGTTGTACCGGAAGAATAATTTACGGTTGCTGTTGTCTGTGTTGACTCCTTCTCAGAGAAGGAGGGAAACTTGTACGCGTCACCTTCTGCCAGAGAAGGTAGGAAATCTCTCCAGTCTCGGCAGCCTCTCATAGAAGCATTCGGAACATCTGAGAAGAGATGAATACGTCCATCGGGGAGGCCTGCTTTTTGCGCTGCTTCAACAGCTGTTGCTGCGAGAGACGGGTGTGCTAAGATAAATTGGGCTTGGGTGTTTGCGATTTGATGTACCATTTCTACAGAATTTCAGTTTCGATATTGACAAGACGGATCGTACAAGAGGACGCCGAATTAGGATGAAAATCACTGACCAGAAACAGTGTATGCTGGATTTGCGCCAGAAAAGATCCTTCTAGACCCTACTATTCCCAGATATGCCACAGGCACAAAGATATGGTTTGGAGTGTAAATCATAACTACCTCACCCGGCCTGATCCCTAACCTGTCTAAACCAAGAGCAAGTCGCTTCGTCCATTGCAACAGAGTTCGAGGAGTCAGATAGTGCTCTGGATCTTTGGCGTCAATCCATATTGGGGTATCCGAAGGAGTCTGGTTCGCAGGAAACAAATATTCGAGCAAATTGACCTTGGGGATATCCAAGCTAGGAAAAGGTGAGGAGAAAGGCATGACGAAGGAATCGTTGTGCTATAGAGGTGTCAATCAGGTGGGTTCCAGCTCACAACACCACTCTGCGAAAGAAATGTCAGCAGTCCCTCGACAGGGTAAGGATAAATATTCATGTCCGCCTTATGTAGCCTCTTACAGCAAGTGATGCTGTGGAGGTTAACTTGATTCAACAGCCATCCCACTCCCGGCCATGTCGGCACGCACGGACAATTTGGACCAGGCCGAGGATATCGATCTCCACACACCGAGCTACCCATCTCCCACTATACATGCACCCAGGTCTATTCGCGATGCCTCCAGATATCTTTAAACTTGAAAGAATTTCCATTTTGAGGGTCTGCGTGCGAGAAACAAACGACAATGTCTGAATTCAGGAGCTTCGATCGCATGTTTCGCCTGGATGGAAAGGTAGCTCTAGTTACAGGAGGTGCGAAGTTCCCTGAAGTCTGACAGACGCGCATTAAAGCATAGATTTTTGAACTTTGACAGGTTCGAGAGGAATTGGGCTGCATACGGCAACTGCATTCCTCCTCGCCGGTGCGAAGAAAGTCTTCATTTCCGCGCGGAAGCACGAAGGAGACCAGGGCATTGATCAAGCTGTTGAGAAGCTCAACAAGCTCGGCGTGTCGGGGAAAGCTGTCGGTATTGCAGCTAATGTCGCGGACACGGATGACATCGCGAGATTGGTAAAGGAGGTTCAGAAGACGGACAACAAGCTAGACATTCTAGTGTGCAATGCCGGCGCGACGTGGGGAGGACCGTTTGAACCGACGCCAGACTGGTCGTCGAAGAAAGTACTCGATCTGAACGTCCGCGGCGTCTTCAACCTGGCAAGGCTGTAAGCAGACGCCCTTTGCCAGTCTGTGGGGCTTCTGCACAGGTAGCGCTAACAATATGTAAGATTTACCCCTCTACTCGAAATGGCAGGCACGCGTCAGGACCCCTCCCGCATTGTCATCGTCAGCTCCACGGCCGGTGTGACAGTCCCCCATGTCGGTGACCATGGCACGATCATGTACAGTGTCTCCAAGGCCGCCGCCCATCATCTTTCTCGGCAACTTGCTGTCGAATTGGGCCCGCGAAACATCACCACCAATACCGTTGCTCCTGGCTTCTTCCCCTCAAAGCTCGCTAACGGGTTGATTGAGATTCTCGGTGGCGAGAAGGAGTTGAACGACTGGAACCCCCGTAAGCGCCTGGGTGAACCAGAAGACATCGCTGGTGTCATGGTGTACCTGTGTTCGCGTGCTGGGAGCTACGTGAATGGTGAGGACATCTGTGTTGATGGCGGCGTACGGTATGCGCAGGGGCGACAGTCGAAGCTGTAAATTGCACGTATCACATTTAGAGTCTATGGACTGGAATTTATAGGTAATCGGATTGTTCTAGATTTGGGAAACGCCCCCAACAAAGTTTCGTTTGATCCTGAATACAAACTATTGCTTTTGGATCTTTCACAATCATTTCGTCAATTAAGCGTGGCATCCCTTTGCGCTTGAATCCTACCATCATTGCCCGTTATTCTTCCCCTTCTCAATCCGAGCCAACTGGTTCTCCATACTTGTGTACTTCATCATTGCCTCCATGTTCTCATCGCAATACGGCACGTGATCCGTAAAATACATATTCTCTCCGTTGATCTCAACTGTCAGCCCCCACGCCTTCTCTTCCTGTACTGTCTTTCCCTTGCCATCCTGGAGGCTTCCTCCGTCAATCAGTTTCAACAAAGAACCGACCACTGTCGATACTGGGGTGAAGTACTGCTCGGGAAATGATTTCCACTCTTCCCCAGTCATCAGGTTCGTCCTCACGGTTCCAGGACAAGTAGCGTATGTTCGAATGCCATCAAGGCGGTATGAGAATGCTATTGAACGGTTGAAATGGATGACTGCGGCCTTGGAGCCGGAGTACATTGGGCTGTGCACGTCAGTACTCGTAGTGACAACTGCATGGAAAGGACAATGACCTACCAAAACTCCGAAGGATACAATCCTCCGCAGCTCGCTGTCATCACGAGCGCAGGATTGCTCCCATCCTTTGGACTCTTCCTAAAATAATGTAGCGCAAGGTAACTCGTGTTAACCACAGCCTTCAAGTTGATATCGATGGATAATTGATTCGGTTCAGGGGGCGGTTTTGAGAGATCATGTTTTTCGTAAAAATTGTCTCGCTCCACGATACCCGCGTTCGCAAATACGAAATCTAACCGTCCGGATGTTTGGAAAGCGGTCTCAAAGGCTGACGAGAGTGATGCATAATTCGTCACGTTTGTCTGGTGGAAATATGCGTGCTTAAGAGAGGACATCGCCTTCTTACCCGCTACTGCGTTCAAGTCCACAAGATGCAGGTCCCAGCCGCCGCGCACAGAAAGGGCCTCCGCGATGGCGAGACCCATGCCAGAGGCACCACCTGTGATGAAAGCGGCCTTGTTTGACATGACGAAAATGCTTGAAAGGAGACTATGGCGAAGGCAAAGATTATGAAATTCAGAGAGGGCTAAAGATGTGAAAATGAAGATTCAAATTGACGATCCGACTTGGGATTGTGATGGCTGTATACTTGGCGCATGTTTGCGTGGCTACTGTGCGGAGAATCGCTGAGCTACTTCTCCGCGTTTTCGGTTATGGTGCAAGGGATGCTTCTTCCGGGAGAGGTGTATTCGAGCTGAGTGGGCGACTACAGCCACGGCTCGACTGAGCGATATCCATGAGAGCGAGAAGATTTGGGCTGCTTAATGTTGAATTAATGTTTACTGTAGCACTTCACCGTAGGGTGAGGTTGCTGAGCTAGATATTGATACCTCGGGACCGCATCAGGGAAGGATCAGGATGGGTCACGTGTGCGAGAAAACGGCCGTAGAAGTACGAATTTCAATGCCGTCCGGGTGCCCTTCTCCATGGCACTGCTCCGGAGTCTCAAAGCTCCTGATTCAGGGATGGCGCTTATTCAACCTTGGCGACGTCAGTCGTGCAGGAGATCGTCGGCTGCATAGCGGAAAACAAACCGCGAACCCTTCATCTTCACCCGGCCATCACCCCCTCCACTCACACCCACAGATGGAATTGGAGTTTGAGGCTTCCATGCGAAGTCGAGCCGGGCATCTAGTCGTCCGCGCCTGCGAAGCTCGGACTTAAGTGGCTTTACAGGGAGAAGTGAGAATGCAGTTTGGAGGAGTGTACATGCGACTTACCCAAGTGCTATACCCCTCCTCTTCCCCACCTTATCTCTCTGTTTGCATTATAGCTTCCGGTTCTGTTTTTTTTTTCTTGATTCTTCATTCACATTCGCAGTCATGTCTTTCCCATGGTCAGCAAAGAACCTTCCCAAGCAAATTTTCATCAACAACGAATACGTTGACTCCAAGAGCAGCAAGAAGCTCACTCTCACCAATCCCAAGGATGGCTCTCTGATTTCCAACGACGTTGCTCTTGCTGGGGAGCAGGACGTCGATACCGCTGTTGCAGCTGCCGAAGAGGCTTTCCCGGCCTGGAAAAAGACTCCTCCTGGGGAGCGCAGGAACATTATGATCAAGTTCGCCGAATTGATCGAAGCAAACACCAATGCCATCGCTGAGCTGTCCCGTATATCTCTTGGCGCTCCTTTCAAAGCATTTGGTGCCTTCGAGGTTGGCCTCTGTGCTGAGGTGAGCGCAATATTTTCGTTATCTGTTCAACAGTGGCCTAAGCTAACACTATTTGTACGTAGGCATTCAAATATAATGCGGGCTGGATCGACAAGTTCGGCGGCGAATCTTGGCCCCAGGAAGATGGTTTCCTGAAAATCGTGCGTAACGAGCCTCTTGGTGTGACTGCTGGTATTGTGCCTTGGAATGGTCCAGTCGGCACAATCGGTCTCAAGGCTGCACCTGCCCTCGCCACGGGCAACTGCTTCATTCTCAAGCCTTCAGAAAAAACCCCCTTCTCTTCCCTCGCTCTCGGAACTTTGATCAAGGAGGCTGGATTCCCACCTGGTGTGTTCCAGATCCTCTCTGGAGATGGCAGCACGGGCGCTATTATTGCGTCTCACATGCGCATCCGCAAGGTTTCATTCACCGGCAGTATCGCAACTGGAAAGAAGATCCAGGAGATGGCGGCTAAATCTAACTTGAAGCGTGTTACGCTCGAGCTTGGTGGGAAGTCGCCAGCTGTGGTCTTTGACGACTGCAACCTCGACAATGCTGTCATGTGGACTGCGAACGCTATCACTGCAAACACCGGTCAAGTGTGCTTTGCCGCTTCTCGCGTATACGTGCAGGAGGATATCTACGACAAGTTCATCGAGAAGTACAAGGAGGCGATGGAGAACAAGGCGAAGGAAGTTGGCGACCCAGAAGCCGAAGGCACCACCATCGGTCCCCTAGTCGACGAGGCGCAATTCAAGCGTGTATCTGGCTTCATCGAGCGTGGGCAGAAGGGTCAAGGCAAATTACTCGTTGGCGGTCAACGGATCGGCGACAAGGGCTTCTATATTGAGCCGACCGTTTTCACGGACGTCGACCCCACTTCCGAAATCCATTGCGAAGAGATCTTCGGCCCGGTTTCCGTCGTCAAGTCCTTCAAGACCGAGGAGGAGATTATGAAGCTGTCAAATGACACAAGCTTTGGTCTTATGGCCGGTGTCTTCACGCAAGACATCAATAAAGCGTTGCGAGTGGCGTCAGACTTTGAATCGGGCATGGTTGGCATCAACTGCATTAGCTTGATGTTTATGGTCAGCCCTTTTGGTGGAAGCAAGGAGAGTGGTATCGGCCGCGAGTGTGGTATTCATGCTTTGAGAGCATTTACGGAGCCAAAGACTATTATGATTAACATGAACTACTAGTTGGCTCCAACCCTCCAAGGGAACATGGGGTTTTAAGGATATGCGCAATCATGATATCAAGTAAAACGAATGACCTGCATTACCATTCGAAAGTCTCTATGCACGTTTCACCTCTGTCCCTGATGCCTGTTGCTTTAAGTCCAACCCCACGCCTTTATAAAGCGTTCTGCGAAGGAAAAGCAATTTGGATGGCTTCATTTAAACGTGCAAGTGTCTAGTTCCTAAAGTAATACACTCAGTTTTCGTACTTCATGGAATAATCCTTGCCTTCTTCATTCGATCAAAGACGCCTCCCCAAGCCTGTGCCGTATTCCTCTCCTCCGTAAATCCAGTCCTATACATCTTGGTCATATCATAATGCCTATCAAAATCGAACTGTGTCATTAAAAAGTACTCAAACCCTGGGAAAATCTTCGGAGAATCTGCATGTCCAGTTTGTAACTCCTTCTCTCGCTCTAGCTTTTCCCATGTGTCCATATGCTCCTTGATATACTTTCTAATTTCTGGAGGATTAGAGACTGGCCCGGTGCCCCTGAGGCCAAAATATGAGCAGAGTGTCGGCCATTTAGTGGACCAGGTTGATGGGTATTTAGCATCGGCGACGTTGTACCCACCCCCCTTTTCTGTGGAAGAGGAAAGGGAGAGATGAAGAGTTTGACGCGAAATCATGTCGGAGGAACTGTCGATACTTTTTGCAACCCAACTCTTCTCTGTGCCTGGGAAAGGACACTCTGATCCTTCGCCCTCTACCTCACGCCACAGCGACAAATAGATCCCAACAACAGTACCCAAGGAGTAAAAGTTCTGGTTTGGAACGAATCCGATGATTATATCGGGGCGAGTATCGCACCATGACCAGGACTTCTCTTTCGCGTACTCGGTGATCCAATCAAGTTGCGGGTGGTAAAAGAGCATGTCATGGTAGGGTTGTTTGAGCCGCGGTTGAGATTCTTTGTGGGGGACGTGGAGGTAGTCTGTTGGGTGGTTTTCGAGTAGATGGCATCCATCTACATCATTCATCAGCTACTATTCGGTTCCAGTTTCTTCCGGGAAATTAGTAGGAGGTTTACTTACACATCTTCGCCCCAGTCTGCAGCACCACGAATTCAAGCTTCATCGAAAGGCGGTCCATCGCAATTATACTCCTCTTAAACATTGCAACCGCCTCTACCAGCTCTTTCTGGAGATCTGTGCTAGCTTTATAGGCCAAATAGTAAACATGTGTGACATCCTCAATGCCCTTGATTTTTTCCTTTAGAATTGCCTCGAGATCCTCCTGAGCGCCTTTGAGAAGGTCGACTCCAGATACGATATTCAATCGTGGATCGTCAGGCCATTGCGATTGCTTCTGCGAAAGAGGGCGATTAGTTAATGCGTGGACTTTGCCCCAGATACCTTTCTTGGGATAGTCGTTCAGAAGCTCGTTGACGAAGGACCAGCCTGTGACACCCGAGGCGCCGAATACCAGAGCAGATTTAGACATTGTGATGCCGTTGTCTAGAGAGCGGAAGTGTGAGTGTCAAAACAAGGGGATTTGAAAATTCGAACATTTTCCATCTACCTCCCCATGCGCAGCATTTAAATACCCGCCAAATCAAACTCTATAGCTCAGCAAGAGAAAGGAAGCACATGTCCGGGTTCTACTCTAGCTACCCCAGAACATTGCTTAAGCTTCTCCAGACTTCCTCCTACACCTCTATGTAGGGTTACTATAAGTCAGTAGTAAAATACGCATATACTTTCAAAATGAAACGAAGCGGAACGGATTGCGATGGGAGCAGATTATCAGCCGTCCCCACACAGCACTCGTCCAGGGTAAAAGTTAGCCGTTGAGTCTCCGGTGGAGCTCGGGCTTTCCCCGCTTTCTCGACTCGCGTGACACAGGCATCAGATCGGGAATGACTCGATGCAGCAGATCATCGCATGAGTCGCGTGAATTCGGTAAACACTATGAAGAGAGAATTTCGAAATAGTGTTCTCACATCTGGATGCTTAGAAATCATATGTATTGATGCCACCAATATCCTTGTATTGAAGCCAAATTGCGAATACGAGTTTCAAGTGATGAAGAGAAGGTTTGGGATCTGTACTGTTCGGTAAAGTTTTCACTCTCCGGTCCGTCATGATGATGCAGAAAAGTATCTATCTTCCTAATAAGCACGTTTTGAGAGGCCGACAGGCCATTCGATCGTGGTAACAAGACATCAAAGCATACCATACAGCAATTAAGTGAATTTCAGTTACTGTACTGGCTATAACTTCCACTGTAAAGGGGGCTCATGCTCAATACCCGATTCACGAAGATTGCATCACCAATGCCTCCCCCATCTTGGTAATGCTGTATCTCAACCTTCCCATTTCAGGTGAACTTTTTTGCTCCTTATGAGTGAATTATCCCTGTATGTTCCCGTAAAGGGCATTTTGAAAGAACGTAAGAGGAGAACGTAATTCCTCGAAACTATGATTCCTACCACCTTCGAAATCCCGCAGACTGAATCCTATATTACCGATATAATATAGCTACACGGTGTCCAGCAACCAATATTGTAATGCATTTAATCAATGGAACTCGTTCTTCTCAGCGTAAACATCATTCTCCAGGAATACTTCTGTCTTATTCGTCATCTTCGGTGTCAAATCCTCACACAAGAAGCAACAAATCAGCCCCAATAGACCGAAACTCAACGAACTTAGCGCAACGATCTTCAACCCATGAGCATAACTCCATTTGAATGCGAGGCCTGCAGCAGCGAGTGCCTCCGCAGTCGTCCCAGGAACGGATGCAATGGCTTGACCTCCGAGGGGGAATGCAGCGAGGAGCTTTTGCGCGTTTTCGGGAGTCATTCCGGCTGCAATTGCAGCTTTTGGTAGGGTGGCAGCCGCGCGCGTAGTTTGAGTGTTGGTAAGAATAGTGGTGTAGATTGCGACAGCAAGAGAACCACCTGCGTAGCGAGCCATGCCTGCGAGACCACCTGAGAATCCGAGATCTTGTTGTGGTACTCCTAGTTGGGTGAAAGCCACACTCTCGTACTGTGCCCAGCCGAAGAATGCTGTTCAGCATCAGCATCGCCGTAAGCTTCTAGTGTGTTACGGAGGTCACTTACTTGCATTGATACAACAGAGGGTAATCATCAGCCCCTTGTTGAAAGGAGTACACAGACCCATGAGGGCCCCAAAGAGTGTCATACCAGTCCAAGAAATAATCAGAGTCCAGTACCAACGCTTGAAGACATTTCCAAACGCAATCAAAAGACAGGCTCCAGTCACGAGTCCCACATTTGGCGGTAGGGTAAGTAGCAATTCCGTGCTCCTCGAGGTCGTGGGCGTGATGTAGAAGACATTGACCATTGTAGGCCATATTATGTTGACAGAGTAGTAAAACATCGTGACGATGAAGGCCACTATGAACGGGGCAGTAAATTCACGACCATTTTTAGAGCGGAAGAGATGCGGCGGGCAAAGCTTATGCGGAATATTCGAGACAGTTTCCCAGATTCCGAACGCAGCAATTAGAACGAAGCCTACAGCCATTGGAGCAACGACTGTAACGTCGTCACTGGCTTTATACTAGAGGTAGTTAGCTCTATGTAGCGAGAGAAAAGCCAAATGGGAAACATACCGTGGTGTTAATAATACCAACCAGCGCTAAACAAATTCCAGGAATGATGATTGCTGCCCCGACGTAGTCGAGCCCTTTGTAGGCTTCATGCCATGGAATACCCTTCGGATGCTTCGGAGGCTTGTAGAACGCGAAGAGCGCTGCAAGGGAGAAGAACTGAGCGATGAAGCCACCCCAGTAGATGTACTTCCAATCCCCATTGTCGATGGCGTACTAAACTGGTGGTTAATTTCATGGAAACACACACGTGCCGGCATCAACTTACCCTCCCAACAATAGGCCCAATGATAACGATGATAAAGATAAAGCCATCAGATAAACATATACCGATGTGGCGGTACTTGTTTGGAAGCAGCTCAGGGATTGAGCACATTGCCATCTAGATACTTGTCATTTAAGGGCGCAAAATTGGGAGTTGGCGCATTAATACCTGACAAAATCCACCTCCAAAACCGGTAATCGCAAGTCCAGCAGTGAATTGCGATGCTCCGTGCGCAGTCGCAATGACAATGAATCCCATACAACAAGTGACATTACCGAAAAGGAGGAATGGTCGACGCCCAAACAAGTCAGAATTTGCGCCGGCTATCAAGAAGCCTATCGCGTTTCCAGTCGTATATGCAGGAACATACCAGGCCGAGGAAGTCGGGTCACCGAACGCAGTCGCGAGCTTGGTCTGGAGTGCAGCAGTGGTTGGAACTGGCCAGAAACTGAGACCGAACGTTGAGGATAATACCTAAGAAACTCGTGAGCCCGAGCTCGCCGTTTGAGTCAAGGGGGACTTACGAAGATAACTGCCCACGTCTTCCAAGTGATAGTAACAGCATCCCCGCTTACTGTCTCCAACATTTCTTGTAGTGGAGAATCTAGAACTTGCTCGACCTTCTTAATGTTATGCTTTTCACTCGACATAGAGCATTGAATGCCATCTCGGAACTCTTCGACTGCCATTATGAAGATGAGATGATAGTAGCCACAAAGAGGAAATCAATGGATATTCTAGCTGCAGTCCTTTCATTACTAAGAGCAAGCGAATACCTCATATTATGCATCTTGGGCCGACCCTAAAACTAAGCCCTGTTCCGCGTCCTACATGGAACCGAGCCCCCGCACCTTGGAAACGATACTAGACTAAAAATTATATCTAGGATTTAGACTGCTTCTGGGCCCGGGCTGGTAGGCGCTGCAGGTGTGGACTTCACACCCCAACTGGGGATCTTGTAGGGTATATTTTGGGCCATTCCGCATTAGGAAAACGTCGAATTTCAAGCTGATCCGGCTTTCTTTACCCAGGCACAGGGTTCGTGAACCCGATGGATGAGGACACTCTTTTGTAAGTGCTACCCCTAAAAATTTGTGAGGCCAATCACGCGATTGGTCGACGAGAGGACAGTTTTGACTTGTCAGGTACTAGGAATTTAGACCGAAACACAGGTATTTCATTTTGTCGCTACGAACATTTGAGCATCGCCTTACTTGGCAGCCAAAGTCCAGAACATAGAGGCTACTCAAGAACGAGTGATTCCATCCTTCACATCGCAATCTGGAATGGCTTTTCCAAACGCAATCATATCGTGTCTATTGTCAGATATCAGTGAAATTTCTTTCACAATGAATGGCAGATCAAATTCAAGTTATTGCAGTGGGAAAAGTCTCGGGAGGGGTGGAGGACTAACCCAGCCATTACCCTGATACCTCCTTTGATGTCCATGAAGTGGTCTGCATCTGGCAATAATGCTTTCGCCAATTTAGCTGGGGTCTAGGTCTCTATGATCTCGGCCTTACTGGCAGCGTATTCTGGGCTCGAAAAGAACCTTTCCCAGTCGTCCCAAGACTTCACCCAGATCTGAGAGCAGGCATCGTAGTCGAGAAGTTCCATACCAAGCGACCTAATCTTCTCTTTCATCTTTGGGCTTTGGTAAAGCTCGGAAAAGTTAACCTACAGATAACCATAAGCGAGAAACCTTGTGTACCTGAACATATCTTTGGATCTTGACAACATTGAACTCCTTGGAAGCAACTGTCAGATCTGCATGGACATGATTGTAGTGCATTTGAAAATGGTCATCGTCGACGTCCGGAAGCTTTTTGAAGAAGAATGATAACTTGATGCACGCTACAGAATGGTTAGCTAAAGGAATGGGGACAACACATGGACCATAACTCACGCTGATGATTCTCTTTGGTATCCCAGTCAAAAAATTTGAGTGCAAACTTGTGGTCGATTTTGTTGTGAACCATGGTGTACATACGCTGCAGTTTCTCGAGGTGAAGAAGTTTAGTGTTCCGACCCAATAACTGCGAATGCAGCTGATGAAGGCTCAACATGAGTTGAGACCAAATATGTAGTAGCGGATATACGGGACCGAGGATAGCGAGCAGGCTTACCTAGAGCGGAGGCTGACTTGTTTGGGCCGATCGCAGGATAGTGAACCTACTAGTGAACTATTCTCTTAGGTTGCGTTACTTTACGTTGGTGTCTACTACGGAACATTAACCGGCAGGATTAGATACTTCGAAACTGTTGGTGGAATTCGGAAGAGCGCCAAGGGGGTGCCAGACTCTAACCTAACGCAGGCCAGGCTACATTTAGTCATATTTGCTAGCATGCATGGGAGTTGTCACTTGAAGAGTGCTCCATCAGGCCCTACCAAACAAATCATGGGATCCAAAAAGTAGTTCTCAGAGCACATATTGGTAGTCTTGCTAATTCATGGATATGCGATATCTAAAGCACGACGACCTGTCTCTTTTCGGCCCTCCCGTCGTGCATAGCTGCTACCATGGCAGGCAGATCTTCAATTTTCCTAAACTCAACTTCGGGTTGTATACTAAAAAAAAGTCAATATACATAATTGGTATCCAGAACAAACTTCGATTTTACCTGTGCTTGCCAGTAAAATCGACAGCCTTCTTCATCCGCTGAGGAATACCAGTGCTATCTGCTTTAACACGGTACTTCCCTGTGGTGAGATCGAATGTAGTAACAAAGTCGAAGGGCTTGGGGGCAATTCCAATGACCATCAATAATCCTCCTATGCGGAGGATCTCTGGAGCTCCTCTATATGCGGCGTTTGCAGCACTATATACGGCGGCAGCATGACAGCCTTTGCCTGTGAGTCTCCTAACCTCCTCGACATAGGTCTTGTTGGTCATCGTGTTGAAGACGGCATCCGCTCCGACCTTCTTAGCCATTTCAAGCTGAGAGTCCTTGATGTCCAACCCGATCGTCTTGTATCCCATCTGCGACACATCTCAGTGAGAGATTTTTGAGGTAACACCTAAATCACATACTGCTTTGGCATATTGAATGGCATATTGGCCTAGCCCACCGCAACCAATGATTGCTAGCCACTGCCCGGGCTTCAACTCGCAGCTGTCGACAGAGTGGAACGCGGTGATGCCGGCGCAGAACAGAGGTGCAGTTTTTGACATCTCCAAGTTCTGAGGTAGGAGGACAGCATTCTGCCAGTCCGTAACAGCATACTCTGCAAAGAAACCGTCAACCATGAAACCCTGGAGCCTTGACTTGCCCGTTTCACACCACCTATTCGGAAGTCAATAACATCATGCAGCAAAGGCCACTTCGAAATGAGAACTTACATATTATGTACCATACACGCCTCACACTCAAAGCAGCAACCAATGAAGTAATTAAATCCAATGGCATCTCCAACCTTGAAACCTTTGCCTTCTGCGATCGGGTCTATTGCCTCAATGTAGCCGACACCCTCGTGTCCCAGAGTAACGGGATAGTCTGGTCGCATGTCGGTGAGCAAATCGGAATGGCATAACGAAGCTGATTGTATTTTTACGAGAAATTGCCCTGGACCTGCTGAAGGCTTTGGTACGTCGTTGATGACGACCTTCTGTTGCTTACTTCTTGAAATCAGTTAAGTAGCAAGACCAGAGCAGGCTATTGACTTACGGGTCCCACTGGCCCGCCTTCATTGCGTGTTGAGAGTACTGTCTGTGATGGCCTTTGGATGGTAATGAAAGCCAAAGTGAGCACTGCAATAGTGGATATTCTGAATATAACTCGAGGCCACAATCCCTTGAACAGTTAGAGAATATACTTCACAGCCAGACGGCACAGGAATAGGAAATCGGTAAGACTGCACGCAAATAGGAAAGAGAATCTTCACCGGTAATGACGCTACAGATAAAATGGCCTAGTGTCCAGGGCAAGGTCAACCTTTTGCCATTCGTGTCGGACTACGGAAAATGTCCGCCGACATTATCAATATGACGGTGCTGAGTACACCAGAAGGATTCCGTGTGGGGTGAGCTTCGGAGATGTTCATGGCAGGGATGGGGAATGAAGGCGGGGTCTGCGGTTGAGAGTCAGGGGGTTGAGAACGCTAATCCCGTTTGCGACTCAGCATTGAAGCACGTATTTTGTGCATGATTCGAATGAGGGTATCACTTCCACGATTGTGAACTATTCTAGCGAGACAGACCTAAGTGTACATGTCTTGAGACATCCGTTTTAATGAGTACATAAAATCGTAGAGTAGATAGAGGAAAGCCCCAGGAAAGAGTGCAAGCTTCAAATGACTAGTGCTGCCCATGAATTCATATCATTGATCCAAGCAGGGCCCAAGAGCGGGCCATTGATATCCATCCGATTCTTCGCTTACGCTTCATACCTATTACGATATTACAAACTGTACTCCCTCTGCCAAGTTCGCAAGATACTCCTTTCTCGGGTTGTCAAGATGCTTTGATGGCCATGTCCAGTGGTAATGTGGGTATCCGTCGTAGAAATCGAGTACAGTTGGAACTCTTCACGCAGGTCAGCTGGTAAATCTGGGTGTCGGACATTGCGGCTTACTTGTTATCATCCAGCCTTTGTTTGAACAGGAGACCATCATCCCTTAAGGTGTCTTGACCAGCCACAGTCATGTAAACCTTCTTCAGCTCTCCGACCTTGTCGTGAAGGAGGGGAGACACATACACGTCAGTGGGTGGCGCACCAAATGCGTCTGCATTCTGTTAGGAAACGAGAAGGTAGCCAGGATTCATTCCTTCTCACCCCAGAATGCGATCATAGCGTCCTTAGTATTGATCGTGTCCTCGGCATGGTCCTTGTACGAAGTCCATTTCGGCTTCAGTTTCTCTGGGACAGCATCTGGATGGATAGTTGCAGGTACCTGGGCCACCACACCAACCAAAGAATCTCCAAGCCCCTCATCGATGGCTTTAAGCGCAATGGCGAAGCAGAGTTGACCTCCAGCTGACGTTCCGGTGGTGAAGATCTTCCCTTCGGCACCACCCAGTACCTTCGCATTCTCCAATGTCCACTGAAAGCCCTTCCAGCAGTCATTGATCAAACCAGGATGCTTGTTCTGTGGAGCCAGGCCGTACCCGACAGAGACCACAACGACACCTCCGCCTTTCGCGATGGCTCTGCAGAATGGGTCATCGCCGTCGATATTGCCCATGGCCCATCCTCCACCGTGAAAATATACGCCAACTGGCTTTCCTCCCGAATACCCTTCAGGTGTGTATATCCGAATAGGCAATTGGTCATCGATTGACATGTCTTCGGTTTTCACAGAAGGGTCAGGAGCCGTAAACGTGTATTTCGCGACCACAGTCGCTCCGAGTTTCGTGAAGCCATCGATACAATTCTGCAGGGGCCCATATAGGAGCGGGCGCTCCCCAAACTCCTTTTCAAACTACAAGCTCGTCAGCATCTTCTTTTCTTAGGAGGACCGATTATGGCTCCCACCTCAAGCCAAGGTTCGGCAAATCCAGACATGTTCAATCAGCAAATGTTTGCAAACAATCAACCCCTCCATCGTGAAGTCCCTCTGTTTAAGAGCTTCCCCACGCCAATGAATCGTGAGTCCGCTCTTCCCTGTGGACTGTTGGGAGGTCTCCTGGAAGACCTTTCTGCAGCGAGTCGAACACGTCAGGAGTCCAAGCTCAAGCCTCACGCAAAACGACATCCGATCTACGCCCAACCTTCCCCCGCAACACCCTCGGCCTGACACCTCTACACTAATGCCTCCTTCGGGTATAGTATCACTATGGCTGCTTTAAGTAATCAGACAATTCTGACATCACGTATTGATCCTCGTCATATACCAACATAGCTTTGATTTCAGATAGCTTGTCCTCATGATGGCTTCAAACATCAAAATGGAGAACAGCCTAGCTTTCGCCCGCATCCCGCCTTGGGTAAAGGCTAAACTACGCCCGATTGCTGTCGAGAAGATCCAACAGGTTCATGACTGGGTGGAAACAGAGTGCATTCCCGCAGAGCGTATCTACAAAATACAGTTACAAGCCGACCGGTGGAAGACGCCCGCTATTATTCACGAGCTACGCAAGAAGGCGAAAGCACAAGGTCTCTTCAATCTATTTCTCCCTAACTACTTCGAGGAAAGCCCCGGGTTGACGAACTTGGAGTATTCTTGCTGTGCTGAGATTATGGGAAGGGTATACTGGGCAGCACAGGTAGGGTTCTATGATGTTACAAAGTCCAATAAATACTTGAGCTAACGTACTTGCCAGACGATGAACTGCCACGCCCCAGAGACCGGCAACATTGAGCTCCTCGCGAAGTACTGCACCCCCGAGCAGAAGAGGCGCTGGCTCCACCCTCTCATGAACGGCGATATGTCATCCGCATACAGCATGACTGAACCCGACGTTGCCTCCTCAGATGCAACTAACATCGGCATCAAGATGGAGATCACGGACAAGGAGGTGATCATTAACGGTCGCAAGCTCTACGGAAATTGCCAGTATAATGACGAGATGCAACTCTTCATTTTGATGGGGTGTTCGGATCCGAAGAATCGCAGCCCGTGGAACAGGCATACTACCCTGGTTGTTCCTGCAAAGACAACGGGTCTGAAGCAGGTCCGAAATCTCACCATCATGGGATACGACTGGGCCCCTGAAGGGCATGGGGAGTATATCTACGAAAACGTACGGGTGCCCCTTGAGAATATCATCCTCGGGCCCGGGCGAGCGTTTGAGATTGCACAAGGCCGCTTAGGGCCTGGAAGGATTCACCACTGCATGCGGTTGATAGGGCAGGCGGAGCGCGCCTTTGAGCTCGCTCTTGTGCGGTGCATCGAGCCTCTCAAGAAGCCTCGAGGGAAGCTTATTGGCGAGTTCGATAGCAACATTGAGCGCATCGCAGATATGAGGATGACGATTGATGGCATGCGGTTGATTGTTCTCAATGCAGCCGACACTATGGATCTTCAAGGGAATAAGGCTGGCCGCTACGCCATCGCTCAGAGCAAAATCATGGTCCCTAATGCCTTGCTCAAAGTCATCGATGAAGCAATGCAAATGTATGGAGGGCAGGGTCTTACTCAACACACACCTCTACCAGAGTTCTGGACATACGCAAGGTTCGTCAGGGTAGCTGATGGACCTGATTCCGCGCATCGGCATCAAGTCGGACGAGATCAGATGAAGACAGCTACAGGGTTCAGAAAACGGGCAGAAGAATACACAAAGCGGTACCAGGAGTTGTGTAAGAAATGGGGTCTGGAACCTGAGGAGTTCTGGGGTATCGTCTGAACTTTTCTTGTTAAGCACACATTTATGCATAAATTCCATGTTCTACGGATTCTCTCCAACAGGGTCATTTAGCCCATACATAAAAATATCGTCTGAAGTTATCAAGATTTCCACGGAAGTAGGACGATAAATCATCACACGCGACCCTCACCCCGCGGTTAATCTTTCCCGACGCTAACTTCCCCGTCATTAGCGTGTTGCGGAACTCAACATCCTTGGCTGCTCTCACCCACCTCGGCTTGTGGCAGACTTGCGGCAAGGACGTTTAGTTGGGCGGTGGAGAGCTGTTGGGTTTGCTTAGCTATTGGAATTGAAGCTTGGCTAAGCTTTCTTCCAACTCTTTCAATGTCTTGATACTAGGCCTTTCATTGCTCTCCCTTCCATCCTTCAATTGTCTAGTCTTTTCTGACACTTGATTGTAGTGTTGTTGCGCAATGGCGGGGCCAGTACGACAACCAATAGATGTACCTTCACTAGAGAGATATTTCGACAAAAATGTTCCGGCAATCAGGACCCCTTTAGACATCAAACAGGTATGCCAAATCCATTATGCACTTCTTCCTTCCCTTCAAATCTCCCCAATTTTTTGCAGCTCTCACAATAGTTCAATGTTCACAAGCCCTATATCCTAACCCAACAAGCTAACCTTCCAAGTTCGGCTTCGGCCAATCCAACCCCACATACCTCCTGACATCTCCCAACTCCTCCAAGTTTGTGATGCGTAAGAAACCTCCGGGGAAACTCGTGTCCAAAACTGCACATAAAGTGGAACGCGAATACCAAATTATCAGAGCGCTTCAAAGCACTAACGTGCCTGTTCCAAAGGTGTACTGCTTGTGTGAGGATGAGTCCGTGATCGGGAGTCCGTTTTACATCATGGAATTCCTAGACGGTCGAATTTTCACAGAACCATATTTCCCCGGCGTGAGTGAGTTGGAGAGAAGGGATATGTGGCATGATGCCATCAGGACATTAGCAAAGTTACATAAACTGGTGCCGAAGGAAATTGGACTTGAGAGGTATGGAAAGCCGAACGGGTTTTATAATCGTCAAATCAAAACTTTCAAGGCTCTGGGGGAGGCGCAGTCTAAGACAAAGGATACTGAGACCGGTGAAGAGGTTGGGGAAGTTCCGAGAATGGACGAATTGGTTGCGTTCTTCAGTGACCCGAAAAGCCAGCCGAAGGATAGAGGGACGCCAATTCATGGGGATTATAAAATCGATAACTTGGTTTATCATAAGACAGAGCCGAGGGTGATCGGGATACTGGAGTAAGTAAGCCCATTGTCCCTACGCTTGACGTACCACGAGAATGTGAGTTTGAGACTAATGAGTTATCATAGCTGGGAAATGTCGACAATCGGCCACCCACTGTCCGATATCTCCAACCTCATCGTCCCTTGGACAATAACTGCATTCGGCACCGAGCGCCGAAACTCTCACCTCGCCTTTCACCACTCCCAACATACTCCCGGCCTCCCCTCCCGTAATCAGTGCCTTGCGTGGTACAGGGAAGTAGCGGGCTGGGATCCCGTCCTCGAGTTAAGCTGGGGTGTAGCGTTTGCTATGTGGAGGGATAGCATCATTTTCCAGGGCATCGCATCCCGGTATGCGGTAAGGCAGGCTAGTAGTGATCAGGCGAAGAAAGTGGGAGCGGAGATGAAACCCGTGGCTGAGATATGCTGGCAGTTGGTGCAGAGTGTAAAGGAGGATAAGCGATCGAGGGCGCACTTGTAAGTCAGACACTGGAAGGCTTTGTTTTAGGTTGACATCTGGGGGAAGCTATCTCAGCCTCTCAGGCTTACGTGCAGATTCTTATAAGCGGTATGGACACCACGTACTAAACGTATGTAGGTGCCACATCCGTTATTTACGAGTTTCACAGTTGCTTAAATAGTCGCTACACTTCCTATCCTAGATTCCTAAAAAGTAGTCCTCTCCTAGCAAGAGTTAAGACGCAGTTGGAATATTGTTGAATAGTCTTTAACTTCTTCGCGCTTATTGAATAATTGAGGCGGCTACATACGCTTCTATGCCTTGGATTCTTTAGCGTATAAGACACAATTCCCTTCCACTTGTTAGCATGGAGAGTAATATCTAGGTACCTTCACAGCACGCTGGGTCGGGGACGAGAAGCCCTGCAAAGTAATCAATATTTCTCATTCAAAGGCATAATTTTAAGCAGAACAGTTCTCGGGCCTCAAAAGTGTTTATTTTTTTCTTAATAAAGTACTAGTTTTGTTTGCTGAGAACTATTCCACTCATTGCAAGCATTGAACTCTTCTTTAGCGTCTGCGATACTTCCGAAAATCTAGCCAAGAACTCACAGAACTAACTACAGTTGTAGCAATTCATTCTATATGCAAAACCCCTTCGGGAGAAATCCAAAAGCTGCTGCCTAGAAATTTGGAGAGGTACTTGGTCTTTGACGGGAAAGATTGCCGTGTAAACGTTGCTTTAATTTTGGACTCCCAAAAAAGAAAGACAACGAAACAGCAACTGGTTCAGCTGGAAAAAGTTGAATGGCTGGCTATCGTGGAAACGTGAGAGAAAAGTGAGGCGACTTGCAGCACTGCAACCTCTAGCTTCTGCAGAGCTAGCCTGCTAATGTATATGGCTGCATGAAAACTTTCGTGTTAGCTGGAAGTACCGACGTTGTGAAGGAAACGAGATTGGCCCGAATCTACGGTTCGAGAGTTGCAAGAAGATCCCCAGACCTCCAGGGCTCTTGATGTTGGTGATGAGATCATGTGTCGACCCTCCTAGGTGAGTAAAATCCACCCGGCGGCTTGACCGGTAAGCCCGAAATGAGAATTCCAAGATACTTGTCCGGTCAACATATAGTGGTCGTGTCACCACTAGCCTAACACAAGCAAACTAGCAAATTCGCAGCTAAAGAGGACTAATCGAAGAGGTCAAGAGGAAGACCAGTGAGCGGCATAGCTCAATGGTCAATTTAGTACCGTCCTATTGGGATCTTGATCCAAAGACATGGGAGACATTTACGCACTTCGTGTAACGACGTGGTATCAGATGTAGCCGTACTGCAATTCCTAGCTCTCCCCAACAGTCCCCGCAATCCTTCATCCGGCCCACCAAAGCTCATCTTAGCTTCTTCCCCCACTAACCCGTAAACTTTACTACAATCTCCCTCCTCCTCTTCCTGTAAAACTTATCCAACACCTTCCTCCTCTGCTCTTGTGCCATCTCCTCTACTTCCAGGGCAAATTCTACCGGATCCTCATACCCCATCATCTTTGCAATACTGCAAAATTGCCTCCTCCTCACTTCCTCGTTCGGTTTATACCTATAGTTAATATTGAAGTCATCCCTATCCCTTCTCCTCCCTTCACCAGATAACTCCGCATTACTGTGATCTGGGCGATCTTCTTCAAACTCCAAACCCTGGCGTTGACTTTGCGATTGCGAAAACTGGAATACACGTTCGGGGCCAAGTTCAAGGTCGCCACGAAGTTCTATAGCTTTACGACTCAATTTGGCTTCGATTTCGGAACAACCTATGACTTCCGAGTTCTCATGAGTATATTGTACCCCTGCTTTTGCGAGAATGGCATTGACAGGGTCGGGGCCAGAGCGTTTTATGTATTTCTTCTTGCCTCTGATTTTGGATGCATCGCCTCCACTGGCGATGATTTCTGCAAACTTCTTCATCTGGCTGTTGTCATTTTCGTCGTCTTCATCAAGACCGAGGGCTTTGTTGCTGAGTGGATCATATTCATCATCAGACTCGTTGGTGTTATTGTTGAGGCCAAATTCCATTGCCTTGACCCCGGCTCTCGTTTCTGCGACATTAGTTTTGTGAACGATATCTCGCAACAAGAGGCCATCCTCCGCAAAACTGAATAGATTTGCAATACCGAATAGTTCGCCCTTCTTTCCGGAATCACCCATCACACCTTTGAAGTATCGTCGTTCGTCGCTGGCTGTATAACCAATGTTGGCCTGTTGTTGCTTGTATATCTGTCTTGCGTAGACGATTTCCTCAATTGTGCCCGACGATACCAGACGGAAGACTTCAACGTCTCGTGTTTGTCCGATTCTGTATGCGCGGTCTTGGGCTTGGAGATCGTACGCTGGATTCCAGTTTGGATCTACAACCACGACCTTGTTGGCAGATGTAATGTTCAGCCCGACTCCACCCGCCTTCGTGCTAATAAGGAAGACGAACTGATTTGGATCAGAGTTGAAATCTGCGACGGCTTTTGCGCGGTCATCATAAGACATGCTTCCATCTAGATAGGAGAAGTTGTATTTTGTACCATCAATGTCGAAGAGTGATTTGAGGAGTCGAAGGAGGCGGACAGAGTGGGAAAATACTAGAACCTTGTCGCAATTCGCGTGCCAAAAATCGAGAAGGCGTTTCAAAACTTTCCATTTACCACAAAACTCGCGCTGGGACTGGTTGAAAATGCTGTCTTTGATGCGGTAAAGATCCTTCCAGTTTTCTGGACAAGCTAGTTGTAGATTATCCAGATCTTTTGCTTGTTTCTCCGGAGCGTCCGTGCTCATAGGTAGCAAAAGAGCGAGATGATTTGAAAGCTTCTGTAGAGTGACCATGCACGGAAAGGTGAAGCATTGCCATTTCCCCTTGTGTGGGATTTCTGTATAGCAACACCAACCCCGTGTTTTACCAGAGCCACAGTCACATGGTTCGGTTGCCCTACGGATACAATCAAACGTGTCAGTTTCGATAAGTGTCCGATAAGCGTCTGCTTGCGTTTCTGTGAGCGGACAGAAGACAACTAGATCTCTTTTCTTTGGGAGTTGATCTGCAATCAAAGTTTTCATCCGCCGAAGGAATACGTCGGGGAGGACCTCAGTGACTAGCTCTTGCGCCTTGTGTCGTGCATTGCCTAGTTGTTCGTTCGTTGCGTCATGTGCTTGTCCGATTTTGAGAGGAGTGCAAACGAGCTGCTTCCACTCTTGTGAGGACCCATAGGACCCAGGTCTCACCCAGTTTAGGAGAGCCCAAAGCTCCTCGTACTTGTTTTGTATGGCTGTGCCCGTGAGGCCGATCCGACAGAGTGCATTGACTTTGTTCATCGCCTTTGTGACTGCTGCATCTCTGCTCTTGATCTGATGGCATTCGTCTGCGATGACACAGTCCCAGTCTACGGTATTGATCTGGCCCTCGTTCATCCTGTATGTCGTATATGTGGTTATCATGATCTCGGCCATTCCCTTCTTAGCTGCGTCAAGAACAGCTGTCTTTTCTGATGTGTTGCCGTGGTACTTGTGAACGTCCCACCAGCCCCATCTTTCGAGCTCATCTTCCCAGTTTTGCATCAAGGTGCCTGGGCAAACAATGAGGATCCTGGGATACCAACGGCGATCCCCTAGTCGTCGCACTTTTCGCATCCGTTTCGCATCCGAACTGAACCCTGTCTTGCCAAAGGCCGCGGTGAGAAAGGCGATAACTTGGATAGTCTTACCTAAACCCATGTCGTCGCCTAGTACAGCGCCTGTTTGCCGAACGAATCGTTCATGAAGGAAGCGAACGCCGTCTACTTGATAGTCTCGCAACCACTGGGCGATTGGAGGGGGAATAATGCCTTGCGATTCCCGAAGCTTAATGCCTGCATATGGTCGCTGAGGCTTGACCCCACTGAAGACAGGTCGCTCTTCAGAATCCGAGCTAGAGCAATCGATTCCATTATACGACGGTGGATATCGCAAACCAGATTCGTGAAGCTGCCTCAACTTGCGCCTCCGTGAATCGACGTAATCAGGGGGCGGGTCGTCTAGGTATGTTTCATTTCCTGCATCACGCTCGGAATTAGAGTCATCACCGAAGAGGCTTAATTCTCCTGGGCGGGCTCGTTCAGCATCCTTGCTGGGGTTTTTAGCTTGCAATTTCCTTCCGATGATACTGGTTGCCGCTGCAGCTTTCGATTTCTTCTCAGATCGAATCCGCTTGGTTTCAGCAGCAACACGCTTTCGCTTGAGAGTCCGGCGGTTCTTGAACTCTTTGTATGCAGCTTCTGGATCTTCATCAAACAGATCAAAATCGGATTCTTTTGCCGATGCATCTGATGGCGCTTCACTCTCGGGATGTGAGTTGCTCTGTATGGCTCTGTACCATCTTGGTTGGGCCGGATTTGCTGTCAAAGATTTTTTATCTTGGATTTTATCATTATCGCTGTGGTTGGATTCCTCGATGATTTCCTCCCCTTCGTTGTCTTGGGTTTGATCCTGGGTCAGCGCATTGATGTATTGTGATATATCGAGACCAGTTTCGTCATCGGTACTTGGCTGGTCTTCAGTGAAAGCCCTTAACCCTTTCTCGTGATTACCCATGCCGCCCGAGTGGCCCGGTAGGAGTAAATGCCAACGAAGTGTTTCTCGCTCGGTCGCTCTTATTATGTAAGTCGGCTCACTTGGTGATAGTGAAAATGGCAAATATGGAGCCGGAGGATGGCACTGGCGGTGAAGGCAGATGCCTATTATGCCTCATCGGGCAGACGCTAGATTGGTCACTATCTGACGTGGAACGAGAGTGAATATGTTGGTAAGAGCAACTTAAAACATTTCAGCGAGACAGTGAAAGGCTGATCACGGGTCAGAGCGGGTTGAAGGTATGCGAACGCGGTTTCACGTGGGAAGCGGGGCTGCCTGGCCCTTGCATCCTTAAGCTTTGACCCCTTCCCATTCCAAAGGTTGAGGGATGAGATGGAAATTAATTTGGTCCCTCAACAGAGAAGGGATTTGATTTTGGAAAGCAGCATGTGAGACCAGGAGTTTGTTTGGAGATAGATAGGGTCTCTGCAATTCCAAAGATAAGACGCTATGGGGCACAAGACCTTCCGTCCCCCTTTGCTCTGTCGTTAGCTAGGGAGGTTGATTTTCAAGGCGCGCTAACACGCTTTCACGCAAGCAGGACTTGCCCAGCTCGACCCTTGCATCCCCAAGCTCTGACCACAGCTAAGATAATTAACCTGGTGCTAGTTTCCACCCGTAAGGTTGGTTCAGATGTCTTTCACTGTGTCCGTCCCTTGAGCACCAATCGACTACAAAATGCCTCTCGACACCTCAACATATACCCTCGCGCTCCTGCGCCTTGATGGCCGGCGCTGGAACGAGCTTCGGCGCATCCACGCACAAATCAGTGTGCAGGCTGCCGCGGACGGCTCTTCGTATCTCGAGATGGGCAACACCAAGATCCTCTGTACGGCTACCGGGCCCGCAGAAGGGAGACAGATAGGGCAGAGGGGAGGGAAAGATAACGAGGCGAAGCTCGAGGTGGAGATTAATCTCGCAGGTTTCTCGGGCGTAGATAGGAAGAGGAGGAGGGTTGGTGATAAGTAAGATTACTCTAACTATTCCACCATACATCCAACGTTTTGAGGTTATCAATAAAAACTCGCTGAAATAATGCGTAATTCTAGACGGATCACCGAACTCGAACACACTCTGAAGAGCGTATACGCCTCCCTTGTCCTCACCCACCTCTACCCGCACTCCACCATAACCCTGCATCTGCACATAATCTCGCAAGATGGTTCCCTCCTCGCCGCATGCATAAATGCCTCCACACTCGCCCTCATTGACGCCGGGATTCCCATGGCAGACTACCTCGTCGCATGCACCGCCGCCTCATCCGCAACTTCCGATTCCTCATCTGACAACTCCGACCCGCTGCTAGATTTGAATAGCCTCGAGGAGCAGGAGTTGCCGTTTCTGACAGTGGGCACGTTGGGGAAGACGGAGAGAGTTAGCGTCTTGTTGATGGAGACTCGAGTGCGCAACGAGAGGGTGGAGGGAATGCTGGCGGTGGGGATTGAGGGCTGCAAGAGCATGAGAGATATTCTTGATGGCGTTGTGAAGGGGTATGGGAAGAAGTTTATATGAAAAGTGACTGTGAAATGACCAGATCAGGGCCAAGCAATGTTTACTGCAAGCACGACGGATGTTTGGGAGATATGGCAACTATGATATCAGGATACTCACACGTCCATCGTGTACGGATTACTGAGCAGAAGCCATCCCGTTCTGGCTTGCACTGAGTGCGACATCTACCGAAGACAAATCAAGTAAGGAAGAGAAGTTATACTATCGGCAAATACCCAGAATAGTGATCAGCTCCTCCCTGAAATGCCTCAGTAGTCCAGCAAAATCCCTTGAGGAACTTCCACCTACCATCCAATAAGAGCCTATCAACTGGATGCAAAAATCATGGAGCGTTTTTAGTATGGAAGCAAGGCAGATAAACGCTTGAATTCGTAAGAATGCCATGCTTAATCCATATTCAATATCGTCGCATAGCCCGAAATCCCGTGTAGATGTAATATAGTACCCAAGAAAACAGCCAGCTGGTATCATAGTTGAAAAGGTCCCTGATCCAGGTAGCTATGAAAGAATTCACAGATACTACCAGATGGTCCGCCTGTAACCACGCTTATTTGCCTGCTTGCACCAGAGAGAGAAGCCGTCTACTCTACCTCCTAATCGGTCGTAAGTCGAGAATAGATAACAGAGTTTCCAGAGCTTCGTCTTGACTAGCGTGATCGAATCTTCTGTGCCACATGCACGGTTTACAGCTCAACGCCGATTCGCAACGTCCGCAGCCCAAACCCTTTGTCAGATCCAACTGTAGTATGCTCTATACCGTTTCGTGATTCAAGCACGCGTCACATATCGAACTCTAAAAAACTTCAACCACGCACTAACTGGTCACTTGCACCTAGCTTCCTCATTTCCCCGTTCTCCACCTCCCGTCTGCCACAACTTCAAACTTAACTCTTCTTCCCCTCGATCGCACCGCATCCACACCACCCGCATCCAGCCACCTCCCCAGATTCTTGCACTGAGAAACATCAAAGAACTCTAAATCTCTGCACCCTTCCACGACAGCCTCCACACCATTCCCGGTTACGCGAACGCACCCACGGACGGAGAGTTGTTTGAGCTCGAGCAAGTGGAGGGAAATGGAACGGAGGGACGAGTCGGAGACGGCGGAGCCGCAAAAGGCGAGGTTGAGGTGGGTGAGGGAGGTGAGGCCAAGGGCTAGGACTTCGGTTGCTGTGTCGGAGAGGGCGCAGCAGAAACTCTGAAACCGACTATATCAGTATTCATTCATATCATCAAAATCTGTACGATTGTGCGAGTAGGGAGAGTTAGGAGCGGGGATTTCTCGGACATACCAAATCCAATTCCCTCAAACCTTTCGCGGCATTCGTAAGAGACACAATGGCATGATCCGTCAAATACGTACAATCCGCCAACACCAATTTCGTCAACCTCGGAAATGGATAAACACTCCAATGTTGAAACCCAAGATCCGTAATCGTCGTACATCTCGTTAAATCAATCTGCTCGATGCGATTCGCCGCATGCACCGCAATATGGGCCATCGACCGATCCGTGATATGTTTGCAATAGGAGAGGGTTAAGCGACGCAGTTTCGGGCAACCGACGATGGTGCCTGGGGGAAGTGGTTGCGGGACGGGTTGGTTGGGTTGCCCAGGTTTCTGTTGCTGGCTGTAGGCGCGATGACGACCGTTCATTTGGGCGTGCGCGTTCATGGCGGCCATTTGGGGTGGGAGTTCAGGGACGACCCAGCCGATCACTCTAGCAAGGAGGTTGTCTCCTACTTTTCTGCAGTTGCTGAGATCGACCTCTTCGAGTCCTTTAGCCTTGTTGACCATTTCGAGGACAGCAGGACCAGTGATATCCCACACGCTTTTCATGCGCCAGATTTTGACATTAGGACCACATGTTGTTGCAAGCGCGGCGAAGCCTTCGTCGGTCACATGGAAGCAGTTGCTGATGTCTACGACTCTTGGGCGGGCGCCTACGAAGGGGCATATTATATCAGATAAGGTGCGGTCGGTTACTCTGCGATTGTATCTAGTAAGGTCGAGACTGTCTAGAATATCGTGCGAGGTCGTAATGATTTTAAGCCAGTGCATCGACACTCTTCGCATTATCATCAGCTCGCCAACGTCAAGGCCCTTGAAGATTTCAATTAGGATCGGATCTGGGAATATTCCTTGACCAAATCGGCTTGGTCGCCGGATGATCCTCGGCCGTTTGTACGCGGCTGTTAGCTGTGGCGGGGTTGACGAATGCTTCGGTAAGGGGGAGGGAGACAGAGGAGTTCCATTGGGTGAAGGAGACTTTGGCTGCGAGCCATTTGAAGTGCTTTGGGGTGGCTCAGGGGTTGGAGGGGCTAGAGATCCTCTTCGCGATCTCGATCTCATGTTGTCGAGGTCTGGGTTTAGGAAAGGATCTGGGTCGTACGGCTCTATCACCGATCTCTCTTCCCTTCGAGAGGGAGTTAACGGCGTATCTATTGTGCTAGGAGTTTCGCTGAAGGTGACAGTGGGCACACTCTTTTTCCTTGGTGTCCGGGGTAGGATAATATCAACAATTGCTAGCTCGTCAATCTTCGGAGTGTTGTCTATTGCTTCAGCCATGTGTGTATCGGTATCTCGATTGGCTTGTAGGCGCTCTTTTGCGACCTTCTCAACTTGCCGGCGGAGGTCTGGAGAGCACTTCTCCCACAAGTCATTTAGGACGTCTCCGCTGATCATGAGACATTCAACCGAGGAGATGGATCGAACGGTTGCTGTTCGGCGAGGAGCTAGGGACAGACTGGTCACTTCGCCGAAATACTGTCCAGCCCTCAAGCGCGCCTTCAACTCTGAGAAGCTGTGTTCTCCCCCCGCAATGGACTTCCTCCGCATATGCATGGTCGCGTGACCGTTCTCTTCTGGTGGTTTAGTGTTTAGGATCTCGACCTCACCCCGAACGATGAAATACACGTCGCGCCCCGTAGTGCCTTGTTGGACGATATCGGTAAAGGGAGGGAAGGAGCAAGGGTGGGCATTCAGTCCGATGAAGTGGAGGATGTCAGCCGGGAGGCTCGAGAACAGCGGGAGTTCTTTCAGCAAAAGTCTCACATTGACACTCCCGCTGCCGAAAACGCTCAACGCTGCGGCCTCGGCGAGACCTGGGCTCGGGGACTTTCTCTTCTTGTAGGCACTAACGACCTCTCCGTCTCTTAGGATGCCAGAGTCGCCCATTTCCACGTCTCCGTCCACTCTGTCTCGCGTGCGCTTACCGTTTCGCTGGAAGGCCTTAGTCAGCTCCTTTGTGGTGGAGCCGCCGATTTCCTTCTTCTTGCGCTCCAAGATGGACAGGCGTTCCTTTGCCTCCTCCATGATCGCTCTTTCCACGTCTGGGAAGTTGGGCAGTTCTTTCTTCAAGTCTTCCTTGTTCAGTCGCACAACCAGAGACCTTGTGTTTGCTATAATAGTGGCGGTGCGGGGGATATCCATCAGGATGCCAATTTCGCCAAAGAAAGCGCCGGGCTTTAGCTCAGCGTATGTGCTCTCTCCATCTCGAGATGTGACACGCACAGCACCGCGCACCAACCAGTACATCGCCTTCGCATGGTCACCCTCGGTGAGAATATAGTCGTGCGGCTGGTAGAGCTGCGGCTTAAGGTGCGCGCCTATTGCAGCGAGGAACGAGTCAGGTGCGGAGAGGAACAATGGGAACGATCGTAGGCGGTCGAGCAAGTCCAGTGGCAGGCCCTGGATCGTGGAAGCGGTCAATGGGGAGGGGCGGATGGGCCTGGTCGGGTTTGTCTCGGACTCGTAGGCGCGGATCATGGAGAAGGGGTCTGGAATGGCCCCGCCGTTAACCCTGGCATGGGCAGCAGGGCTGCCGGTCCTGTACCTGCGCATCGCGGGAATGGCAGCTGTTGGCGTGAGCCCAGAGGGGAGCGAAGAGTAGGAGCGAGTGGCCGCAGCCCGGGGGCGAGAGGAGCGGAGCGGTGTCAGACGGACAGCGGACGTGCAGAAAACTTGTGGTCTGCGATTTGGGGGGATTCAGTAGTGTTCAGTGGGCCCGCATGGCGGTGGGAGTATGCAGGAGTCGAAGCGTACGGCTGGCGTTGTGGTCGACAAGTGCTCTGGCGATAAAGCGAAGTGTGGGCAGAGTGCAAGCGTCAGCACTCATTGGCGGCGCGATGATGTGGGTGGAGGCTGCGCGGGCGGCCTGCGGGACTCCGGGACTAAGGGATTGGACGCGGAGTGGCGCCAGACGGAGGAGCGCAATGGCCACGAGGGACAGTGTCTGCGGAAGAGTGTCGCGAGGTGTGTGCAGGGCAAACTGTCGTGGATGCGGTCTCCCGTGGTGTCGTACCTAGGTATGCAACGAGGAGCGATTGACACTCTGCGCGAGATCTGGAGGCTTGGTCTGTCGGGTGGTCCCAGGATTGCGACAAATCAAGCGGCATCAGCTGGGCGGGCGGGGCACATGGAAGCAGCCAATTCTTCTGGAAGCCGTGTCAGCATCGAAGCTTAACTCTAAAACGCGACAGAGGGAGCTCGTGCGCTGGACTTCCCGAGCCCTATTTCGACTTCGTCGCAGGCCATGTCTCTTGTCGCGCGCTGTCTGTCGCTGCTGTGTCTAAATTCACTACTGCGTCCGCGTGCGCACCGAGGCTCTTGTCGACCCCGTCCAAAGCGTGCTGCCGGGATCACAACCCAACTCCGGTGTGGCCGGCTATTATTATTCATTGAAAGCAGAACGGGATCAGGGCCTGGGCACTGTGCACTGTACTGCGTCCACAGTGCACACCACTCAAACCCCTGACCGCCACACTTCTCAGCCGCGTCCATCGGTCGACCCTTGCTCTGTGCAGTGGCTGGTGTCACATCACCCTCAAGCGCCGCAGCCGTCTCATCTAAAACACAACCCGCATCCGAGTTGCTTCATTCATTGAAAAATCTGATGGGGGTATAGATTATCTAGCATGCACCTAGGTCAGCAAGCCGTACCCATACCACTGGCCGTTGTAATTTCGTCAATTCATCCTCGTATCGACGCCGACGCGTCCGTGAGGGATCCAGGATACTTGTCCTTCCCATTCCTAGTTCTTATGTTTAGTCTGGTTTAGTAGGAGTCGCGCTTCCTGTGCCGACGCTCCTCCCGGCGCTCCTCCTCCTCAAACTCCCTGTCCTTCCTCCTGTCGTAGGCCTTCTCGGCCTCTCGAGCACCAAGCCCGCCAACCACGGCACCTGCGATCGTCATCAACGTGCTGCCCTTGTTGACCTGGTTCCCAAGGAAGCCTCCAGTTAGAGCTCCTACAATGGTAGCGGTGGCTCGATGATGGCTGGGCGACTTTGAGCGCACACGCTGCCGAGATGGGGAGTGGAAACGAAGCCGGTGGGAGTGACGGGGAGGAGAGTGAGAGAACGAACGCCGTCGTGAGGGCAAGGCGCGACCACGGGGATATGGTTCATATCCGTCATACTTTGATGTCTCAGGCCGTGGGGCGACTCTAGGGGCTGGTGATGGTCCCCGAGGCTACTCTCATACTCAGCAATTGAAAGGTAAGCAAAAAATACGTACGAAAATGAACACGTACAGCAGCCTGATATCCGCCCAAGTACCCATATGCTCGACCACCTCCTCGCAGAACCGCCCTGTCACTAGCGGAGGAAGCAGGATAGTACACACCACCCCCAGTATCTCCAGCACGAGACGCATATGAAGCGTCTCTGTCCCTATCTTCCCTCTTATCACGGTCTCTGTCCCTGTCACTGTCTGGCACATACATCGACCTATGGTCATCGTCGTCAGACTCCGAATCAGAGTCTTCACGATCTCTCAACACTCTTGGCTCTGAATGCGTTCTCAGCTGCTTCTTAATCTTCTTTCTCCTGCCGAATCGTCCGGGAAATTTATGGTGATATTTTTCAGCAACTTTATCCAGGCCTATGAGGCCAAGTTCCTTCGCAGCGACAGTGTGTTAGCACAATCCTACCACAGTCGCATCCTCTTACTAGATAAAGGCGGGAAACAGACAATGGGGTGGATTAAGGCTTCAAGGCTCGGATATGTTGAAAGGTTATACATACCACGAAAGCGCCAGTTTCTTCCGCCATGGCCATCCGCAGTGCGCCGGCGACGTGCTCGATTCCCCGGAACATTTGAGTCGCAGCTGACAATCCTCGCCTATTTTGCGCTTGCCTGTTTCGGGAAGGCAGGTGTATTTGTGCAGGATGATGTCAAGCTTCGGCTAAGGGCTCTGGCTGTGGCGTTTTCAAGGAAGCGTTGGTGCTAAACTGCAGCTTTTTGGTGATGGCGGTATGTAGGTGAGTGTAGCGTTCGTAAGAAAGAGTGGAGGTTGAGGAGAGAAAGTTAGAGACTGAGGGAAAGGGTTAAGAAAGGGTTTGGGAAAGCTGAGAGAGAAAGAGACGAGTGGGTGCGTTGTAGAAAACGGGTTTCGCCATTGTTGATTTGGCAGTCAAATTTCAAAGGGTACGGTGAAGGGCAGATAACTAAAGTTGCGGTAGACAGAAGGCAACAACGACAGAGCGAGCGATTAGGTGAGTGGTGGGCCAATCAACGAACATGATTGAACAAGCACGGTGAGTACCCAGGTAGAGAGAGAATAATATATCCGCCACAGGAGAGGAATAGATGGGGGGGTAGAAAATGAGGCGAAACATCACCACCCAATGTTTGATCCTTTCGTGGCTTTTGCAGTTCTTCATCGTTTGGACCTTCAATTCAATTCGACCTTCACTTCATTTCACATATACGAACGGGTTTCTCATAACAGTGCATTCACATTCAGGTATCCATCCAACTCAGCATAAACGCCTCAGAAGATGAATGGTAATGCTCGAAATAGGAATCTCAACAACCAAGCCCCGGGGAGTAGTTCCCCTCCATCACTAGTCCACTGTCTAAGCCTTAGCTGACTCCAACAGCTTTCCATGCTGCTCCGGGTGCGTCTTCTCAACATTTCCCTTGGCCATCTTTTTCATCATGAAATTTCCATCAATCTCTACATCCTCGACCAGCTTGCCGTCCTTGACACGCCACTTTCCTGCAATGGTGAGCACGCCCACTGGAGGCTTGGCGTTGACGAGAGAGTCGACGCCGTCGGGGACGTTGGTGAGTGTGAGCTTGTAGGTTGTCTAGGAGCTATTAACACGGGAATTTTAAGGACAGGAAGTATGCTACTAATAGAGCGAGCTCGGGGTGGCCATGCATTAAGGGAAGCGATACATACCTGGCCAATAGGCTTCTTGTCTGTTACAGAATAGGTAGCAGTGCTCTTCGCATCGCCAGACTCGAATTCGTAAGAAATGAGAGCTGGGCAGAGGGTCTTGATCATCAAGTCATGGTTGTGTAGCGCAGTTAGCACGGCATCAACCTCAAGACCAGCAGGGATTGGAGTAGACACGTTGGTGGTAGACATTTTGAAATGGTATGTAAATGAAGAACGGGTATAGAACTTAAAGGAAGATGTGAAGAACCGCGAAACTCGTGGAGATTATTTAGAGGCTAGGACTGTGTGATGAGAAGTAGAAATCTCTGTTTCGTCTGAAGAACTAAATGTACTTGAAGACATGACATTCTTATATATCTCCAAAGGCTTGATTCCCCAGGCTTCTATACGCTGCCCAGATGCTCATCATCATCCATCTTACCTGGCCTGACTACTAACTTACAGACACCCACCGTATCCAAAATAGAGTTATCCGAAATTCTTAGGTCGGCATAATTCTCCCTCCGTCCCGTCGCCCTCCGCCATTCACAACCAGCAGATCTTGCTCAGCCTTCCACGTCGAGCCCTATTACTGAAGCCATGACAGAAAGGGTCGCCAGGTACGCAGTTCTGAACCTCCGTCCGTGATGCGCGACCGCTCGGGCCGTTACGGATCTCCACTGTAGGCCCAGCCTTTCCAGCCCGCTGAACAAACTTCAAAGAGGGAGCCAGCAGGTTCGCGGCTGTGGGACGAGTAAAAAATGGGCGGCCGTGGGGCTCACGCAACTTGTCATCGGCTCCCCGCAACATGTCTGAGTGCAAGCTCCGCTAACCGCCAATAGTGGTTGGGCTTGGCGGGATTTGGCAGTCATGTAAGCGGCCTGCTGTTCTGTCGGCAAAACACCCAGTTTCGTTTCACTTGCGCAATAGCGCTGTGCTGAGATCTTCATTGGAATAAATTTGGGGTTGCGTTGCGGGGGCGGGTGTGTTAGCGATGACGGATCCATGTGCGTTGGAGAAACCATGGCATTTGGCGTTACTATATTTTGGCGATGAGATCGAGGAAATAACCGAATGGAGTAGGGCCTACGCACAGCTAGCTGACATAGCGGCGAGTTGTTTTAAGGGGTGTTTGTAGCCGCTATTGGTTAAGAATCGCATTCTCAGTGTCAGCTACAATGAAAAGATGAGAGAGAGAGTACTATGTTTCAAGGCATCTCGGGATGTGAGCATATGCTAATGTAGCTTGTAAGTGAGCATCGTCAGCATTCAAGTTGCGTGTAGACAAGACAATGTATATTTACATTAGATATTTAGAAATGCTAGCTGGACATAAGGAAATATCTGGCAAGTGGCACTCCACGTCTCTTCATTTCGAGAGTCCATGTGGCAACTTCAAACACCCGTTCACACCGAACACCGCTGCCCGTGCCAGCCAACTACCGATATCTCGGTTCTTTTCCCCGCCGACCATCCGACATCAGGAAATCTAACTCAAACTTGAAGCTGAAGCTAAAGCTTCGACTCAGCAGCGGCAGCCTCCTCTACCTTCTTCCCGGTAAAGCTGACTCCAACATTCGCCTGCACAGTCCCACTACGATTGATAAGCCGCAACTTGCGTCCCCTTGAAATGGGCTCGTCGTCATCCTTTTCACGAATATAGTATGCCCAGTCGGCTGTGGGGTCAAGCTCAGTCTGACTATATCCATTTCCGAGCCAGGCAAATCGATTACCGTTGTACTTGATGTCCCAGTCGTCGAGGCGCAACTCCATCATCGCTTCGATGTAGTGCAGGGTGCTGCCAGGCCAGAGAGCCGTGACGGGGCCGTCGGGTCGACCCTTGTACCAGGATCGGCAGGGGTCGTGCCAGACAGTCTTTTGCATGAATCGGTCTTTGTGCGCGATGAAGTCTGCGACCGCTTCGGCCTTTGGAGCGAACTGCGAGATGTTGTTTGTCTGGAATCGATCGATCAGCTTGAGCATGTAGTCGGCTTGACATTCGATGGCAGAGAGTACGGGGCCGTTTCCAATGGGGCAGTTAGGTCCGAGGAAGATGAGGTAGTTAGGAAATTCGGCGGCCGCGATGCCGAAGTACGATTGCGCTTCGTCCTTCCAGATGTCTTGCAGGTTTTTACCACTGGGACCAACGATAGGGAATCGGGGCTTGAAGGAGGTGTTGAAGCCGGTTGCGCAGATGAGCACGTCGACTGGGTATTCATTGCCATTGTCGCAAAGGCATCCCTTCTCGGTAATTTGATTTATCTCGCCGTAGACGACCTCAACGTTCTCCTTCCCGAGAGACTCCAAGTAGCCAACGCCAGGCGTCAAGCGACGGCAGCCGACGTGCCAATTGGGAATCAGCCGCTCTTCCAGATATGGGTTCTTCAACTTCTCTGTCATCTGCTGCCTAAAGTACACTTCAGTGTCGTTGTTTGTGTTTGTTCCCTTTAAAAATATCCCAAACTGGCCGTTCAAACCCCTTTCAACATTCTGCCTGTACTCAGTCAAGACATTGGGTTTCGTCGCGAAGTCGAGGCGCTCCTTATCGGAGAAGACGTGCTGTTCAAGGCCCTGGACAGGCGACACCCAGGTTGGCTCGCGAATGAAGGTGGTGACTTTTCTAACGTGGGGCTGGATCGTGGGAAGGACTTGGATACCGGAAGAGCTGGATAAAGTAAGTGAGGAGAGCCTTTTTGACGACCGCAGGGCCTTACCCATTGCCAATCAATCCAACGTGGCGCCCGTGAAGATCAATTTTTTCATCCCAATTAGCCGTGTGCAAAAGCACGCCCTTGTACTTGCTGAGTCCTGGGATAGCAGGCCATTGCCAATTGTTCAAAATTCCTCCGGCGTTGACGAGAATGTCGCAATGGTCGAGGATGGTTTCGTTCCTCTTCAAGTCCTTGATATGCACGTCGTAACCGCCATTCTCATTATTCCAGTATGCGCTAATGACTTGATGTTCGATCTTGCAAAACTTGTGTAGACCATATTTCTGCGCAAAGTCGTTGAAGTACTGGAAGATTTCTTTGGAACTGGCATAGACAGCAGACCAATCGAGCTTGGGCTCAAATGACCATGTGTAGTTGTGCGAGGGGACGTCGCATGCGCACCTAACCCGTCTTAGCTCGGTTCTGATATGCCTTTGCCGCGGGAAAGGTGTTGCCAAGTCGGTAGACTTGGGGTGAGATGCTCCCACCTCCAATTTGACTTACCCTGGATATCGATTTTCCCACCACGTTCCGGACACCTCTGGGTTCTTCTCATAGACGGTGAGAGAGAAGTTTGTGAAGTGGCGCTGCAGTTTGTATGCCATCAAGAGGCCAGATGCTCCGGCTCCAATGCAAATGACGCGGACATGTCGCTGGGCGTGAATTGGTCCTTGTAACCGATGCTGAGTATCTGTCTCAGGCCGGTTCGTAGACGGAACAATAAAATTTGCCATTGTGCAAAGGGCTATAGAATTGATATGCTCGAGCGAAAGCAAGAAAGCAATCAGGGAAAAGATACTCAACAAAGATGGATGTCTTGTGCAGGTGCGAGAGCCTGAAGAGCAACTACCGAATCAATAGGCGGAGCAAAGTGTGCTGATCGTCCTAACTCACGCAATATACTGGCTAGCGGGAACAGAGGGGAGAGTAGATAGCAAGCAGAGAAACACGAACGATAAGCTGCAGGTGAAGCTCCCAAAAAGACCTTTATATCGTAGCTCTCTCTGTCTACCCAAGGGAGTCATGCAAAATCCAAATGCCTTATAACACGAGTCAGCTTGTGGGCTGTAACAGCCGGGCCAGGGACAATATCCGGGGAAAGATGCACGATTCGTGGACGTAGCCGAATGAAGGATTCCTTATTCGTACTGCATTTTGCGAAGGTAAAGCATTTCCGCTGTACCGCACTAAGAAATTCGTGTCTAGTTGTGCACCCCACCACGTTTCTGAGCCGCATTGAAAGTGTAGAGCCACGAAAAAACAGCCTATGATCAGGAGATTCAACAGACGTACGACAAATCTAAGTCCCCTGAATAGTAGGTTGGGCGTTTCCAGACTTGTCACTACCGGAGTGGCGACGAGCATCTGATGGAGTCAAGATTCGACTGGGAGGCAGCGGAGGCTACTTTACGAATCGAGCATTCATTCTAGCGCAGACTCCACTTCGGTTTTAGTTAATCGACTTTGTACAGTTCTAATTCCTAACTAAGCATCCCCTTCACCGTTCACCTCTCCTTACTGGATAGTAAAGCCTCCATCAACAACCAACGAAGCGCCCACCATGTAGCTGCTTGCTTCTGAGTGCAAGAAAGCAATTGAGTCGCCAATCTCCTCCATATTCGCCAGACGTTGGAGAGGTATCTTCATTCGCTCCCTCTCCATGACATCATTCTGGTTCATGCTGCTCGCAATCAGGGGAGTCGCAACATAACCCGGGCAGATTGCATTGATCTTGATGCCCTGCGGAGCAAATGCAATTGCGTCCGCCCTCGTCAATCCGACCACAGCATGTTTGCTCGTGCAGTATGCCGTCGAGGGCACATTCAGGGAAGGAGCGAGAGTTCCGTACATTGACGCCGTGTTTACAATCGATCCGCGATACGAGCGCTCAAATTCTGAAGGTTTCTCCTGCTTCAGCATCTGCCGAATCTGGGCTCGCTGGCACATCCAGACTCCGGTTGTGTTGACAGCAAGAACTCTCTGAAAGTCGTCTAGATCGACCTGGTCTGTGGTCTTGAGTGTGCCCCCGATGCCGGCGTTGTTCACAGCGTAGTCTATCCGGCCAAACTCCTTGACTGTTTGCAGGATGCTGTCGTTCACAGCGGATTCATCTGCTACATCGAGTCGAATTTCCTTGACGGAAATGTCAGGGTATTTCTTGTTGAGCTCGGTCACGGTAGAGGTGACGGGATTTCGGTCGAGCAGGGCGAAAGATCGGACGCCTTGTCGAGCAAGTGCATATGCTGCAAACTGACCGATGCCTCGTGAAGGTGTCAACTTCTGAGGCACTACGAGGAAGGTTACGGAACCTCAGACTCACCAGATCCAGCGCCAGTGATGTACGCAACACCTTTCAAAGTGAACGCCATTCTATTTTCTTGAGCCCCGCTTAGCCAGGCAGAAATGAAGTATTTGCGAAGCAGTGCCTGCCGAGAGAGGACCAAAATGCATTCTTAATCATGCTTCGAACTGCACCTTTTCGGATAGGCAGCTTCAAGTGCGGAAGTTGCTCTGGCTGCACCGCTCCCACTGCGGGGACGACCGCTTGCCTGGCTAACTCTGATGCTAGACTCTGCTTTTGGCGAGGCTAAGAGAGAAGGTGGGGCAGAGCCTGAGATCCGAAGGCGAATGGGAGGTGGATGACCTTTCCCGGGGTCGTCGGTCTGCGGAGTACTGCCAGCGCGAGTCATGAGCGGGCTTTCACAGCCTTGGCTTCAGCCCAGCCTTGTTAAGCTTGAGGCCTGGGAGCTTGGGTGGTACCTAATCAGGGGCTTTCGAGGGGACCGAGGCATTTGTGGAGGAGACTCGTGATATCGAAATTGAAAGAGGCCGTAGCCAACAACTGCGGACTCTATCCCTTCATAGAATATCGAGACACACCAAGGACGGGATACTAGGTTGCCACGACGATATGATCCTTCGGAGTGAAGGATGGTGAAGGAGGCTGGGTCCACGCTGGGGTTTCCACGTGCTTCCGCGTCATTTTCGAGACTAACCGCCAACGGGTCGCACAGGCCTCCGGTGACTCAATACCCGCTCTGCGGTGCATTTCTCAACACCAACCCCCATTCCATCGTGCGACGCGCCCATCATGGCTGCCCTGCCGACCCACATCGCTCAAACCTCGCGCGAAGTCAAGAAGGAATACAAGAGGCATGGCCCACGATTCTCCGAAGCCGAACAGCGCCAGCTAGAGCGCGCCCTCAAACTTGATCAACGCGCCACGAAAGCCCGAGAGCAAGAAGAGAGGCGAAAAACCGCGAAAACCAAACGCGAAGAGAGGGAACGGAAGGAGAGGCAGGCAAGGAAGCAATTAGGAATGGGATTGGCGACGCAGTTGATCGGATACAGTCACACACAGAAGAAGATGAGGAACGGCATGGAGGCTTTCTTGGGGCTCCGGAGTAGGGACAAAGAGGAGAAGAGGGAGGAGGAGGGGTTTCGGAAGAAGCTGGAGCAAGTTACGGACACGATGGAGAAGGAGCCCTTGGACAATAGTGATGGCGACGATGCCGAGTTAGATTTGTCCGTTTTAGATAAGCAGTCGAGCGGCGACCAGTGGATTGATGATGATTTGGATGACGACGTGCTGCTTGAAGCGCATGATCTAGCTATGTCGGATACTGTTGAGGGAATGCTGGAGTTAGTTCCCGACCCACAACCCCCAACACCAAAGAGTCCGGTCTCTAAATCTTTCAAGCCGGTTACTCCCAAGGAAGACGTGGACTTCCTACGATTACACGGTCCTATTAACAAGACTATCGACGATGCCCTTGGAGGGCTCCCCGGTCCGTTGATCGAGCTACTCTCGCAAGATATTTCCACGAACCTTTCCTATTGGAACCCGGCACCATCTCTCCTACATAAGTTGAACCCTACCCCACTGCCGCCCCATAGACTGCGCATCAAAGCGGGGTGTACTGTGACGCTCCTCCGAGACCTCAACACCACTAGCAAACTGTTGAAAAGCAGTCAGTTGCGCATCTTAAGAGTTGAAACGGAGAGATTAGAATGCATTGTACTGGATGGTCAATTGGAGGGTTCTAACGCGGTTCTAACGCGAGTTCCATTTTCCGCAAAGTATCGTAATGAGGCCCACTATTCCTTCCAAAGGAAGCAATTTCCCATACGAGTATCTACCGACGTCGATTACCAACCCACTCCCCGAAATACACTTCAGGATGGATTCAGGATGCCTTCAGTCCTAGGGCGCACTACCAGACCACTGAGAAGCTTCAAGTCTGCAAAGCCAATATCAAAAGCCATGCCATTGTCGGACCTAAGTGCAAGTTTTAAACTACCCAGGCTCCCTGCATCCAGAATAATGGACTCTCCAGCACCACATAAACCAGATACCCTGGTTACCCCTCTTTTTCCAGATGGTTGGGATGATTTCCTTGATAGCCAGACGCAAATTGCCCGAGAGCTATCTTCAGATAATACGGTTTTGCAGGACAAGCATGCCACCCATGCTAATTCAATAATGTTGTTTTCCACTCAAGAGTTAGATTTCTCTCTATCCGATCTAGAGGACACTAAACCGCACAGTCCACTTCAAATCCCACCTTCAATGTCCCATAAGAAGTCGCCCAGAAGACTCCCGTGGCTTAATGGAAGGTCCAATGTGCAAACATCGACGTTTTCTCCATCACGACCTTCCCAGGACTTGAAACCCAAGTCTGCAATGCCTCCAGCACTAGCGCCCCCGAAGCAGCTCACGCTCAAGCGCAAACCTTCCTCCGACGCCGCTATAAAATCTCTAATAAAGAAGCCAGCCTTCCAACAATCGAAACCAGGCATTGCTCCTATAAAAAGTCACTCACCAAAGTCTCTTGGTTCATTCAGCGAGTTCGGACTTTCCACTCAAGATGTTACCGCAATGTTGAATAGCGATGAGACAATATGGTCTTCCCCTCCAATCGTTGTATGAGGGAACAGTCACATTTATTATCTCGAGGCGTTGGATACCCAATAATGTTTACTTCTTTTAGGGTGTGGCTACTAGTGTGCATCGAATGGAATCCAAAAGATATTATGAGCTTCATATCGCTGTTTTGGAAAAGGACCTCCCTTTCTTAGATCACCATATCCGCATCATCGTCCTGTCCACCTCCTATCCCTTCTTCCTCCTCATCCAGATCTTCTAGGGGAAAGGTAAGGATAGCAGCGATGTTCCCTAGCCCCTCTAACCGCTTTCCGCTCTCGTGCAACGAGCTCAATACTCGGACCTCTCCGCCTTCAACTTCCCTTACCCGATCTACTAATCCCACCCAACGCTTTCTTTCTGCTACATTCTGAGCACGGAATAAGGCATTTGAGATTAACAGTACGCCGCCTCCTCTGCCTACGGCGCCCTTCTCTACCGCCTGCTCAACTTCTTTAGGTCCATACCACGCGCGACCATCGTCTTGTCTAAGAAGTGAATGGAATCTGTCCATGAGTGCTGTTTCTCGTGCGTATTTCGTGTCGGACAACGTCGATCTAATAGCTGGTGAAGCCAAGACCTCTGACAAAGAGTGTACATGTGGAGACGAGGAATGCGCGACCATTATGCTCGGTATTATGGCTAGTAATGGTTTATTCGTTGTCCGGATTGCCTCGCCCTTGAGATATGATAGAAATGTCTGCGCAAGGAAACCTGGGCTTGCGAGGAGCAAGGGCACGGTCTTGTCCGTTTGGGGTGATGAGTTGGCAAGGTCGAGATGGCGGAGGAGAGTCGAGAGCGTGGTACTGAAAAATTTGTCCATGGCTTTGTTGTGTCCGTCTATTACGCCTTTCCGTTTCCGCGGGACAGGGACCTCAATGCGTTGACGAAGGATGGTTTGGTGTTCTGTGATTACGCAAATATTCGCTATTCCTTCACCCATTACTACCGCCCATAACTCTGCACGCTTCTCAGAATCACACGCCTCTCGCAGTAACCCCAGAGCTACTGAATCCCAGCCATTACCCTTTTCTAATGTGAATTTTCGCTGCAGTTCAAGGTCGAGGGTGTGATGTGAACCGAGCTTGACGTGCTCGTTTTCGGAAGCGACCTTGCCTGCGACATGCAGTTGGCCGCTGCCAATGTCGAAATCAGTCGAGATTACTGAGATCGTGAGATCCATGGTAATGCGCGTGGAAGCGACAGAACCGCTATCTGAGGTCTTTGTGACGCGTCGGATGGCGCGGGCGCGGAGACGGTCTGAGGGTTGGATTATGTTGTAGGCGTGCCACTGAATGTTGTTGTCAGAATGAATTTATATGGAAATATGAAGACAGAAAGGTTACCATATCCTCAGGCTCCTCTGGTAGGAGGGTTGCAAAGCCTGAGCCATGCTTCTGGTCTATTTGCGACTTGAGGAGGCGCATTTTAACGATGAGCATAAACTGTTCTGGTCAGGAGGGGAGAATAGTTTTAGAGTAGAAATGTACGCCCAGGTCGTCTTGTGACCTTGTGCGGACAGCGTTGGAGGCGGTTTCACTGACACGTTGTTCCCGCCAGATGCACTTATCCGTGATATGTTTATCGATAACGGTTCACAGGATCGTTCTACTCTTCCGTGTGAGATAAAACGCCAAAGGTGCACCATCGGAGGCTCGGCATTGCACCAGCCCGACGAGCTCCGATGCCCCCTGCTTAAGTCGTGACTGGTGCATCTTAGCCTAAGAACAACTAGAGTTAGTGTATAAAAGCTCCCTATCTAGTTTTAAATTAAATATTACACAACTTTTTATAATTATTAAGTCTAGGACCAGTCCTGCACCTGTCTTACTTCTGCTAAACACTAATGCAACACTATTAAAGCACTATTAAGAGTAACATTTACCTATTTACTACTAGTTCTTGCTTAATAATGCTTAACTTTTTTTTTATAAGAGATCTTAAAGTTGCTAACATAGGTCTACTTTTTATACTAAAAAAGTAATAATTTTTTTTTACTAAGTAATATTTATATCTATTAATAATAAAAAACTTATTATATTAAAATAGCTATTATAAGTATATAAAGTAAAGTGTATACCTTAGTGCTACTAGTGCAACTTTTAAAGATGTAGTAGAGCTATTATAAAAGTAAATTAGTAGTAAACATTAATTAAATAAAAGCTAGACAGTATACTATTTCTTTAAGAGGCTCTTTAACGTACTTTATAGGCAAGTTGCTCACACACCTAAGTTGCTTACTTTTACTAAGACCCTACTACACTACTCTTTTTACACTAATGCATTTCTAATAACACTACTTAAACGTGTTAAAAGAATGTTAGATGTAGCTTATGCTTTAGGCTTTTAAATAAGACATAATACTTTCTAACTAACATGCTACAGCTATCTACAGAGTCTCTTAAAAGATAATAAGTAACTAATATGCTAGACAACTTTTTTAAGCTAATTATACAGCTAACTTATAAAAGCTAGATAATAATAAAAAGTAAGTAATTATTTAGCACATACTTAAGCTAGATATGTAAGGATTTCCTCTTTAGCTAGCAGCTATAGCTAATATAGCTAATTCTTTACACGCTAAGTATAATATAGGCTATATTAGCATAAACTAGCTTAATATATTTATTAAGTGTTACTTAAAGCTTAAAGTAAAGTTTAAGTGTAAGTATAACTATAAAAAAGCTTTTTATAAAAATTTTATAGTAATTTAAAGCTAGTTTAACTTTATAAAAAATATTAAAGCTAAGTATAGCATTTAAGATAATAACATATACAACTTTAATAAAATAAAGTTTATAATAGGCTAAATATCTACTAGAGTAGTTATTATAAGTTTAAAGAGATAAGAATAGCTAAAAGCAGTCTAGCTAGGTAACTAAAAGTAGACAACAGCTATCTAGAGTATTAATGCTAAAAAGTAGGCTATTTTGCTTTTTATTATTTTTTAGGGTAGTAACTACTTTTTAAACTAGTATAAAAAAGAAAATTTACTTTAAAATTAAGTTATTATAATTTTTAAGCGCAGCTAGACTACTAATTAGCTTAGTCTAGACTAGTTAAAGCACTTTAACGCGCATATAAAAAAGTGTACTATTAGTAGCTACTATCTGCTAGTTATTAATAGCTATAAAAGCTATAACTTACTTTATTTTTAGTAATACTATAAAGATAATAAAATTATTACTATTTATATACTTTTTTACTTATTACACTTTTTATAGCTACTTAATATAGGTTGTTTTACTCCTTTAAAGAAGGTGTATAAGTGCTAAGCTAAAAACTTTATATATAACTAGATTACTTATATTATAAAAATAAAGTTTTTACTATGCTTTAAAGTAGCTTATAATACTATAATTACTTTTAGTAATATCTAAAAAGGGTTTTAAGGCGCTAGATTAGTTTCTTTTAACTTATAATAAGTTATAATAGGCCTTAATGTAAAGTTATGCACTTTATTACTACTACTACTTATATATAACAAGCCCTAGTAGTTATAAACTTTAAGTAATACCTTAGAACTTAAGTTATAATTAATACTTATAAAAATAAAAATTTAAAAGTATATAAATAGTTTACTAACTTTTATAGTTAAAGTGTTTAAAAAGGTTTTAAAAAGAGTAGTAATAATTATATATAAGCTAGTGTTAGTGTAACAGGAAATTACTAAGCTTTAAGTAGCTAATAAGGCTACTATGTAACATAAATTACATAAAAGAAAGTAGATTAAAGTAAAAAAAACTTTAATAATTTAAAAAGGCCTGTGCTTAACAGCTTTAAAGAAGTTTAAGGCGCGTAGTAATAGAAAGAAGGTAAAGAAGCAGGTGTAAGCTAAAGTAGGTAAGCTATCCTAAAGGCGCTATAAATAGTGCAATTAGACTAGGCATAACGCGCAAATGTGTAAGCAAGAAGCAGAAGTAGTATCTAAATAATATTCTAGGCTGTACTGTACTATATAGTGCTAGAGCAGGTTGTTATAGGCTATAATAGAGTTTGTTAGGGTGGGGTCTTAGCAAAAGTAAGCGACTTGGGTGTGTGAGCAACTCGCCTATGAAGTACGTTATAACTTTAGAAAAAAAAAGTAGATAATATAAAAAAGTTTAACTACTTTTTTTAACCTTAAAGAGTTAATATAGTAGGGTTATAACAAAAATACTTAGTAGTATTTATAGTAAAAATAATATTATTATTTTAAGTAACATACTTTACAGGCAAGTTGCTTACACACCTACGTTACTTACTTTTGCTAAGACTCTACTCTAATAAACTCTATTATAGCCTATAACAACCTGCTCTAGCACTATATAGTATAGTATAGCCTAGAATATTATTTAGATACTACTTCTACTTTTTACTTATACATTTATGTGTTATACCTAGTCTAATTGCACTATTTATAACGTACTTCATGGGCGAGTTGCTCACACACCTGAGTCGCTTACTTTTGCTAAGACCCTACTAAACCACCCTTTCTACACTAATGCATTCCCCACAACACTACTTAGACGCGCTAAAAGAATGTTAGATACAGCTTATACTCTAAGCTTTTAAATAAGACATAAAACTCTTAAAAAAATATACTATAGCTATATATAAGGTTCTATAAAAGATAATAAATAACTATAGCACTAGACAACTTTTACAAGCTAATTCTATAGCTAAATTATAGAAGCTAGGTAATAAAAAGAAGCAGGTAATTATTAAGACTATACTTAAGCTATATGCGTAAGGAATTTCCCCTTAGATAGCATTTATAGCTAATATAGCTAATTCTTTGCGCGCTAAGCGTAATTTAGGCTATGTTTGCATAAACTAGCCTAGTATGTTTGTAAAGTGTTATTTAGAGCTTAAAGTAACATTTAAGCGTAAGTATAACTATAAGAGAGCTTTTTATAAAAGTTCTAGAGTAATTTAGAGCAGGTTTAGCCTTATAAAGAATATTAAAGCTAAGTATAGTATCTAGAATAATAACATGTATAACTTTAGTAAGATAGAGTTTATAATTAGCTAGATATCTTTTAACTATACTTGCGCTTAAAACTTTACTTTAAGCTCTAAATAATGCTTTATAAACATACTAGGCTAGTTTATGTAAACATAGCCTAGATTATGCTTAGCGCGCAAAGAATTAGCTATATTAGCTATAAATGCTATTTAAGAGGAAATTCCTTACGCATATAGCTTAAGTATAGTCTTAATAATTACCTGCTTTTTTTTATTGCCTAGCCTTTATAATTTAGCTGTAGAATTAGCTTATAAAGGTTATCTAGCGCTATAGTTATTTGTTATTTTTTATAAGACCTTGCATATAGCTATAGCACATTTCTTTAAGAGTTTTATGTTTTATTTAAAAGCTTAGAGTGTAAGCTATATCTAACATTCTTTTAGCACGTCTAAGTAGTGTTGTGGGGAATGCATTAGTGTAGGAAGAGTAGTTTAGTGGGGTCTTGGCAAAAGTAAGCAACTTAGGTGTGTGAGCAACTCGCCTATAAAGTACGTTAGCATCTTTAGAATAGCTTACCTACTTTAGCTTACACTTATTTCTTTACCTTTTTTTTTATTACTATGTGCTTTAAACTTTTTTAAAGCTATTAAGTGTAAGCTTTTTTAAATTATTAAAGTTTTTTCTACTTTAATTTACTTTTTTTTATGTAATTTATATTATATAGTAGCCTTATTAGCTGCTTAAAGCTTAGTAATTTTTTATTACACTAATACTAGCTTATGCATAATTATTACTACTTCTTTTAAAACTTTTTTAAACACTTTAACTATAAAAGTTAGTAAACTATTTATATGCTTCTAAATTTTTATTTTTATAAGTATTAATTATAACGTACCTAACAGGTTAGCCGGCTACACAGGTTAGCCAGCCACTTTTGCCAAGCCTCTACCACACTCTACCTATCTATATAATGCTTTAACAACAACACTAGATTAAATCTTCTAAAGAATATTAGATATAGCTTACTTTTTAGGCTTTTAAATAAGACTTAAAACTTTTTTTATAACATACTATAGCTATTTATAATGTCTTTTACACAACACTAAGCAATTAACGCGCTAGACAGCCTTTAGAAGCAGAATGCTAGCCTAAATTAAAGAATCTAACTAAGCTTAAAAAAAAGGTAGTTATTAAGTACATACTTAAGCTTATTACATGCAGATTTTCCTCTAAGCTTGCAGCTATAGCTAATATAGCTAATTTCTTGCGCATAGAGCGCAATCTAGGCTAGGTTAGCTTAAACTAGCCTAGTATGTAGGTTAAGCACTGCCTTAAGTTTATAATAAAGTTTAATTATAAGTATAATTATAAAAAAGCGCTTTATAAGAATTTAAAAGTTATTTAGGGCTAGTTTTGCCTAGTAGCTAACATAAAAGCTAAGTATAGTATTTAAGATAAAAACACATATAACTTTAATAA